GCCCCAATATTTGATGGCCTCCTCGGCTTCCCCGTAAGCCCCTATAGATGCTATGATCTGCACGAGAACTGCCTGCTCGCGGTGACGTTTCTGTTACTTCTGAGACCAGATTGTTCCAGGAGTCCCTTCCACGAAGCACGCTAAGCTGTAGTGCTGGTCTTGTTCATTACTTGTGTATAGAAACGCAAATGCGGGCCCATTTGCGGATTGGAAAGCACCTGAGAGGCCTGTGTCTCGCCACCATGTACGTTTGTACACCACGATCACCTTTGTAAAACTCCCAAGCTTAATGCTCTTCGCCAGCTCTGCCTTAGGGGTGGGTAAGGGTGGTTCGAATTCGATTTTGTTGAATACTCGGTTGAGTCGACATATTCACTTTTTTGCACTGATACGTCGCTTTAGTTGTAGAAACACACACATAGCCTTTGCGTTGCTCAATTTTTGTGACTGGTGAATCAAGGACAAGCTGGGCCTTGAGAATGGTCACCAGCAAGCCCGGTTACGATTGCCTGCGTGCCTGGATATCCAAGAATTTTCATATTATTTCGATGTTTGGCATCTGGACTTCCCATTGCGACCGTCTTACTCCTGATATGGGGTCGGAGGTTCGGGGCAAACTCTGCGGGGCTGTACGAAAAATTCACTGCCCAGACTAGACGGGAACAGGACCTCCTTCTGGACAATACCTTTATATTGCTTTGAGATGCTCTGTGCTAGGGAAGGTATCTGAGTCATCCAGACCAACGAACGTCTTCGTGACTGGGCAATGGATATGTTCTACGTTCTTCTCGATATCTGATACGATCGCAGTGGAACATGGGCCTGTAGGGTGTAGTTTCGGTGATATAGTTCACAGGCCGCGTGGAGTACGCACTATTGTTGAAAGCTTGCCAATGCTGTGTGAGATGTGCCATTGACTTATTTCTTTTGGACACATCTAGCAGGATGAACCTGCTTGGCATTTCTCAGAGTTCTGAATTAACCAGACAAGAGTGGTCGCGCTCGTTGGCTGTCGCAACTGGCTCACTCGCTTTTGCATCATTAGCAACAATTGGGCGCAGCATTATGACGACCACTGCGGTCGAACTGAGGCTAAGTGATTATGGTCATTAGAAGAAAGACATCATCACAAGCTATTTTAACCATCTCCAACATGGATATGGAGGGGTATGGATGTAATTTCCGCTATGATCGTCATATGTACTGGAGTGTATCTTCAGGCTATCTATATTTTTGACCCCAAATCCTGCCTCGTGACGTCTAACTTCCATGAGCCTGGCTGCAGCTGTTGGAACACCTGATCGGGATCGTACTGCTTAGCAACCGCTGTAAGGGTTTTCATGGTCCGCTCGCCATAGCTACCAATGACATTCTGAAATGGGCCTGAGTAATTTGCAAACAGAAACGGGTGGTATAGCCCTTTGGCGATAGCTTCTGCCTTAACAGTCTCGATTATACCCTGTTGTACTTGGAGAAGGTCATAGTCGTGGCGTCTATAGGCTGTAGCGAACGAAATCATCAAGATGATGAGAGGTTTGCCATCTTTGGGAATGTTATAGACATTGTCGGTCGGGTCGGCAGACCTAGGTACAGCGTGGAACTCCAAGCACCCGAACGCGTAATTCGATACACGGGTGGCCTCTTGATCGAAATGATCAAAGGCAAATTTCAGCAGATCTACGTCGAGCCGGACAGTCATAGTCGAGACGGCGTGACGCAGTCCGTGACCACCCTGTAAGTCTGCAATTTCGGCGGCCAAGTTAGAATAGTTGGTGATGCCTAGATTCTCTTTCAATTTAGGGACCTTCAAGAGGCTGTCGAAGATGGGCCGACTTGGGGTTGGTTCGGTGTAGACGATGTATTGAAGAACCTCTAGCTGGGTGAAGACGTGGTTGAAGATGAGGATCGTGTGTGCTTTAGGGTCGGTACTGAGCTTCGAATTGAAATCGGCGTATGCTTCAATCGCCTGGCTCCTGTAGGCCGGATCGACGGTCGTTTGGGAACCCCAGATCCCCCTATACGAGAAAGATTCCAACTCGAAAGCGGTGACCAAACCAAAATTCCCGAACCCTCCTCTCAATGCTTTAAACAGATTCGGCTCGCTTTCACGACTGGCGGTGACGATGGTTCCATTGGCGAGAACCACTTCAAACGAGCGAACATTCTCCACAGCCCATCCACGCGCACCAGCGTAAAATGAGATGCCTCCTGCGAGTCACGTTCTTGTGAGTATTCGGAGCATTTAACGTAATGGGTGCAGTGTGAGGGTGATGGAGTTAGACTTACCACCGAGGGTGAATCCACCAACACCTACATCTGCGGATCGCCCGCCAACCACCATGAGGCCTAACGGTTCGAGTTTCTTGAAGATAGATCGCCAAGTGCAGCCGGTACCAACCGTCACAGTCCCTTTATCCTTATTGATGGTGATATTGTTTAGGTTGACGAGGTCGATTTGAATACTCCCGTCGAGACACGACTGGCCGGCGAAATGTCCATGTCCGCCACTTTTGATCCCGAACGGGACCTGACCGGTCGCGCATAGAGCGACGGCTTGAGCAACCTCATTGGTGTCTTGTGGCCGGAAAAAACAACGAGGCTTCAAGTCTTTCTGGGTCCCTGACCAGTAACTGTCCTGGGCAGTCTGATATTCCGGTTGTGTCGGTTCGATGACCCGGCCAGGAAACTTCTGAGAGAGTTCGCGAACCTAGAATATGGCGGCACTTCTCAGTAACAGGCAAGTTCACATGCTACAATTGTCAAAGGACACACTGACCACAGATTCAAGCTTTGGGTGGAGCGACAACATGTTGGACGCTCGTGAGATATGACAATCGAAGACGGGTTGGCGCAGGAGTGATTACGGTTGTTAGCCAAGCTGAGCAGCGCGAATTGCCAATCATGTAGTCAAGTCAGAAGGACATCTGGACGACTCTAGACTGTGGTGATCACTTTGTTTTGTTTATGTCTCTAAGAGAGGTGTTATCTCGGATTCCGAGTTACAACCCCCGGGTCGGAGATTCCGACCTGTTTCTTCTGCACCGCCCCCACGAGACAAGGTATCTGAGTGGGAGTGCGTACAGAGGAGATTCCCACTCATCCGCCCCGCTCATGTTCATATCTACCTGCTACGTTGGTGGTGATGTAAGTTCCAAAAGAAATATGTCATGCCGATGCTCCACCGGTCCGCGCTGCCACGATACCCTTGTATATTCCTGGATGCACTCACTATATGAGATGCTCCTTGCTGCATATCCATCCGATCGATACCCCTAGACGTGCTCTCTTCTCCCTTTCTCTGAAGCCAGACGCCTCAGCGAAATGTCGAAACTTCCAGTTGAGCTGGTCAACCACACTAGCAGCAACCCGCTCCACATCCACGCGCCTGCGCACCGAGATGTGGTCGGACTTCCAGTCAATCCTAAGGTCGAACCATTCACCTTCGGCGCATCTATGACCAGGGTCACCATTCCTGCAAAGGACTTCAAGACGGCCCGGGCGACATTTTCATGGCCTTTAACGCCATCCACATCAGTCGAATGTGATCAGGTTGGTCTGCTATTCGTTCGACCATTGAAATCATTACCTGTGCCAACTATCGACAACGCTGGCGACAGGTCTTCGGCGCCTTACTACATTAAATTCGGTCTGGAAGTAATCGGGGGAAAACCGATCATTGCATGCGCTGCCTCGAATCATTTGCTTGATTGGAGTACATGGCCCACGACGGAGCAACATCTCCAGAAAATCACCATCGAGTTCATGAGGTACGGCAATGGACTTCTTGCTCGGGTGATCGAGCCCGGGTCTGACGAAGATCCTAGCAAAGCAAGAAACATTCGATTGATTCAGTGGCCTCTCACCGACATCTCTGCGGATGACCCAGATATCTCGGTGGGACCGTACGTGTCGAGGCCCGACACCAACAAAACTACGCAGGAGGGATTAACTGTCCATTTTGATGAGTTCAAGATTGAAACGGTGTCAGGCTCACACCTATAGAGTGGATGGACATCTGACGAAGACCAAAGGTAGAGATATACAGTATCAGGCGCTCAGCTGGGTGTGCCTACTCAAGTATCTTAGATGACTCACAACTGGAAAAGTAGCCCAGGCTAGGCTAGGCCAGGCACCACGGAATACTCAGAACAATTCATTCACAAATTTTCCCATATCTCAGTCAGGCACTCATTTCGCGAAGCCTGCTTTGGATGGTTTTGGCAGCGGTTCCACGTCCCATCCGGCAGTGGTTCAGTACTTTACCAAGCAAAATACCTAGGTAGCAAGCACTCAAGAACCGTACGAAGCCACTTTACAAGGTGGCATGTACGAAGCTATCTTGTTAGCTCTCTCTCGCATCTAGCCATGCCAAGCCAGAACAGGTCTCGGACTTTCCGAGTCCTTGCCAGTCTTCAGCCTTTCCCAGCGCCAATTCTTCTTCATCGAGAATACGGTCCGCTTGAAACACCTGGGAACCACAACACTCTAAATTCCCTGTGCCACCGGCTCTGGTGAATCTAACCTTTGAGATCCATGTTGATGGATAGTTGCATCTCGAATCAAGTGCTCGGCTAGTGAGATCAAACCTCTCTCTGAGCAGGAGACTTCAAATAAGAAACATTGCTAGTTAGAACCTAGACGCGCGTAGCCATCGCTGAGAGGAACCAATTAATATGCTGCACAACATAATATGCCATCACTCAAGATTCGAAAATACAAAACCAAATACTGTGTAGCACGGGGTGGGTGACGCCATCTAAGATGATATGTCCCATACCAGATGAACGGGAGGAGCAGTCGGGGAATAGGCATAGCAGCTCAGTCAGATTTTGTGTCCGTGCTGGATATGCCACTCATGACGGTCTTTTCTCGATCTACTGAGGATAATGTAGGTTGCCTACTCCTTCAGGAACAAGGATTGGGTGTTGCAATAAGCCTTGAGACCTCCGGTACCATGCTCGAATCCGATACCGCAGGCCTTATGGCCACCAAAGGGAATCATGGGATCCAGTTCCATATGGGTAATCACCCACACGCTGCCAGCTTGCAATTGTCGCGCAATTCGGGTGGCCACACTCAGGCCCTTGGACCAAACCGACCCCTTCCAAGCCCGCGCAAGTGTTATTCGCCCTGGCGATCACGTCCGCCTCGTCGAGCCACTCAAGGAGCGGGACGATGGGACCGAAGGCCTCCTCTGTTACGACTCGGGCGTCCTCAGGGGGTTGGTCGACGATGGTCGGCTGGATGAAGTAGCCAACTTTCTTCTCCCCGTTACTCAGACGCCCAACCGCGACGACCCGTAAGGGATCCTTTTCGATATCGTCGAAAAAGTCTGCACTTTATCATACTGCATGGAGTTCTGCACCGGTCCTAAAAAGACGTCTTCCTGATTGCCCTCGCCGACCGGCATGGGATGTCTTCCGCCTGGCGTTCCAGCTGTTCCCCGAAATCCTGCTCTCACAGAAATCTCTTTTGGTCGCCCAGGTACTGTCGAATCTCCTTTTCCCGTCCGATCGCTGACCACACTCTGACCATTTCCCAGTGCCTTACAGCCATGGCAGAACCATTTGCAAACCACCAGAGATAAGTTATCGGAGCCGCTGAAAAGTGCTAGGTCATCTTCTCCATGAGCATTTCCCACTGGTCAATGGAAGAATTGTTCATCACGGAAGCTGCAATAACTGTTCTTTCTCTTCAGTTGAACAAGATGCCCGACCAGGAGCCGGATGCCGCCGAGTGGCAACGGACCTTCTGGGTGGTCTACTGCCTAGAAAAGGAATTTAGCTTTAACTCGACACAATCATCCGGGCCTTTCTTCATCTCTTCGGCAGCGCTCATTGTAACTCATCATCTTGGGATAGGTGATCGACGACAGGTACATCAGCTGTCCTGCGCCGGCTTCTACCCTAAGAGCACCGAACGTTATGGACTGGCTTACGATCCAGATCGCGTTTGCCAAAATCTCTTCTCGTGTCTGTTCGCGACTTTTCTCGGCCAGTGCGCGAGACCAACCGAGTGAAGCCACTTGCCGCGAAAAAAAAAGAACCCCGGAGACGTCTTGAGGATTGGAAGACCTCCATGCCCGGAATCTACCGGCCAGGCGTATCGATCAGGACAAGAAGTCTCAACAGCCCACATATCCTGCTTGCGCTGCTCATGACACATCTTCTCTTCTATACTCTGCAGATCACACTGTCAAGACTAATGATACATGTTTGTAGCGAGCACAATGTGGCAACGACAATGGAGAGCAAGACGATCCTGATGAACATAACCCGCGCCATTGTCGAAGCAACTCACTCTATCCCTCTGGAGCCATCCACGCCCGTCAAGTAGGCCACCTTCCCAACATTACAATGCTTCGCTCGGCTCATCTGCATAGTATCACCAGTCAGACTCCGATCCTGGCAACCTTCGTCTTGTTTGACCTGATGGTCTACAATTCCAAGCATTCTGTAACCGAGACGAATCAGCAATAGCTGGGCATTTCTGCCGGATATTTCCTGCGGCACCAAGTGGTGGCGCAAGGCTTTGGCATCGGCGTGGCCTTTGCCGATCTCGTGCGTATTGCCAACGAGTATGTCGAACAACAAGTCAATCTCGGTCCTACAGTCGCCTTGGGCAATGCCGGAACGAGGTCCTTCCGGGATATGGAGAGCGACCGGATGGAGGTAGCTGACCTGGAGCTTCTCAATGGGAGCGAGAGCTTGTCGACGTCACAATAATTACAGCACAGAGAGGGCACATCGGCTTTCGAGGTAAGACAGGTTGCTCGTTGCCTGACGCCCATCTTCACAAATAGTGATCTACTGTAGGACCTTTCCACCGACTTTCAGTGGCTCGACGACAGCTTCTTCGAGGCGCTGTAGTACCCAGCGTTTAATACCATGGATGACGTGGAAGGCAGCTCCGACTTGTTCTACTCGCCTGGACCTCCGCCCACATCGCCTGATGAACGACTTTTGCTACGCCCCAAAGATCTTGTAGTGTGCTTCATCAGGCTTTGGGCGCATGGCGTGTTGTTGAGAGGATTCACAAAAGCGGCAGAAAGCCGACTCCTGCTTGCATGCGTGTACCACTCATGATGACAAGGTTCAAGTCGAGACAAATGGCAATATTCAAGGCCCTCGAACAAGTGGTAAAGAAATCTTTGCAAAGCTCATTTAGGCGTCGATCGTCGACAATCTGAATGTTCTTTCGCAACATGCTGAGCAGCCATTTGAATCTAGAGCATCCACGCGACAGCCCTGCAATTGATCCGACTAGGACCTCTGCGTTTGGGACATTTTCAAGAAGAAGACTGAAAACTCTGAAGCCTTGTGTGAAACCAATGTTATTCTCGCCCAGACAGCCACTTCGACGCTTATGCCTCTGCCACAGCCACCCGAGCATGTTCTTGTTGTCAAGATAATGGAGCCATAAACCACAGTTGAAAACTGTTTGACAGTGCACTTGAAGTGCCGCACAGATGATTATGCTGAATGTCGCCGGCCAGCGGGTCGGACGTTATGCATCATGCCTATGGATGGGCATATGGGGACCAGGACGCAGCCAATCAACTGCATGATTCGGTCCAGGTGCCTTTCTCTCCACTCCAAAGCAGGGCGAGGCTGACAACTCATGTGCTATAGACACCCTTTTCTGTTTGGACATGTGTGAGTTGCCCGACAATGGCAGTGCATCCAAACCCAGCGGAGCCCTAGTATCCCCATTATCTGGGGCGCAGGGCAATAGTATTGATCACCTTCATTGCTTGACATGCCTTGTTGAAGTCTTTCTAAGGCGCTGAGGTTGCTTCAATGATGTTCGCAAAGTCCAGCAATTCCTCGATGCGCTTGAGCTGGCCCGCAAGCCCATTTTGTACCTAGCATTGGACCTGTCCAGATCGTCGTTGGAGTTAGGCATGGCCGAACTTGCCCCGAGGTACCACCATGTTCAACGTTTTGGGCTGTAGGGTTCCTTCAACGACGACCTGGGTTGGATGGATTATTTGACTGGCCCACGATGGCTGCTGTCTCCAGGGTCGATCCTGGGCAATGATTGGCATAGTGGCGCCGTGTTTGGACTCAGTCAATTCGCTCAAAGATTGCACTCTGAAGATCGCATGTTGTTAGGAATGGACTCGTGTAAGAACAGGGCCACCATTTGGCAATCCTATCATGACACGCAAGGAATATTTGAACAGTTCATGCGTAACGGCCTCGAGCGTGCTAACGATGTTGTCGGCTGTCACTGGTACAGGCCCAAGGACTGGGCGGTCGAAGGAGTATGGAACGAAGATCCTTTGATGCATTTTTTCCAAATCACTGCTTTGAGGGACGTTGTAGTTGACAAGCTCGGGGTGAAACTGGTCAAGGGAACTCGGCTGGATTGTTATGAAGCGTTCAAATACGAACCATGGGAGATGCAACAGACCTTTGCAGACAGCGGGATGGACCTACTATACACGTGGACCTCACCATCCAAGAGAATTGGTAAGCCGAGCTCGCCTTTTTGACTAGACACACATATTTACTCATTTTGGATCAAAGTCCAATATCTCCTTGCCCCAATCGATTAGGGGTGGAGAGGTGTCATTGCGGAGAGATTGATTGGCATGTGTTTCGGGAAGAATGTTGTATTGGACCCAAAGTGCAACTTGACGACGATTGTGAGGATCCCCGGCGGCGTCGTGTCTTTCTGTCAAGGTGGACGACATGACTTGACGGTGATGAGGCTGTCCTCATCAAGTGGAGATCGCATGACGAATTTCCTTTTCTTCGATGACGAACTGCATCAGAAGTGTTTGTGTTTGGGAGGAGGCATAGGTTGCATTTTATGATATCATGATCCACCGTAAAATTGCCCTCCTGGGAAATGTGTCAACGTGTTAACCCCCATGGAGTATAGGTACCATGTCTCGCGCAGTCTGACGATCACTGTCGTTCAGCTTTCTAGATATGAGAGAAATGACAAGGACCACCCTCGTCAATCGGAATTGATCTCAACGTGCCTTGCACTTTCTGAGCCACAGCCGCCTCGATGGACGCGTTGGTCCTATCCGAGGCCAACGCTCAAGGGGCAGCCGATCGTGCTTCTCAGGATGAGCCTCCCCTCGATCACAGTACGACAGGCGAAGGCGAAAACAAGTTTCAAAGGGCTATCTCAGCATGGCGCAGTATGTAAATTCCTGGCTAACACCCGCTGCCACAATTCTCTGTACTGACCATGCAGACATCGACCTCAGCGCCTTGATGCCCAAGTTGGACTCAACTGCCTCGGACCTCGTCGCCCAACAGCGGGATGCACTGCTGGAACGCAAGGAGTTGGCTCAGAAGACAAAGGATTTCCGGAAGTTGGAAGACTCCGCCAAACTGACAGAATACAAAACTCTATTAAAATGTTGGCTCTCCTGCCAGAGATATGAATACTCAGGCTAATAGTATCTCCCTAGCATATCAAACGTTCATCGACTTGATCACCACCCACGGCAAGACCTCCTCGTCAGCATTCCTTCAGGTCTACCAATCTTTGTCGGACGCACCAGACCCATTTCCTCTATTGGAAGCATCAGTAGACTCCCTCGTGGCCTCTGAGGACACGGTGCCAAAACTCACGACCGAAAACCAACAACTCTTGACCACCGTGAACAAGCTGAGCGCTCAGCTGGAAGAAACCGAGAAGAGACTCCAGGATGAATGTAAAGCGAGAAGAGACGCAGAAACCGGCACAGGCTCTCGTGTCCAAGAGATTGAGGCCAAGTGGGAGAAAGTCCTTGAGGAAAAACAGAGTAATTGGGCTGCCAAAGAGCAAGCGCTCGAGGAGAAGGTGGAGAACCAAGACAGGTTGTTGAAGGAACTCAAAGCCAGCTATGAAGTGTCTCAACGACTCAACGACGGCTCGGCCGAGCAAGCGTCTTCGAAGGCCGCCCACGCCGAGCTCGAAATGACCACTTTGGAGCTGGAAAAAACAAGTGCACGGATGGCCGAGCTTGAGGCGAGGAACGAACAATTGAGTGTGGAGTTGGCTCGAGCCACTTCTCAATCAGCAAGGAGCCATGAGGTTGAGGACGATCCGGCGTTCCTGAGATTGCAGTCGGAGAATTCGTCGCTGCTGAGGAAGATCGACTCGACCCGGTTCGAACGTGACACGGAAAAGAGAGAGCTTGACAATAAAATCCGGCATGCAGAGAGGCAACGAGACCAGTTGTCCAGCGAAAACGAGGAGTTGAGGGCAAAGGTTCACCAGTGGTCGGATTACGAAGATTTGAAGCGGGAGCTTGATACGTTAAGATCGATTGAGCTTTCAATCGGGGATGAAGAAGATGGCGATGAAGCGAACGCCAATGGAGCAGCAGACACAGGCTCCAAGCAGTCTCTTGAACAACTTTTGCTGGCGCGGAACAAAAAATTGAGCAATGAACTCACTTTGTTGCGAGTATCTCATCAAGACATTCAACAACAACTAGAAGATCTGCAAGAGGAATTGTCGCGAACGAATGCCGAGCTGGAAAAATCTCAAAAACTATCTTCGACGTTGGAAAATGACTTGGTCCGGATACAGGAAGAAGCAGCCAACGTGCTCCCATCCTCGGGCATGTCGGTGGCAGGGACATACATCTCTCGACATCCAACAGGATCTCTTCGCCGCGGACGGGGCTCGCCGACATCGTCCATCATCTCAGGCTATGACACTCTGGCACGGTCCAACACTCTGGAATCGTTGCGGGCAGGCGAGCCTGTCGGAGGGGGTTCTGGAATCTTGCCCATGATCCAGGCTCAACGAGATCGATTCAAACAGAAGAATCAACAACTCGAGGAAGAACTCTCCAAAACTTATGCGACGGTGACATCACTACGGCAAGAGGTTGCTTCGTTGCAAAAGGACAATTTGAATCTGTACGAGAAGTCGCGGTACGTGTCGGCATACAGCAGAGGGCCGACCACATCATCGGCCAACTCGTACTCAAGAGGGACGGGACACACCTCTGTCATGTCGACGGACGAGGATGGAACGAATGACCGGTGGAAGGCTCAGTACGAGGCCAACATTTCGCCTTTTGCGGCATTCAGGGGCAGGGAAACGGCTCGAGCGTTCAAACGGATGAGTCTACCTGAAAGAATGATTTTCTCGTTGACGAGGATCGTGCTTTCGACACGGACATCGAGGAACCTGTTTGCGGGATACTGCCTCGCCCTGCACATCTTGGTGTTTCTGATGTTGTACTGGATGGGATCTACGGACGTAGAAAGACACGCTCCTCATCTCGGGGAAGCGGTAGCAGCAGTTGCCGGTGCTGGTGGCGCAGGTTCACAGTCCCCTGAATGGCATGAGGAAGACTTTGGGTAGACCTGGTCATGACTTGAGTCTTGGAGCAAGACTGTTGATGCAGTATAGAAATGTATAGAAAAGCCCAAGAATGCGAACTGGAGTCTCAAGGCCGATTGAAACATTTGTCAATGGGCTGTTTCAAAGTCTGCGTGTCTCACCCGGCACAATCCTTCAGGACTTCTCAGACTTGTCGGCTTGCTAGAATAGCTTGATAAGTGTATCTTCCTACTATGATTTTAGCCTGGGTTGTGCATTAGTCTGTATAGGTGGGAGGAAAGCATATGTTTCAGAGTCGTCGACCGTAGAAGACATGGTTAGTTTGGATCGTAGACTTTGGGGCCTTATTCATGGATGTACGCTACGGCCTTTTCACGGCGGCGGATGAGTAGCGTGCAGAGTTATGCTTTGTCCTACTCATAAACTACCGATCTATGTTAGATTGTTTCAGGTTTTCAAGCTGTGGATATGCACGGGTAGACACTTAGACTCTGTAGAATATCAAGTTTCATTTTCACTTGTCTGCGGTGATCGAGACTCGAGGGTCAGATGGACGAGTTGCTTGGGCAAGGTGTGGCCAAGATCTGATCTCGTTTGGCGATGGAAGGATTCGCACGGCGTGGTATGCCTGAAGAGTGGTGACTTTGTGAGTCGAGATATGAGGACGCTAACTGCAACAAGTAGTTATCGTATTCCCTCCCGGTGTGCTAACAAGTATAATCGTCGTCGTATTGAGTAGGTGAAGATCTACAAGGATATCACAGACCTGGATTGCTGCGGAGGGTTGACAGATCTAAAGTTATCAACAACCACGCAAGGAGGGTCCAGAGACTCCAGACTCTTGACTCTTGACTCCAGACAATACGGAGTAATGCCAGACACATGTTATGCGAACGGAGACTCGTACACGTAACTCGTGCGTGTGCGTGTGCGTGCGCGTGTGCGTCTGTGTGCAACGAACCGCCCCGGACGGAAAGTCAGCCTTTTAGCCGCTTATAGTGGGGGTGTGGCGTTGGTCTTGAAACTGGCTAATACTGTCAATGGCAATGAACTGGCGTTAATTCTGTAGCTAGGGCTGAGGGGCGCGGGAGGTCCCCAAGTACTGGCCTACGGATTAGGTACTAGGTAGGTACCTAAGGTACCTATGCATCCGTTGGCCTCGGTAAGCAGATATCGCCAGAACTTGTCTTCATCACCAGTTACCTTACTTATGGATGCCACTGGTGCAGAAAAGGGCTCTCGTGGCAGTCTTCATATTGCCTCGTTTCTCTACTCGTTATCCGCACTGTACTCTATGCATTTACAGCCTTGCTCATTCTGTAGCGCCTGTACAAAGCTTGAAAAAGCCAAGCGTCGAGTCGAGGTCATGAATGCACGTCACTTGTCTCGGGAGAATCTGAATGGTTGTCCAGCGGCTATGAAACATCCAAACATATCCCACAGGTAAGCTAAGGCGAAGCAGTCCGGGCGGGAGGCTCCTCGGCTGCGCGGGGGCAGCGCTGCTTAACCAGCCACCCGTCCAGCCAACAGACCAGGCGCAATCAGCCGAAGCGCCTCACAGGCCCCGGCCTGTTTGCTTAACTGTCCAACGTCCTGACTCGTCAGTGAGAGCGCTACGCATGGGTTGCGTCCAAGCCAAATAAAGAACAATGACTTTTGGTAGGTTGTTTGCCGCCCAGAGGAATTCTGACTGGATGCGCCAATCCTGCTGGTCGCCTAACGGGTCGCTGCCCCTGTAAATAGGTATACGGAGTAGGTAACTACGGAGTACAGTAGGTTAGCCAAACGCCTCATCAGTAGTGCGTGGAGAGTGGTGAATGGTGAACCAGCTCAGTACTCTCGCTCTCCCCAGCATAAACATGCAGACTATTGTAGTCTGCAGATGTCTAGTGCTTGCTGGGCACCCCTGGCCCCCATTCCCTCCAGATCCTTCGGCCTCACGGACCCTCTTGACCTCCGTTCATGCTCACCAGGATGCTTATGCCTAGTCAGATCTCATCTGTCTGGTATACGAATCTCCCTTTGCCGCCTCGTGCCACACTGGTTTCAATGTTCAGGATCCGCTCCTTGGAGGCCTGGCCAATCCCACCAAATCCACAAGCCAGGGTGCTCAAGATAGAAACGGAGAAAGCCTGTCATCAGACTTGCCAGATTCGAAATCGTCCTATCCTCGGCCACCGTACCCAGTCCACTCTAGAATTACTTCAAGGTCGGCGGCTGGTTGACCTGGTGGCCATGCATCCACCCTCTACAGACACAATATACATACATTCATTATTCCAGTCTTTTTCTTTTACAGTCGTCCACTTTTCGTCCACAAAAAACTATTTGCATAAACATTCATCTCCTTGGTTCACGTTCTTGCTCTGGTCTCTCCAATTTATTTCCCATCTGCAGGTCAGAGATCTAGTTACGTTTGATATATTGCTGCAACACTCAACTCCACTCATACCAAATCAGTAATTCAGAGAATCAAAGGTCAACACAATCATCATGCGGTACTTGACCGTCATTGCAGCACTCGCTGCCACATCATTTGCTGCCCCAACACCAGAAGCCTTGAGAGGATCAACCGAATGGTCACCGACACTGGCTGGCTATTTCGATCTTGTCTACAAACACATCCAAGACGCTCGACAGAGAGGGGGCAAGCCTCCGACATGCGATCTATCCAAAGCCTCACTCCCCGTCGCACCAACTCCTCTTGAGTTTCTCCCCGACTACACCTTGGAACATGTTGCCATTGGTCGAGGCACACAGGTAAGCTCTCATGTTTTCGCCGCCAGATAAAGTCTCGTGGTACTAACCCACCCGCTCTCAGAACTATACTTGTGCCAATGCCACAGCAACCCCCGCCGCTGCAGGAGCGGTCGCACGGTTTTACAACATCTCATGTATGGCAGCAGACTATCCCAACCTTGTTCCTCTGGCGTCGAATCTTGCCTACGAGCGCCCATTGCCTGAAGACCCTCTTGCGCCCTTTGGGCCTACAGGTCTGGAGCTCTCCACCCACCACTTCTTCAGCAATGGCACCACCCCCGTCTTTGCATTTGACGCACCCTCGTCGCCGAGCCTGGGGCGAGTCTTTGCGCAAAAGGCCGGCGACTCCGTGGCTCCAGCCAATGCCATCCAGAATGAGAACGGTGTCATCCCTTGGCTGTACCTGACATCCAGATCAACCACTGAGGGTGACATTCGAGCCGTCTACCGGGTCGACACCGCAGGAGGCAGCCCCCCAGCCACATGCAAGGACCAGCCTTCGTCATTCACCGTCGACTATGCTGCAGTGTATTGGTTTTTTAAGTGAAAAAGAGTCGAGTAGATATAGTTGTTATTTGGTCAGTTCAGTTGCTATTGCAAACCAGTTTTCACTATTTTGGAGTTAGTGGGGAATTCGGGGTCCGCACTTCGCACTCACGAACAATACTCGCCGAGTATCGCGGCTGAGTTGGTTCGAGGTCATTAGGCCCTTGACGATAGACTACCTGTTATATGGTAATGAATGTGGTGTTAGCAGCCACCGTACATATTCCCAAGCTCTATCTATATATTTCCACAACAACCTTGGAAGACCGAACAGAACAGACGATAGATGATTGGTTAACAGTGCCGCGTCAATTACCAAGAAAGACGGAGTCTTCATCCGATGTAACGAATCGGCAGTTGCCGTCCATTATTGCAGCTCTCTCTACGAGTATGCACGTACTCGTAGCTGTAAATACACCTTTTTCCATCTGTGACGATTCTGTGATTCTAGTAACTCCCTACACCGTACGCAATATTGACTTTGCGAAGCAATCCGAACCCTTGTTTGTTCGGACAAGTGCCTCTTGACTTTTCTGCGAATAGAACGGCAAGTACCCCGAATCTTATCCTGTCAAACACGGCTGTTGTTTGATGGGTTTGCGGATCGGCACTAGTGCCTAGTGGTGTGGAACCCTGACAGGACCCACCCCTACAGACCTGTACTGTGCCTACGGAGGACTCCATAGAGGAGAGTAGGTATTCACGTGTTTGACAAGCGAGGTAACCGCCTGGTCAAGGAGCGACGACCGGTATGCTGTCGGCGGCGACAGACTCACGGGGGGGCACCGACTAATTATTCATGGGAAGGACTCGTGAGTAATTGTATGGATGAACGAAGAAGCCAACGACTCTCATTAGTCAGAGTCCATACGATTGAGCCCTCTTTGTGGCAATTGAACTACACCCATTTCTGTGCTCCGATCTCTGTGATGATTGCTATCTCGTTGTTGGCTATGGCGCTAGTAATGTAGATGTAAAGACTGCTAGATATGAGATTGGTTAGGAGTTGTATGTGGAGAAGAAAGTTCCCTCCAGCGGGAGATCTCTAGTAGTCTCCTCCCAAGCGCAAGTAGACGAAGGTACGCTTATGGCTTCACATCGTCGAAGGAGTGGCTTATTCATGCCGTATGATGGTAACCAGTCACTTTCCTGCCTCTCCATCACCCAGAGCAGGAGTCCTTTCCATCCACAGCAATTATTGGCATACCAACTTGCATCCTTGCCATTCACAACCCTTGTCGCTCCACTACAACGCTGCTTGAAATGTGTGATATTGTCGACCCTGAGAACAATCATTCCGAAACTTTCTTGTACGCGTTGTCGTGCAAAAAGCTAAGAGCCGTCTTGATCTTTTTCATATAAGGTTCGCTCCTGCACCGTGTGCCAATACTTCAAAGCTTCGCGCAAGGTAGTTGTGGCAACAGTTGGCTCGGAAGTTAGTGGTCGCTCGAGTTCGAGCATGCTGACCCTCTCTTTCAGACCGCTATGGTCCTGCTTTAGAGCTTGGATCTCAGCGGAATGGCTCTGCTTTAGACTGGAATGGCTCTGCTTTAGAGCTTGGATCTCTACCCTTAAAAGAGAGAGGGCTTCGGCCAACGGTCCACCATGTGTTAAAGCACCCGACATGAGTTTATCGAGGCTTGACTCTGAGGTTGAAAGGGTATGAGACAAAGTTGATTTTCCATCATACTTTTATGTGGAGGCGGCGGCGGTGATGTATCTGTAATGTTTTGGCTGGATAAGTCTGTAGAAATGGAAGGAGAGGTGAGCGGCATGTTGCCAGCCTGGGGCGAAGCAGGCGGGATTTATATTCGGATAAACTTTGCGGGCATCGGAATTTCAAAAGCTTGACCAAGAAATAAGATTTCAACCTGCGTTTCTGACTTCAGCTTTCGGGGTTTTCCTGAACTTTCATGACTCCCGATAGGCGAGCTTGACACTGATCTTGGTTAAGAAGAAGTGGGTACGTTGACTGGTCTATGCGACCGCTTGCTGGTTGACAATCGTGACGGGCGTGAAACCAAGTCACCAGGACTGTGCCGGGCATGGAGGGGGTTGGGTGGTTGAGAGCCACCTTCACTCATGGGTCGGCACCGACCTCCGGGCGCGTTAAAATTGGGCATTGAGAATCGTAACGAAGGGAGGCTTCTAAAGTCGGACGTCTATAAGTGAGTCATGAGTGAGATCAATGGTATACTAACGAACGCAAGTATGTGGTCGAACGGAGGGTTGTCCTGAAGGAGAGTCAGGACATGAAGAGGGAGTCAAGGTTAGGTATTTATGCAATGGGGAAAGTCCCCTGGTGCGTGAAGATCTCCAGGGAAGAAGGCGCGTCTACCGTAACTTCAATGTGGTCGATTCCAAATGAGCCTTTCACATAGTTCCATGTCATTTATCACCCCCCCTTCCTTCTATACCTAGGTATAGTATGCTGTTGAACCATCTCACCGGTTCCTGTACTTTCAAGTACTAGGGAAATAGTAGATGCACCGAACTGGTAACTTAAGAAGAAAACTACAGTCGTATGATTATTAAGTCTCGATCAATACCACAAAGACCACAACACACTGACACCTACGTCACGTCGAGCCTCTCTTGATTTTGAGCCTTCTCGGAGACTATCCATGTGGATCTTTGATCGCCCACATCTACGTGACCGACTTTGCATGCCACGTACATGGAGGACGGATGTACAGTATAGTAGACAGGTACTTACTCCGTTTGATACTCGGTGTTGATTGGGAATAGGCAGCCCTTGAGCACACCAAGTGTCGTCTGTCCAATTTGAAACTGTGCCCCTGTAAATGCCTAAAGTAAAGATACGTAAGGTAAGTCGGTCACACAGGCAGAGGTGAAGAAGGTGGGCACAGAAGTTTAAGGTGGGGAAGATCGAGGCAGGAAAGGCGAGTTGAGGCAGGGAGGTCGAATTGGGTCACGAAAGTCGAGTTAGGGCACTAATGTCGAATTGCGCACTAATGTCGAATTGCGCACTAATGTCGAATTGCTCCACGAATGTCGAATATGCTCCACGAATGCCGAATTGGGTCACGAATGTCGAATTGCTCCACGAATGTCGAATTGGGTCACGAATGTCGAATTGCGCTACAAAGTCACATTACGGCATACAGTCGAATTACGCACTAATGTCGAATTTGGTCACGACAGTTGAAATGGGTCACCGACTTCGAGGTGCAGAAGTTCAGACCAGCCAATTAAACGCAGCCAATAAAAGAACCTTCCCTACCTTACATGGTTAGGTAGCTATCTAAAGTATCGTATTTTACAAGGTTGAAAAATTCGTTAACATGAGCACGCATGAGGTAGAAAAGTCGGGTAACGTGACGTGTGACTAGGTACCTAGCTCGCACCCTTGCGAGTGATCGATTGGATTCGGCACTCAAGGGAAACCAATGCGTCTACCAGTCAGAGATCTATACACTCCCCGACTGCTCCTTCATGAGTCTACCATAATTGCTCGTATACAGTTACGACCGCCACCATTTTCGCGTGGCCGACAATCACTCTTCCTCCAGCAGCCTGTTGATTGTAATTGTAGATACGTACACACATGTTGCTTCGAAGTCGAGTGGAAGCTCCCCTGTGTTCATAGCCAGTAGGTCCACATGACATGTTTGTCGGCCTTGATTCCCAATGAGATCGCTGAATCTGCACATGTCTACGCGCAACAATTCCAACGAAGAGGACTAGAGAGAGTGTGTGGATCTTTCATTAATGAGGTTTAGTTTCTGCCTGTTTCCCTCAAAGCCCGGCTTGGAGATGTTGGGTATCACTCCTTCGATGCTTGTGCATATCGTCGCTGTCCGATCATTCATTCCAACCCCTGCTAACTTGGCTCCACGGATCCGCATGGCAAGTCAGTCGCTTGTTCAAGTAGACATGGAGAGAATGGGAACTATGGTTTGGACCAGGCCATGACCCATCCGCCCACCTTCGTTCCCTGTTCGACTCCGTCGCACTTGCTTCTGGTTCTCCATTAGCAAAAGTACACTCTGGTCCTTCCTTCATTTGTCGAAGTCAAAGCCTGAACCACACTTTCCGATCTAAAGCTGCATCCACCCTCCTGGTCTTGATCGACTGCATCCACCCTCTGCAATCCTGATCAGAGTCAGAATGTTTCTTTTCCTGGCTCGCATGGCTGGGCCGGCCCTGTCCAAGTGGGCACCCTGTCCAAGTGGGCCTCAGTCGGTTTGCACCATTCCTAGAACCAGCGATGGTTTCGAGGTGTCCCAAAGCACGAGAGCCCGCCTCCCTTTAAAACAGCCTCTGCGGTAACCCTTGCAGATGTTCTCTTCAGACTCGTACATGATAGAATCGCATCGGGACAGATACAGAGTCTTCCCACAGCAATACTCTGACGAGCTCTTGTCGACAGCAACCTCTTTCTCCAGGAGAGAAACCTTGTCCTTGTCCTTGTCCATTCGCAACTTCATTCGGCTGATCTAGCCATCAGAAACGACAACCTCCAACTGCATTGGCCATTCTCAGCGTCCTCTCCAGCGACGGCAAATTATACCATCGACGGCGACAGGACTCGAATGTCAAGACAGCCAAGAGGTTGCCGTGGTCAATATGGGTCCAATAAAGGATCCATATTACGGCCAATTGTACAAAAGGTACAAAAATGGCACGAAGGTCGTAGTCGATTGGCTTTCCGAAGCCGGCCACTACAAGGAAAACGTGCTGACCGAGTACGCGGAGGTGGCACGTCGCCTTGCTCGACAAGGCGTCGTCATGCCGCCCCACGTTCTCCAGGCTCTGAAGGAGAGCACCGAGGCTCGTGAAACGATCAATCGGTGGCATCAAGCCACCGGCAGTGACAACGGCCTTCACGACCATCCCGTCGTCGTCCTCAAGGCGATCCTCGCGGTGTTCACAGCGCCCTTGGGTGGTCCTGCTCCCCGACGGGCATTGTCGCTTCCAGGGTGTGCGTCTGAGCCAACAGGTTCAGTTGCACATCAGAAGGATGCCGATAACAGCTCCGAGAAGGGGGGCAGGGCCTCCCAAAGCGACTCAGAGCTAGAGTGGCGTAGAGGGGTCCAGCAACAGCCACGACAACAGCAACAGCACCGGTACCAGCATCGGCAGCGACAACAACCACCACGGCAAGAGCTGCAACAGCCGTGGCGGCGGTTGTCGTAATGAGCCCCATCAACAGCCACGGCAACAGCAACAGCGACAGCACTGGTATCAGCACCGGCAGCAACAACAACAACAACCACCACGGCAAGAGCTGCAACAGTCGTGGCGGTCGATGCAATAACAGGGCCCCCAGCCGGACCTCCAACAACCAAGGCAAGCGGCACATAGCCTTAATTCAGCGGATAGCCCAACTCAGCGGTGTGCATCTCATCGTTTCATATTCCCAACTTCTTGTCAACAAGGGTCAAATCCACCAGCAGGAGCAAAGATCACCTGGACATCGATTCTCAAGTCTTGAGAGTTTCATCCCTCTCTTGAGTCCCAAACGTTTGCTCTGGCTCTACCTCGACTTTCTGTGGCCATACGACTGCACTCAGTCTCCAGACAGCGTCACAAGATCCATGTGGTTGCGGGTGAATGAAACGACATTTGCTTAACTTAACAAAGGACAGAGGCAGGGTTGGAAAGCCTTCAAGCTTCAAGGTTGATGCCTTTACCGAACCTCGCATACAGATGAGCTTTCAAACCGTCAATCTCCTCCTTTAGGCCTACCAACTCTTCCTCCAGGGTCGAGACTTCTGATTCAAGTTCACTTGTTGCATTGGACAAAAGTTCTTGGGCTTCTTCCAGTGGCAGGGACATGAATGAGTCGCCAATCTTGTAACTGAATCGAAACACCACCGCGGGTCAGTCAACTTCAGCGAACCACAGAAGAGCAACATCGGAACACATACGGCACCAGTTCATCTTCATCCGCCAATTCGAGTTCCATCGACAATTCTTCCAGATCTTCTTTATCTTTCTTCGCGACACAAACGAAATAAATCAGTATCATTCGAAAAGCGGCCACACCGACGAACACAACACGAACGCCACAGAATCGGGGAATAAAATACCTGTTTCTGACTCAACTCATCCTCCAGCAACTTGGTCCGATTGTGAAGCTTGGAAAACATGTTGATCTTGTCTTGATCTTCTTTGGTTACCTCGGCATCTGTGGACTCATTCTCTTCTTCCTTTGAGAGCTGGAAGATGAATATTTGTTAGCGAACTTGAAGATTCAAACAACCAGAAATCTCAGAACAACAACGAGATTGCTTATGATCTCCTAGGCCAAGGGTCTGGGGATCGAGGGACAAGAGGAGGATGTAAAGTTGGACAAAACGTACAACTCTTCGGGACAGCATCTTGTGAAATCTGAAAGTTGAATCTGAGAAATTTTTATGGTGGGAATGATCTATGAAGAGACGAAGTGGGGATAGGCGAAAAGAATGAAAATTGAGATTATCTTCACAAAGAAGAGTTGGATTAAAAGTGTCGGCGGATTTTCTTTGGATCTGGACTTGATGTTGGATTGGATTTTATTGGAAAGAACGGCAGCGCAAGAAGTGTCAGATCACGGGTTGAAGCCAGAGATGGCAACCCTGGCGAGATCAGATGATATGGAGACAAGGCTGGGAAATCACTTGGCAAGGCTGTCCCCTCATCAAGGTATACCAAAACTATACATAGTAGATACCATCATCAATGATTTTGAGTATCAATACATGCCTCCAAAAGTAAACAGTGGTAATGATAAGATCTCTGTGTGTAACCAGCAGATGAGAGGGCTCATCAGCCACCACCGAACCGTGACATCGAGAATCATCAAATTCATCACTATTTCTTGCTGTAATGTAGAATGCGCCCATACCCATCTTTCATTTGATCCAGTCGACCCTGATCTCCCTGACAGGTTCAAACCATGACGGCGGGCTCCATTCCTTGAAAAAACCCTTTCTATACTTTTCCATCTTTTGAATTATTCTACATTGAAGGAAGAGACAGACCACTAAAAGACCAGTAAGACCAGCAAGACCAGTGTCATCACACAACCAGCTAGCTCAACCCCAGGTTCCTCTGCGCCGACCAGACAAACGACACCATCAGTCCAAATTCTAGTACATGTATATGTCATGGCATTCACTGTCGTGGTTCATGCGGGCCGCGTCTTGATATCATACTGCGCTGTAGCCGCCTCTGGGCCCGCCACCAGATACAGTATCAACCACTTTGCGCGACAGATCCTTAACCAGGTAGGGAATATCACGGATCGTGTCGCCGTGAGGTAGCAGATCCCACCCGCGAGCCCCGTATCGGTTGTAGTTGAGCCAGGATCCGAAAATCAGATAAGCTGAGATGCCCAAGAATGCACTGTCAAACCAGGGCGTGTGAGTCAGCGAGAGTCTTCAAAGCATGAGGGGAAAAAAGAAGGATTGATGCGTACATGAGAATAAACCAGGTGAAGAACCCCCAGCCGGCCTTCTTGTCTGACCCGTCGTCCTCGGTAAAGTCTTCACAGGCGTACTTGGTCCGCCAGTTCAGACGGAGCACTTGCGTACGCTCCTTCCCTTCAACTTCGCCGTAGCTGACGAATTGGAGACTGCTGGTTGACGGTGACTCGTCCTGGTCGCCCTTGTCCTTGTCGTCGTCGTCATCACTAGGTTCAGCACGTTTTCTCCTCTGTTCATTACCAGTCCTATCAAGATCACATTGTAACTGGATCACCGCCTTCTGTTTCAACTTGTTATATGTGCCACCCGACAATTCAATCTGGAGGCCGTCGGCGTTGGCGTCCTGCGACTTTAAGCGCGTGATGACCGGGTTGAGACCTTGGCCTGTGCTGGTTTCGAAATTGCCGGCGACGGGGATTACATTCTCGATTTCGACATGCTTCTTGTCTGGGTCATCGGCAGGATTCCACGACGAGACTACGCCGCATACTGTTATCATGCGGGTCAGCAGACAATTCGATAATCATGGGCGAATCTAGGGAAATCTAAACACACCTCTTGTACCGGCAGGACACTGGTTTCGCGACGGAATGCCATCCAACTTTTCCAAAGGTTCGCACAGATTAATCGTCCAAGTCGTATTATACTCTGCAGGTGGCCTCGAGGTATCATGCACCCATACTGAGTGCCGACCAGACAGTTTGGAGAGGTCGAACTTTTTCTTGTCTAATTGTACGTTATCGCATTGTAGTGATACGGCAGTCGCTAGTTGTGAAATAAAGAGGGGTATCGATAACAGCGATGCTGTGGCGACCTTCATACTGGGGAGCCAAAGGACAGGAGAGGTATGAGAAAGGATCGAGTGATGGGAATCGATCGAGGGTGATGGTACTCGCGTGCCGGGCTGGCTGCAGAGATGTTGGAACTGGCCGTTCTGCACCGAAGCTTGTAGATACCTGCAAACGAGTGACTAGAGCAGGCTCAGTGTGACAGAATGTGATGTGTCGACAGATCCAAGGATGATTGATAGAGGCTGGGTGGAAAGGGGGAGTTGTCGTTGATGAGTGATGCACTCTGCCAGGCAATAATGATCATGATGCAGCAGCCGTAGCCCAATCTGAAATGCATGGCCTGTCCTGCTTGTCCTGCATCATCTTGAACCAAGGTTGGCTATGGTCAGCCAATGCCAATAATACGGCCGATTGTTGATTTGCAAAACGTATGCGCAGAACATAGGGAGGAGTATTTGACTCAGGGCGCAGGTCAGAAAAGGAAGAACTGATGATCCGGCGACTCTCCAGATACAGGGAACCACAGCGACTCCACGCATTCACCTCACTTTAGCACTCAATGGCGACATCGATGCAGTATCTCATTTGTGTTATGAATTCACCTCATAGCATCAGGTAAGAGACAAGCCCTTCCTCCAGTCATTTCTCGGTCAGAAGTAGTCGACTACAATTCTCGACTCGCGAATTCGTCAGTTGAGATCCACCTCACGTTATCAGGTTTGTGAGTCCCATTGTCGGTCCTGAACATAATTTTCCTGCAAGATGCTCGTGCTATCTTCCGTCGACTGTTGATGCCGCCTGTTGGGTGATTGCATAATGGCTGGCCATTCGTGACGTTTCACCTTTGCTTATCTGTACTACTTGTATTGAAAGAGGTACAAAAGTTCCTGCGTCCATCGTACTTTTGCCAATCTCGTCGTGCTTTCCAATCCTCAAGATATTCAACACATATCTACGATTTTGGCTGTTGCTCTGTTTTGACCGGGGTTGTCCAGCCTCTGACTTACCCTTCGAGGCACAAACTTCGATTTGACAGAACAGAATGCCACCAAGGTATCGGCGAGTGGCTGTGATCGGCGCTGGTCCATCGGGGCTAGCCGCCGTCCACGCTTTGGCGCAGGAGAAGAATTTTGACATTATTCGAGTCTTTGAAAGGCGGGACCGTGTGGGAGGCTTGTGGTGAGTGACATGGTCATAGCGACGTCAAATCCTGGATGCCTAAACATTACTCACCCTCTCGGTCAGGCATCTTGACCCAGAGCCGGATGTATTCCCAGCTTCATGGAGACCAGCGCGAATAGTCAACCAACCTGCCAAGTTCCCAGACTTCAATACCCCATCAGAACCTGATCTCACCGCCAGGACTGCCATCTATCCTGGTCTGGATAGTAATGTCGGTGCATCGGTCATGGCGTTTACTCATACGCCATTCCCTCAGGGAAATTCGGCAGTCTCTGTTAACCGCTTTGGACACAATAACCCCACCCGCCCGTTTGAGACAATCACGGGGTGGATAGAGGACCTATTCAAACCTTACCTTCAGTGGACGTGCCTCAGCACCTCGGTGGAAAAGGTTGAGAGAAAGGGAACAGAATGGATCTTGACGCTACGTCGGACGGATCTCTTGTATCGAGGTAAGCAAAGCGATTATTGGTGGCAAGAAGCATTCGATGCAGTCATTGTAGCGACCGGCCATTACAATGTGCCCAACATTCCCAAAATTGATGGCATCGACGAAACTTTGCGAGCATTTCCCCAGGCTTTGGAGCACTCTAAGTCGTATCGTTCGCGAGACAAATATGTCAACAAGGTGAGAAATATTCACAACGCCTGACTTCTCCCTCTTGTCAACCAATTGATAATATCTCTAGAAAGTATTGGTTATTGGAGGCAGTATCTCGGCCAGCGATCTAGTCTCAGACCTCCACGAGATCGTGTCTGGCCCATTGTATCTCAGTGTCCGTGGTACCAATCCGCGACTAGACTCACTCTACAATCTCCCCAATGTCAAACTTCAAGCACCAGTGAAATCCATCCAACCCTCTATCAAGGATGGTGGAATCACAGTGATCTTCACCGATGGAACCAGCATCTCCAATCTCCAACACATTCTCTTCGCCACCGGATTCCGTCTCAGCTATCCATTCCTCACTCCCAATCCCATCACCCTTACCAATCGCCTCGCTCGGTTCTACCAGCACGTTTTCAACTTCGACGAACCCTCTCTTGCAGTCGTGGGACAGTGCCGAGGCGCTTTGTCGTTTCGTGTCTACGAGTATCAAGCTGTGGCCGTAGCACGGTACTTCGCCAACCACGAAGCCCACGCGCTACCATCCATCGACAAGCAGGAAGCCTGGGAAGCTCAGCGCATTAAATACAAAGGCGACAACGACCGGTTCCACGAGATCTTGCCAGATTTCGAGGCTTATTTCAATTGGCTTCAAGAGTTTGCTGGAAAGCCAGCCCCGGGGTCGGACGCGTACGAGTTACCGCGTTACGATTCACAATGGGAAGTTTACGGTCTTGCAGTGCTGGAGTTGAAGGACAAGTACTTGAAAGACATCGCCGAGAAGACGAAGAAGAGATTCCAAGAGCGAAAAGTGCACATTCAAGCAAAACTTTAAGCGGAGTGTCTAGACTTTGGCGTGTTGACAAACAGAAGAAATCCATAGCTCTATTCTAAGATATAGAGTGCGGCGTAGTTAGAAAAGAGAACAGGTCGTAAAGAACTTATCACTGAGGCCGCCATGCCGCGCTGCATCCTTTCTTCAATTACTACGGTATATGAATACTGTACTCCGTCGATTCGTCGACTCGCCCGCACCCGTCACCCGTCTAGTCTAATAGCCTAAGGAGTCATCTGGAATAGAGCCAACAATATGAGAAGCACCATGTCTATTAGATATAAAGGTCGCCATGCTGTGGCAAGGCCTTGACAAACGCTCAAATCCCGCAATCCTTCATCGCTCATAACGCTTAATCGCGCCAGTCCAAAATTTCCACACCGCCCTCCCAAGCTCATGACAGTGAGATACCCAACTATCCCGAAGGTCTCCGTATGGACTGGACTGGAACCGATAGCCAAGCCGTAGCCGGCCCTGGGGGTTGTTCCCGCTTCCGGCCTAAAAGTCACCAAAACAGACCCAGACCAATAATATTACCAAGGCAATGAGGCTTGCGCTAGGCTCAGTGACGGCGGCGGCGTCATTCATCTGAGCTATGTATGTCGTGTTCTGTGCGAGGTCCCTCATATCCCTCGTCACATGTCCTGTCTGAGCCAGCTGTCGCATTTGGTCTCCAAATGTTGCTAGGATGTTGGAGCTGCGCCCGGAAGGACAGAAGACCACTTCAAAGCCTCCACCTTGAGGAATGATAAAGGTACTGGATTGGTCATCATATGCATAGCTGTATGCATCTGGACATATTCTTTTCGCCTGGGTAGAATACTGACTGGGCGAGCACGTAGCTGGTGTACTGTGTTTACCAGTACAGCAAAACTCTGGCTTGTTCCACCTGGCGCACGCGCTGAGGCAAGGGTTGAAAACAGGGCGTTGGATGTTGTCATCCGGATACGGATAGATTCCGTCGCCTGGCTTCTGTGGGGGTGTGAGTTGCAGGGGCCACGGACACCACTGCTGGATGAAGTTCTGGGTGACAGTCTGCTCGAGGGGAATGGGATATGTCGAATTCGTCCCAAAGGTGATGTCCGATGCATCTGCAACATTGGCTAGGAGTGACGAGGTGCCAATGCAGACGGGATTTGTGAGGTTGGGAGGGATGTCACTCAAGGACGAGTTACCAGTCAATCCTAGCAAGGAGATGATTCCGACGGGAAGGTTGTACCCATCGACCAGAGAAATGTCGTAAAAGCTTTGATGGCTGTCACTCGATAGGGTGAACTCTGCCAAAGTTGCTGGTGCTTGACCCTAGAAGGTGTCTTGTCTCAGCAACTCGCGGTGGCGCTTTCAGCAGCAATACCGTGTTGGGAGCACTCACCGTACCTCGACACTCGAGGAATTGTCCACAATCACCAGTCTGGCAAACTATTCCACCTTGACCACTTGCCGGCTCCCGGGCTGAAGAAAAGCTACAGTTTGTCCTCCCCCAGACTCGACCTTGCCAATCACCGCTGACTTCCTGCGGATTTGAAGCGCCGGGCGCTAGCTCAAAGCCCGAACTTCTAGGGCCAACGCCATTCTGGGTGAGAACGGCAGGCCAAATCGTTTCGGGACAATTGTTTGTGACCCGGAGTGGAACAGTGGTATCTCGAGGATGAAGTTGTGGTCGCAGAATTACATCACTGGTGACAGGCTGGCAAAGCAAGGCGAGGAATATCAGTCTCCGTGTTGATGGCGACGAAGTGGATGATCGCATGCTGGTCCAATGAACGAAACATGGCGCATCGCTGCATTCTTGCTCGTGGGGCCTGGAATTCGTGATTCTGATTTCAGCTTCCATTCGGAGTGGTGATGGTATCGTCCTTCAAGATAACTGGCTTTGAGTCGGAGCCGGGTCTGAGTCAGTCTCTCCGCCCCTCTAATGGAAAATTTGTTTTTCAAATCAGCCCCGTAGAAGTGGGATCAGAGGAGTAGGAATAGGTGTCAGCCCAACAATAAGTCTGCGCAAGTAATGATAAACATATAGATGTAGTAGGGGCGCAGATGATGAAGACAAGGTTACACGGTAGATAAAACAATGGCGACGTGGGCTCGAGATAAGATAGGAAAAATCATGGGGGAAGCTGCAACGGGCGGCGTGGGCAGGAACGGTTGATCGCACCAGGCAAACGAGCTAAACTTGATACTTGGAACTGACGACTACTCCGTACAGGTTCTCCGACTTGGATATAGCGGAGATCTGGAGAAGCGAGCCAGTCGAAGCGGAGCAGTCAAGGCTCAAGATGGTGCAAGGGGTCGACAGCCTTCAGAGCTTCACACCTATCCAGGCATCTTAGGCAAAGGTTGGCGCCTTAGTGCACACATCATCGGAAGATAGAATTACGACTGCATGGCAGAGTAGCTTCCTGGTTGGTGGTTGCAATCACGATCAGAGATAGAGGGCAAGCCACCACGCAACGTGCTTCCCAGAATTCCCTTGGATACATGCACCGTATCTTGGATATCTTGGAATGGCCGTCGATTGCTTGTCGGTGACCTGTGACTGTGTGATGTCATTGGTCTTGGCCTTGGCAACTCCAAGAAATCTTGAACCAACGTGACCGTGACCGTGACCGTAGCGTTCGAAAGCCTCGTGGTGTGGCGTATGGAGTTGCGCAAGCACGGCAAGGGCCACGAAGGGGCTACGGAGAAAGGAGTGGAGAACACACCGCCACAGTGTGGCGCCATCCCTTGGTCACAACAATAATGCAACGTCTCTCGACCCCTTATGGCCTGATATGACCCTAGACGATAATACCGGACGCAAATGAAATAAAGTCAATTAGTAGTCAAGAATTTCAATTCTCTATGTCTACTGTCGAAAGTTTTGCACAGATAGATGACCAGGCCTGCGATCAGATTACATCTTCACTCAGGAGATCGACGACAACAATATAACTCGACCGTGAGAACGACCAAACTTCCCAGTGACTGTCCAAATAGTTTCAGATGAGTTGGCACAGTGGGACACCAGCTTCAGGGAAAAGCATATCTCACTTGGCATGGCTTTTGAACCTGTCAACGATTCACCTACCATGGCAGAAGAGAGGATCGGCGGCGAATTGGGAGATTGCCGCAGGAAGTACGTCTCTGTGAAAGTCACTGTTGTGACTCTGGACATGTAACCCCAGGCAACACGTGACTTGGGCAGGAGAGCAAAGGGTTCGTCTCCAGTTGTTGTTATTGTGCAGGAACGATTGTTCCGAATGCCCAGAGAAACTACCAACTAGAGAAAAGTAAGTGCGACCCTGTTGCCTTTACATTTGGTCCTTGAACAAGGAGTTCAAGATGACTAAAAATCCAACGTCTCACCCACACCATGATGATGTCATCGCCCTACCCAATCATTCCCCATGGTCCCTGGACAGTGATATTCACATGGTAAGCAGTCAGGCAGTGTTGGTGAGAGCTGTTGCCCGCTCATGGCTGGCGTCGATGGTTGCAATGACTTCGGCATGGGAAAAAAGACAAGCAGAGATCAGCCGGCTGAATTGCGTCATCGCGTTGGCCTTTTCGCTTTAGAGTTCAGCTGCCGTCAACAGCCGTACCTTTGGAGTACTGTCACACTGCCTGTCCAAAGACGATGGAATTGTCGTTCTGGAATGAGAAACAAAGACCTTGAAAACAGTATAAAAGGTATCTTCCACAGATTGAGCCAACCGTGATGTCAACACCATGTTGTGAGCAGACTTTTCGCGAACATCACTTTGAAGGTCGCGAGGTCTGCCAAATATCAATAAGCCAAATCCACCCTGACAAGCAACTCAATATACAAGACAGCTTCTTGGCTCGGAAAAGGAATCAGTAAGTCTACACCAAACATAAGGAAGCTTGGGCGTTTCAGTGGTGTCACGTGAAGGTCCAGTAACCTGGGCTGTTGTGACACAGGAAGATGCTCAGAACCAAAGACACTCAGGAGCCGATCGTATTCTAAGTTCACGCAAACCCGAGGTTGTAGTGGCACGAGTGGTATGGAGAAGGTGAAGATCTTGCCCAAGACCGAAACGTCACCATACATGGCAATTCTCGGATTGTGGCCGTTGATTTGTTCAAGGTGCGAAGCGTGGCAAGGCTATGACCAGCACCAATTTATCACCAACAGAATTGGCCAGCACAAAAGCTCCAAAGGTGAGCTAGGTATGGGTCCGGGGGCTCTCGGCGCCACTCGCAAGGCGTATGGCCCACATGGAAGGACCCCCTGGGGGGCGCTTGACTCCGCCAGCCAGCCCAGAATAGCAGAAAGAATGCCTTTAAGGTAGCCAATAGACAGCCCGGGAGATTCTCGTTTGCCCCTTAGTGTCTGGGTATCCTATCTCCCGTGGTCGTCCAGCTTTGACTCAGTCGTCACTGACTTTTCACTCATGCCACACAGTCCCTACCCGCCTGCAGGGCTCTTTGCCCTGCAGACAATGGTGTAGGCTTTGTAGCACCTACTAGGATATTATCGAAAGTCAATATGGAATCCTCCCTGGCCAGGTGTCCTCAGGGTCTGATTTCAAGCAACTTGTGAAACATAGGTTGACACGTTTGAATTGGTGGGTTCCGAACAAAGCTTCCAAGTGCGTCTTCTCTACTCCGTACTCAGTAGCTAAGAGAATTGCCCACACTTGACCACTTGAGCCAACTCGTCCTTGTCCAATCCTGGATGCCAATCCGCCCCAGTCCCAAACCCCGTCACCCTGTTCGTTCGTGTCGATCTCGCCTCTCCATAACCTTTCTTGTCTGATTACCCAGCTTGACCCAGAGGCCCAGCGTCTTGGTCCACCTTTGGCCTCCTCCGTCATCAGGCCCCTAAGTCTTCCTCTTCGGTGCGGTGGTCCTCCAGTGGTGCCCCAGTGGTCCCCAAAACAACCAGCGGCCACCGAGTATCACTCCCACGCCCACCCACTTGAGTGACCTCTGAGATTACCACTCTGGGTTACTGCCGCCACACCCGCGCTGCCAATCCTTGCCCTTCCCACTTGATCGTCATTAACCCAAGCAATTCCTTTCTCTTGAGGGCCTCCACTCACAAACAGCTTTTCGGACCCTGCTACCCTGCGTTGCCCTCTCCCGACCGCCGACTCCTTCAATTGCTTTGCTTTGCTGCCACCTCCTACGTAGACGAACCCGTTACCTCTGTTCCTTAAACAAAGCCCCAGCTCCTTCGCCAAGCTCTTCGACTGTTGTGTACTCCGTACACAGGGCTTTCCCACCGTATATCCCTTAGTTTTGACTGACAACAACACCGTCAGAACACCACCAAATCGACCTGCTGCATGTCTTGACCAGGACTCGAGGCAGATGCTTCAGGATCTCGCCAGCGTCAGGCTACGTATTTTGTAGTCGGAATCATATCGGTGAAGAATAGGCCAATGTGTCTGCGGTTGGGCACAGACTTTGGTTCGACAGAGATTAACACCACATTTTCAGTTGCGGCAGACTCGCCGCAGAGATCACACGTCTCTAACAAATGTCAACGTCTCCAACATCATCAAAGGCCACGGCTACTTTCCCCAATGCGGTGTCTATGACCACCGTTCATTCCAACGCCTCAGAAACAAGGCAATCCACGTCACCCTCCAGTTCCGGCGAATCCTCTTCAGCATCTGACTCGGAATATCAAGCCTGTGCAGGTTCGCATCGACCCGCGTCCAGGCGCAGCCGGATGGAAAGGCCACGGATAGGCGAGAGACAAAGGTCCAATACTATCATCGTTCCCAAGGGACCCGAAGTCAAAGAAGTGGCCCGAAGATCATATCCTCCAGATGATGCAAGAGCCATGAGTCCGAGACGCAACAGTGAAGATATTGAGAGATTAGAGCGGGGATTAAGAGAGACTCTGAAGGAGTACGTTCCTCCAATGTCCAACATGCTACGTGGTCATTTCTAACATTTACCCTCCAGGCAAGCTCGCAACCTTCAATCGTCCCTTGCCGCTCTAGCCGAAAAGATTGACGAAGTCAAGAATGACCACGACAAACTCGAAAGCGAAAATCGCTTTCTACAAGACTACATTGGTGGGCTTACAAGGACCATGTCCAAGGACAACCTGGGCCGTAGCGCCAGCACCAGCGGCAAAAAGGGACGGAGATAAGTAGCAACATGCAACGACATCCACCCTCGAACACTATCAAGACATTATTATTCACCAGCCAGCGTCTGAGAAATGCCACTGGCCAACATTTGCATCAAGCGACGGGACAACGGGGCATTGTTTTTAGGGCCAACCACAGTACAACCAAAGGACGGGCGTACACCAGTCGATCGTTTTCATGATACCCATGCCACTGATACCCACCCTCGGGTGGCCACGCCCACGGCGGAAGGAGAGAAAGTTTTGGTATTGTTGTTATGAAAGAGCCAACCGATCAAGCAGTCGACTCTACCCATGGGAAAAATCACCATTGTTGATGATACACCATGTAACCTACCCAACATCCCATGACACATGACACGTCATGGTATGAGGTGGAGATTGTTCTCTGATGCTGTTAGAGCTGCCGTGCACTGGGCATTCGTTTACCATGCAAAGCAGCCGAGGTCGATGGTCGACAGCGAAAAAGATTATGACAGTGGCTGTGATTACCTTTGATTATTTGTTGCCGGAACGATCCTGGAATTGTACCATTAGCGTTAGGAGAGCGAGAAATGACGGGGACCAAAACTACTTGAATATCCCAAGATCTATTCTGAGAATGGTCTGGTTAATGATGATGTTGACAAGCGTCAACATACGCAGCTTTTTGATTGTTTTATGCCAATCTGGACACAATCCCGGTGGCCATGTTTCCCCCCCGTTTCTATTTAGGATAACCTGGAGCGAGCCTTCCTCGTTGTGCAGTAACATTGGCTAGAACAGAATCCAAAAATACCTCTTTTGAGGCCATGAGCAATCACTCATGCGCGGGCATGATGCATCATCACGTCATCATCTAACCATTATGTCCGCTCAAATCTGTGTCCTTATCGTTGTCATCGCCAGCAAGGAAAAGTATACTACTTCTGAGTCTGTCACGCGAGAGTATTGACTCTGCGTATTCAGCATTCTCGTCTGGCTACGATGATATGAATCTTGCGACTGCCTCTTTTGCTGGGTCACCGAGGGATGATTGGGGGTAAATGAGACCGTTGCGGATAGCAGGATCCATCGCAGACCCTGGTCAGTCCAGAAGCCCAAACGATGTCGTAGAACATTCGATGGATGAGTTAGGTATGCACGCATGTATGCTTGCACCTATTCACTCGACATGTGCCACGGCGACTCCTACCGTCTGGTCCGCTTGGCCGTAGTAGAGAAACCATTTACCCCGGAATTGCACGAGCCCTTCGGCAAACACGACCAGGTCCACCTGTCCATGTTCTTCTTCTCTTGTCGTCGGGGTAAGAAATGGAGTTTCGAGACGGGCCAGCGGCCGCTGAAACACAGGGCCCGGGTCTTGCAGTCTGGGACGGATCTTTTGAGGGGAAAGAGGTATCTGTGGAGAATGATGTTGTTTGTCATTCCAGTGGGGGCGCATACTGTGTGTCGAGGTAAATTTCTCAGGGTCGAGGAGCATTTGACCCACAGAATACTGTGTTGGGCGATACTCGTCGGTGCCTGTAGTCATGGCGTTGTATATCAAGAGCCACTTTCCGTCTCTGGTCTTCACTGGCGCTGGGCCCGGTTCTATTAGGCCATCTTCCCATGGGTGTATGGGTTTCGCGAACGGTTTGGGATCAGGCGTCCATGTCAAAAGGTCTGTTGATGTTGCGTGGTAGAAGACGCTGTCGCCGAAATACATGTGGTATAAGCCATGAGATGTTGGCTCGGTGATGATGGCGCCACCTAGATGATTGTCAGCGGACGGGCCACGTGTTGATGGGAGTCATATTTGGACACACTCTTCGTGTGGTTGACCCGCGAGACCTCGACACCTTGGTCCGTAAACGTGGTATCCTCAAATCCAGGGAATATTGGAGGATACTTTGTCCAGTTGAGCAAATCTTCGCTGGTGGCTAGACACAGCTGTGGGGTGTTGAGGTCATACGCCGTATAAGTCAGGTAGAAGGTGCCGTTGATGCGGACAAGGCGAGGATCCTCGGTGCCTCCTCGTAGCTCCCATGCCTCTGTGGGATAAACAATTGGTTCAGCATAACGGGTGAAGGTGTAGCCATCGGTCGACCATGCAAGGCCAATGGACGATGTCTTGGCTTGGTCCTGAGCCCTGTAGAGTAGGAAGATGGTCTGGTTGAGCACGATGGCAGTTGGGTTATAGACGTAGGCGGACTCCCATTTATTGAGTGGGTTGGGTTTTAGAATAGGATTGTTGGTGTATTTGATGAATGGGAGGATGGGGAATGTTGGCAAAGTGTAATTGAGGTCATCCTGGCTGGTGGATTTGGTGATGGGGAAGGGTAAAGTTGGGGAAGAGCTGATACAATACCCAAGAGACACCAAGGGCAAGACGATCAACCATATCACTGTCAGAGTTCTATGCATCTTTGGTTCTTTTTTGAAGATTCTAGCTTGACCATAGCTATTGGGTCTCGCGCATGCCGACGATGAGACCTCAATGAAGGTCTAAGCAACATTCGACTGCTGATGGAAGGTTGTTGACATGGCATGCCGTGCACGGGTCACCCCCTTACGACCCTACAGACGGCAACTCCCGTCAGGGACAAAGGAGCACCCATTTATGGCAAAGAGTTAATGGTTAACAGTCATACTTAGAGTGGAAGTGAGTTCTCTATCTATATCTTGCTCAGGGATTGCAGGCCAGTGACTTCCTGCTTTGGTAGATTCACCAGTTAGGTGCTCAGCTGCTGGCTTCCGGGGTTGGTACTTATGCATGGGCATTGGCAACAGTGCCGCAGTGCCTAACTTGACGCGTTTTGCCCTGGCAAATGGGCACCCATGCTTACCTAAAAAGAAGGTCCATGGGCGAGTGGCCTAACTGGCTTGGGAGTTAGTTTCAAACGACAACATGAAATTTACACACTACATGATCGATCCTTCACGTGACTAATTTGTTACCCATCGCCCAGAGCCAAGTTTCTCTACTCAATTCGCAGGCAGTACCAGGTAGGTATCTCTTCCTTTACAGGCACAAGTCAAAGTCGGTGTCATAGTACTGGATTACGGCTTCCTCTTGAAGTTGTCAAGTGAGAGGAATGACCGCTTCCTGCACCCTCCTGCGTCACTACCTACCTAGTACCTACATCTCGCTGCAAGCTCTTTCCTACGCCTATTCTCAACCTCAACTTGTAAACATCTCTCACTACAAAACTCCTGTTACTGTAGGTGCTTCACACCCTGTTCGGCTCAATCTGCCAGCCGAGTCTCCTCTCATTCTCCATTGCTATATCCTCCATTTCCCCGACTGGCCGTCGCACCAGGACCCTGATGGTCTTCTCTTTCCTTGTCTCTCAAACCTCTTTCGACAGCCCCCCCTTCTCCGTAACCTCTCCCACGTGCTCATCGCTTCCGTGACCACTTCCTTGGAGTCTACGATCCAGCCCGATCTCGGCATTGATCTGAGCCATGCGTTCTTGATCCGCAGCTGCGACTCCACTCGAGCCGAAGATAATATCCATCTCCTCCAGAGTCAACTGTTTGGTCTCGGGCACTGAACAAATCAGCCACCAATCTCCTTCATGTCCAAAGCAAACTTACCATAGAACCAGATGAACCCAGCCCCAATTGTGATCAACATGCCGAACAATATGAATGTTCCGTATCTCAGGTGAACAATCATCTACAACAAGCAAGCTCAGTATCGTCCCAAAACTTGTCAGTCCCTAGACTAAGAAACTTACATCTGGTGTCACTTGTCCGACGATAAAGTTATTCATCCAGTTGGACGATGCCCCAAGGGCTATGCCATAACTTCTCGAAGAAAGTGGAAACACTTCGGCGACCACAATCCACGCACTGTCAAACACTGTGAGTCTTTCATCAAGCACCTATTTCAGCAAGATCACCTACCAGGGACCCCATGACCAACCAAAATGGACAACAAATAGCCAGACTAAAACCATGTCAGCACACTTGTCTCCCTTCAACAAAACTCCAGCTTACCCATGACAATAGCAGCCCATGCCGCAGCTTGATGTGTCTCCCACTGTTTCTCATTCTTGGCGAAGATAACCGCGATGATGAAGTGGCACAACCCCATTCCCAGTGCGCCCAGTGCAAGTGCAGGCTTTCTACCCATCCTGTCGATATAGATAATGGATGGAATTGTCGCAATCAACATCACAATACCTACCACACCCGTCGCCAATAGCGAAGTCGTGTTTGACGACAATCCCAGAGCTCCAAAAATCTATGGCCTACCTGAGCATTGGCCTTCCACATCATCCAGGGACTCACTCACCTGTGGGGCATAATAAAGGACTGCGTTGATACCTAAATTGCCGCAGCAAGAAAGAGCTTAGCACATCTGGTATACCTGGGGTCAGCAAACAGACTTGCCTGTCCATTGCTGCAAAGTCGTCAGAATCAACATATCAAACTCGCGTTGAATTTTGACTTACTTGGAAAAACATGGTAACAGTCGCAACGATAACCCGACGAAACATTGGCATGGTCTTAAAAAGGGATCCAATAGCGACAAACTGCAGTTTGATGATGTTGGTAGTTGTCATTTCAGCAAGGTGAGGAAAGTTGGCTTCGACTGTTCTTTTTTCGAATAATGACTGGGCTTTGATTTCCAGGAACTCGAGATCAATGAGTTCGTTCTCGACAGGCATGGCTCGAAGGAGCGCCAAAGTCTTCCGCGCATCTTCCTCGTGACCGTGGTGAATCAACCATCGAGGAGTGAAAGGCATGAAGAACATGCCCACCAGAAGAATGATGGCTGGTGCAAGTTGAAGTGCTAGTGGCACCAGCCATGCTGCATCCGACTGCCCATCGCCTGTGCCACCAATGAAATTCGTGCCATAGTCCTAGAGCGTGTGAGCTATGTCGCCGGCTCAATGGAAAGAAAAAGACGCACTATCCAAAAGCTAACCATGATGCCAAACTCGATCGCAAGTTGTTGGATACCAATGAGAAAGCCTCGCAGTTCTGGTGGAGCACATTCTGCCACGTACATGGGAATGATCATGGACAGTGATCCGACACCCATACCTAGAGCTTGATTAAATCCAGTTCTCGGTAGAGGTATGAAATTTCATGGAAACAGCGAAGATACTAACCAACCACAAAACGACCACCAAGGATGGCAGAGTGTCCCGCTTCGCGAGCAGTGCATTGTACAACAACACCGAGGATGAAAATCACTGTGTTGACAATGATGGCATACTTTCTCGAGATCAGTTCTGCTAGGAAACCAGAGTACATGGTGCCAGTCCACGCGCCCAATTCGAGAATCGAGGTGAGCCATCCTTTCTTAGTCGAATTGGTTGTATAGTCTCCCATGTGTTTGTTGAAGGAATTCATCGTCCTTGAAGAATTTGTAAGCGTTGAATTCATGATCGAGCCCCTGAACACGTCCAGGACTTCAGGCAAGTTGAATCGAGAGCGACATACAGAACCCCACTGAAGACGCCCTGGTTGTACCCATACAGCAGCCCTCCAATACATGCAAAACTTGCGATGCCAAACACTCGGATGTTCCTCAAGATTGCTTGTGGCCCAGGTTTGCCCACGAGGGCCAGACGACGCTGCAGAGCAGCATCGCTGAATTGCGACGATTTAGGAGCAGACACCATCTTGGACTCGTTTGAGTAGACACAAGGTAGTCTGGCAAGTCAGCGAAGAGGCGTCTGAGTGAAATCATCTGCTCAATCGATGCATTCTATATTTCTGCCTACTGGGCATCATGTCACTAGTTGGTTCAGGCTAAAATTGGACGTTGCATCCAGATGAATCGAATAGAACGAGAGGTTCCCCGCGCGACGTACTAACGCACTATACTGTGGTCATCATTCCGGCACTTGATAATAAGAATTTGTGGTCAACAAAGTTGGAGAGCGGCCAATTAGGGCGGAGAAACAAGCACGACACAAGCATGTTCAAGGCTCGGTCAAAAGCGGCCCCGTTCCCAGAAAGGGCTTGTCAAAGCACTATCTACCAGAGTTTTGTCTTCTCGAACGAGTTCTGTCGTTTCCAGGCATGACATTGTATGCTTCACAGCGATCAGCCCCACGAACAAACAGCTGATTAGCCCCTCCGCCTCCACACGAAGCGAGTCCATCTCCACCTCCACATCTCACAGGATTCAGGCTAATTCAAGGAGTGAAGCATGGAGAAATTGCTCGCTACATGCTATAATTGGACTAGACGGACGGGTTAAACGGAGTTTCAAGTTGTCTGTTCCCTGCTCTCCACCGGCGTTACGCCTATTCTGGCCATGATGACCTATGGGAGTGGAGCAGTGCGACTGCCGACCGTCGGATATGTCAGACTACTACAGTCAATTGGTAATCAATATAGACACAGAAAGCTGATCAAGCTCCAATACTTAAAGATAACAAGACATCATGTGTAGCTGTTGGAAAATCTATTCTTCTTAAGGGTTGATGCGTGGGAAATAGATCTAGGAGTCCAGACGTTGTAGAAGCGTTGGCGACCGACAATTCATTCCGAGCATATTCGTAAACCCAGATCATAGCCGATGCAATCTCAACAAGCAAGAGCCTCCATTTTCGGCATATGCAACGGACAACATTTGGAGAATTGTAATTGCCGCTCATGTGGCTCAAAAAACCGGATCACGGATCTCACCTCACGAAAGGAGAGAAATGTCAACGATCACGTGGCGGTATGGCGTGGTCCTTGGACCAGGTATATATAGATAGATCATTGAACATACATATATATTTTCTTTCTTGCAAACAAGAACAAAAAACCATGTAACAAAAGAGTTTTATGGAAAGATGGCTGGATGAATGAATTTGTTCTCGTCATACCCTGCTTTCGCTTGTACGCAGCGGAGCCCCTCCCCATATCAAATAAATAAGCTCTAGGTTGTGGATTTTCTTATGTATGACTTAAGCCTAGGATCTGGTGGGAAACCGGTGTGGCTTAGGCTTGCGAGGCTTGTCACGCCCAAGTACGGAGTAGTTTAGTTACTCAGAGAGCTAATTCACGCCAATTCTATCAACCTCGTGTCTCAATTCCAACGACACACACACACACACACCCACCCACCCTTGGAACAAACACGCCATCTCCCATTCGCCACCCGCCACCTCACTTTGATGTGCTGTCCGCTTTCGTGTAACCGGATCAACACAATCTACAGCCGGCAGCACTCCGGTCATTTCTTATGAGGTAGGTCACACTGGGAACTCGGTGGTTGACTTAGCCGGCCATTCCGCCGCGCTGGATGCGCCGCATATCACGAGGAACTTTCTTGTGGCATCGATCTCCACTTGGCACAAACGCAACTTCTTCAGGGCCTTTCCCTTGTCATTTATTCGGCAGGTTTGGTAAAATCTAGCCATCTTGAAGATGGGGCTGTTCAGATCATTAAAAGGCAAGGTGGACGTTGGAACTGATGATCCACCGAAGCCAACACAGACCGCATCCTCTCATGATGGATGGTCTGTACGTGACGAGAAGCGCCGAATATTCGGTGGTGGCAGCAGTGGCGACAGAAACCAGCACAGTCAATCCTCATCATCCCGCGCACCGACACCACACCATGACCAGTACAATGCGCCTCCTGGGCCACCTCCCAGTCAAAGAATAGCAAATGACCAATATGTTCCTCCAGAAGGGCCGCCGCCCTCCCATGGGCATCGCCTAACCCAGACCGAGTTTCAACCACCTGCAGGCCCACCACCAACACAAGCATCTAATCCCCCACCTTATCATGACTGGACCGTCATACCGGATACTTCTCTGCTACCCCCACCACCCGCGATAACGGAAGAATTCTCCCCAACCAACAATGCCAGCTGGGATTCCGCAGCACGAGCACATGACTGGTGTGAGCAAAACCTCGTGTTCACCCCTTCAATACCGTCTTCTAGAATCCACGTCGATTCTCAGGCTGGCCGGATCGGCCTCGACCCTCCTCCAGCACAACTATGGAGAGGCTCGTCGGTCCGACAGCTGTCACCCATTTCGTATAGAGTGAAGACGTCAAAGGGCCAACAAGATGCCATTCTTCTGTCCACATTACCCATCTATTTCGCGGCAGCTGATAATCCTCTGCAAACGCAGCAGGAGAAAACAATCTACTTTGAGATTCGTGTTATCAACATTGCAAATGAGAATTCGGGTATCGCCATTGGATTCTCGGCCAAGCCATATCCTCCATGGCGACTGCCCGGGTGGCATCGTGCATCCCTTGGAATCCACGGTGATGACGGCAGGAGGTTTGTCAACGACTCGGGAGGTGGCCGAGACTTTGTGACTGCATTTCGTCCTGGGGAAACCCTGGGTGTAGGTATGACCTTCTCGACGGACGAACTCAGAGCTTCAGGGCCAGAAGGAAGGGTGAAAACTCGAGTTTTCTTGACTAGAGGAGGGGCAAGGGGTCAGGGAGATGGGTGGGAGATCGATGAAGAGAGAGATGCTGTTCTAGATCCCATAGAGGGACTCATGGGAGAAGGTGATCTGTATGCTGCAGTCGGCGTTTTTGGAGGGCTCGAATTCGAAGTCAATCTGGGAAAGGAAACGTGGCTGTGGAAGCCTCGAGGTTGAAGTTAGAAAGAAACCGAGTGAGACTCCGTTCTTGACCTGTTCGACTTACACAGTAGTAAACTGGGTGGTGAGACTGAATGGAATGGTAGACCAACCCCAACTAAGACAGGCTTCTGCCATGTGTGCATCTTTATCTTAAATTGACCTATTCATCCACCTTTTTGATATATGCTGTCACCAGAGACGGCGGCTAGGAAATCATGGCCGCGATGATGAACGACTTAAGGAATGGGGCCCGGGCCGACGAGAAAAGCTTCGCATCTGTTTTGTCAGTGAAAAATATTCTATTGGTAGCTGCGAGCGGCGGGGGATGCAAAGAGAACACCGGCTTGATGCAGGGAGAAACAGGCTATAGCATTCAAAGAGGGAGGTGAGAAAACAGGGGGGTTGCCGAGGCGGGTGCGAAGAGTTGGCCGGAAATGGGTAGTCGATATCAGCTTCTTGCTATTGTCAGGTTCTAGAGATTGCGGGAGCCGCCATCCGACCAAAACGAGGCAGCAAGGAGAATACCTACACCGGTATCGGCGCGGAGATCGAAATTGGAAAGGAATAAGACGGCAGAACCAGACTCTTGGATTCGGGGGCCATATTGCCACTCGCATAGCAATGTAACATGAATACACACACCTTGACCATGCAGTAGCATCAGGCCAAAGCCCTGTTGCATTATTGCTCTATTTCCCAGCGGGAGTTATCATCGTCATTAGAATAACAGAAGTCATTGTGAATGAAGATGATATTTGACTGACAAAAACCCAATGGTTTCGAGTAAGAGACAATGCCAATCGAAAGCCACAATAGATCTGCTGACTGGCAACATAGCAAGGACGTTGGCTGAGACTTACCGATCGCCTGTAGAGCGAAAAAGAGACCAACAAGTCTCGATTACCACTGGGGGATGCAGAATACCTTGGACATAAGGAGTGGTGCAGAGCATAAGGATGATCCTGCCTCCATCTATCTTCTGTGATGGCGCTTGTTCACGAAGGGTAGTGAAGATACAATGTCAGAATGGAAGCTAAACGCCAATCCAGTCGAACACATTTGTGGAATGATCTGAGAAAATGATGGAATCGCAGAATGGCAGGCAACCCAAGAAAGAAGAGAAATGCGGATTGCTTTAGTGGGCAGGAGCGCTGTTTCAGCGGCAACTTGCAGCGACGAGATCTAGCGCCGACTCGATGCCGCCCCCAAATCACAGCCAACCGGTCTTAGACTTGCCAATGACTCGCATGGCATTGCCTTAAGATGCAACGTCGATCTTGAGTAACGGTGTACAACATGATGCAGGAACAAGCCGCCCAGGCAGGCGTCGACGTCGGACCTTGTCCAAACACCTGACCAGTATTTCGGCCGTACTAGCCAGGGGGATGACGATACCGGCGAAGACTGCAATGGTAGGATGGTGCTTGTCACCATGAGGACTGAATGTCAAGGTTTGTGTGTGACCACTCTGACCTGAAGGTATTTATTTTCTGGGGGTGGAGACGTTGGGGTCTGGCTCCAACTGGCCGTTTCTGTGGTCGTCGCCCCACAGAGAGGTTGAAACCATAAATGAAGACAGCGTAAGGGTCAGTTTACGGTCTATGTATGGAAGTAATGATGCTGTCTACTTTCTACATAAACACCTTATTCCACCGTGGAGCCTCGACTGACGTTGGATCAAAGTTCTTTGCTTTAACAAAGGCGGTGACGAAACCCTTGGATGGTTTGAACCAGGCCAAGGGCCGCCGAAGGGGCCGAGGGCGCGCCTGGGCCTCTGGGGCCCAGCTAGAATACGGCTGGGTCACCTTTTGGTGGCAGATCCCGCTTCGGCCCGCTGCCAATGCACGTAATGTTTGATCTGATCGCGACGGTAGCCTCAAACACCTCCAGACCAGTTCCTGGCCCCTGGCTGTTCGTTGCTCACCGCCAGTCTTGCGTCAGCCAACAATGCATTCAATAATCAAGTGCCACGGTCCTGCATGAACCCCAGATGATCGACGTGGACAGGAACAATGTCTCGAAAAAAAAGTTTCCAAAACGTTCTTTGACCGTTCATCACGAGAGTCCCTGTTGTTCTCTCCGAAGCTGCAACCTGCCTGCCGCGACCGGCATCCCTATACCTCTCTTTATGCATAGAATGATGCACCTGGACTGAATAGGCGTGACAAGGCTCTTCTTTCGAATTTCGAGCATGCACCACGCCAAAATTGAAAACATTTCCCTACGTCTTTGAAAGTTGTCGGTCATGCCAAGGACCTCTCTGGAGGGCCGCGTTACTGTTACTTCGTGTTCGTGCAAGGTGCAATCAGGGCATCCCTATGTGCAGCGCCTGTGCCTCATAGGTGCCCCGTTTCTAGGTATTGAATTGGGTACTTATTAATAAGGGTCTGCAAGCCTACCTACCTTATTCCTTAGCCTTTTTATTCAAATCAAGCACTGGATGTTGGAGTGTTAGCCTTCACCACACCCCCCACGTCTGTCCCACACCGCCAACAGAAGAAAATGTGTGTCTGCCCAACCACCCTGGGGCCTTTAGGGCTCGGCGACCAGATCAACCAGGTACCGTCAGCGTCAGGTCGGTGGCCTGCCTTGGGCCTTCCACTTATTTAATCGCTTGCGCGATAATCATAACAAAACCACACACACCTCGTTAGATCTGCATACAAATAGAAACGCGTGGGCTGCGGGTGGAATCGAAGCCCCTGCCTTCCGGATGACACTATATCTCTTCCTTGTCAATTGTACGCCCTCGACTACGCATATGCGTATGTATGTGTATGCATAGCGTTTTCGTACGTGCCTGTTGCAATTCCTGTCACGCCCGGCAACAACCAAGTACCTTGTCTTAGGATCGGCTGGATCAAATACCACGTCGCGTGGAACTAGACCTGACATGTTCATGGGTCCTTAATCACCGCCTGCTGGTGCTTCCCTTAGATGATCGTCTCTGGCATTCGGCTAGAAGACATCGCATCGTGCAATATGGCTGTAAAATTGCTTTGCGGCACCTCGAGCCACTGCGCCAGTATAGGAGCTCCAGCGGCAAGAAGTTGGGTTCAAGATACCCTCATCCCCAACCAACATCATCGTATTCATGTGCTCCGACTCTGAATTGCTTTGGTCCGCCGCATACCCTTGCAATGCCGAGCTGAATCTTATGCGTACAGCTCCGCCTCCGGCGTCCATCTGGGAGACATTATCAAGCCCAGGACTTTTGCCTCCAAGGCAGTCCGAGACCAGTGCCTGTTAGAATTCAATCATTCGTCGCTTCGTGACCTGCGGACAAGACTTCCGTTTCCCATTCTTCCTCATCCCATTCAGTCAAGGAGGCCCGTGTTCAGAGAGGCCGAACACCTTCATCACTCACGTTATCTGAAGTTGAAGCCATCGAGCCCCAGTTGCATAGCAGGAGAGCTTTTTTTGAGACAACAAATAAAGCAACACGCATCGTCTTTGTAGAAGAGAAAATGGCAATATCGTTCCCCAACGACGCTGGCTCGGGCAATGACCACCGATGCTGAGGGCGCATGCTCCCAATGGCCATCGACAGACCAGTTTCGTCATGTGGGGTTCATCAAAGCTAATAAGCCTGGCGGCCACGCCACCATGCACATTCCTGCCCACGGTGTCCTGGTCGATGTGGGCGTGCACGGAGATGTTCGGCGTTGCTATTCTACAAGTCCCATTGATGCAGCAATACGCCAGGTCCCCTGTTGACGGATGTTGAGGCATTTCGGCTTCATTTTCTCCCATGAGGCTCTTCCTAATCAATCGATATGCATCTCATCCTCATGCTGTAGCAATCGTGCCCAGGAGCCATCTGGATTTGACAAGTGGACAAATCATCTTGGTGGCACAGTCAGATCTGACAAGATTCCAAGATATCATTTTTTGTGAGGTGATGCTGATTACGATGGACGGGTCCTTCTTGCAAACATCCACGTCCAAACTTTTCGCTCCATACTCGTCGAGCTGTGGTGTGGGCACCCACGGCCTCCGGACACACCCAGGTCTAACCCACCACTGCTTTGAAGACGGCACGAGCAAAATTGAGTAGCATGGAGTGCGCGATCTGACTACATGTGCATTTGCGGAGCAGGAGTACATGTGCTGTACCTAGCAAGATTCAAATCCCAAACATGTATGCATATTCGTATGCTTGGTGGGGAAGCCACGGGGGGTCAAGTTCCCATAATCACATGCTTCTCGTGGGATTCGAGGGTGTACATACGTCCTGAAACTGAAACAAGAACTCAGGGCCCCGAACTGACGACGACGACTAAATTATAATTGTAAGACGGCACGCCGGCTTGCCTCGAGTGGCCCTTCTCGGCCAACAGCAAGCGGAAGCGAGGGGCAAAATATCCTCGCATGACAATCATATCATGACACAGGGTGCAGCGGACCTCTGGCGACCAGTGTGAGTGCGTGAGCGAGAAGGAGCGCGGGACAAGGTATGCGGGTGATTCCGTGCTGAGTCGCATCACGCATTGCGCCATCTGGGGGCCCTGTGGGTCAAGAAGGCACAGACCTGCTAGCGATGCAAAGCTCCATTCTGGGCTGGACCCTTGCTTTCAAGTTCCTTCCTGTTCCTTTCACAGGCGCCGTGCGTGGACATGAATCACCCTGCCTGCTCGGTAAAAGGGCGGAAGTCCTTTTCCACTGTTCCAGTGACCGAGGCGAACGATGACGAGACTCAACTTTGGCAAGAGGAGGCATAAAGACCGAGTACGAGGAGCCAAAAGAAACCAAGATTTTGTTCAGCTAGCTACCTGGAAACAAGTTATGGAAGGCAGAGGGTGGCCTTTCTTGTGGTGTCGAGTGATCCTGTTGGATCCCCGGCCGATTTGGATCACGATTTCCGATTCAGTTGAACCTGACTTGTGTGTGGCCGTTCACAAGCGAAATTATAGGCAGAGTGGATGAAAACATTCGAGTGAGCATGCTGCTACTCCGTAGTCATCTAGGTGGCACATCAGATGGTCTTGTGCGGGCAAATGGTTGAGGATGCCCAAGGACGCGATGGAGAAAGTGTGGGGCAACGACGGGTGAGGTGCAGAGGGAGATGCATTGGTGCAGAGAACGAGGGAATAGTGTCGTGGTGGTCGTGGTTGGATTTGCTACAAGACGTTAGAGACAGCCACCAGACAGGTGGGCTGGCCTTATTTGGCTTGGAGGTTGTTGCAAGCCCACTCTTTTTTCAAGCTTAACCGATTCTGCAAGCAGGTGACACTGACATGACATGACATGGCTGGAGGTCTTGACGAGGTGAGTGGGTGGTGAGTGTGGTGGGTGCAGCCTTGGTTCGCAACAGAGCGAGAACGGGAAGAACTGGGGCGCAGCAGGGCACAAAATGCCATGCAAAGCTAGAAGCTAGCGCACGAGAGAGAAGACAAAAGACGTGACAGTGGAGATCTGACCATCACCAATGTCAGATAGTGAATGATGAAGTCGACACCAGTCTTAGGGAGAGAGGCTTACCAAGAAAGTTTGAGACGCCCGGACCTCGGTGGAAGATACCTGGTATCTACCTAGGGTCCAGTGCTGTAAACGACGACTGCACCTTGCATTGTTGAGTGTCGGTGTTCGTCAGATTCCTGCTCCCCTAGGCATAAGGTAGGTAGATGGCAGGTAATCGAAGACAAAGGCGAAAAGCCAGTTGCGGCTGCCCAGGCTGACTCGGCAACAATCTGCTTGTCGAGGTTGGCAGCCACCCACCCACATTATCTTGACTGAATTCACAGAAAACGAGCGGCTTTGGGCAAAGGGACAAAGTACCAGGAATTGAGTTTGGACCCCCGCCGAGTAACGCCCCATGCCTATCAGCGCCACGCATGGTTCGCCGCAACGCCAACGCCGCACCTGTCATCGCTTCGCTGCCTACCTAGGATTATCGTTACCCCCCCTCTCAACGTGGATGTCTTTGATCATCCAGGTGACGTTTGACACCACCCTACTCCATTTCTTGACACCCCGAGACGGAGATCTCAACCACTTGACCAAGAGGCAAGAGGTGGGTATGAGAGATGGCAATTGGAACGTCGTACTGCTACAAGGTCAAGGAGACTTGGAACTAGATGATCCATGCATCTAACAAGTTGGCATCTCACGTTGAGGAATTCTGCAGCTCCGCTGGCGGCTGATCTGCACGACATCTACATAGCTTCGTACTTGTTGTTGGCCGCCTTCTCGTTGCGGACAAGTGACTTTATGGCAACTGGAACTGGTTTGTTATTATTGACAAGAGGGCTTTCTAAATGGTGCCAAATGGCGCTCTTGTCAATCCCCTTTGAAATTCTAGGCCACAGGTGGACACAGAGGCAGGTGGGCACGTTGAGGAGAGAGAGAGATTTGAACCACTCTGTTGCTTGATTCGCCCGCGAACGCGTGGATCCCATCCAAAGACTTTGCTAGTGGATCTGAACGCCAATCTTGAGTATGCTAAAGCTAGCCGAGTCAGGCGATCCCAGCATCGTGTGATCATGAACAGTAGAATACAACAACCGCCTGATGAACTCGAGAGATTAATCCTCGAATCAAGGATGCAACAATAGTGATAGAGGATCAGAACCTGGCCAGAGGCATGAGAAAGAGAGAAAAGTCCCGAAGGCGAATCCGAGTGCGAGACCCGCTGTTGGACGCAGTTGCAGTACATATCGCAGGCCACCTTTCAACAAACAACTAATCCGACCGAGACATATGTAGGTAATTAGGCTGGAAGTCTGGAGTAAACTATCTGCGCATAAGCAGTAGTTCAATCGCAGTTATTGCGAGTCGCATCTGGCGCCCTGCGGGCGTCTCCATCGGACTAGTTACAAGTAGTTTAGGTATCCAAGACTTTCCCACAGAATGAGCTGGGGCAAACGAAGCCTGGTCGGACGTTGGAGGGGGCCGAGGGCCTTGCCTTGGGCCTAGCCTCCAGATCCCTCCCTCCAGCCTCCAGAGGACCAGAGTACACTGACGCCGTACGATAATTGTCTCGGGGCCATTTCCCATGCCGTGCATGCCTTGCCTGAACCATTGACTAAAGAATCCGTTGTGAAGGTTGCAATCTGTGTGTGGGCTGGCTGGTGTGTTCTTGTCCCTCCGCATACCTAAGGACCTAGGTATCTACCTATCTACCTAAGGGGTACCTAATCCGTGACTCTTGTATCGTGAATCTATCGCAGCTACAGGCAGCTCCTCCTCGGCGCCTGGTTGGTTGGTCGTTTTTTGGAACAATAACAGTTCATGTCTTTCTCTGACATTATTGTGATTGCCGGCCCTAAGTAGGTCGTGCTCCGTATTTTGACAGCGCTTCCCCTCCAAGCCAATGTCTTTTCTTACAATCGCTCCGTACCTTGCCGCTCTGCCGTGACAGAACTCCAGTAGGTATGTACTTGGGCCATTCTTGTCCCACAATTTATCATGATGCTTGTCTCTTTGGCCCCTCGGCCCACTACCACATGCCCGTTCTCTGTTCTGGCCGTGCCATATTCAACGAACTGAGTAGTCAATTAGCAATTAGCCGCAGGCCTTGTGCCCTAATCAACTCAATTCGACGTTCAATCGACATCATTTGCTCTGGTGGTCAGTGGCCACAGCCGCTGCATGCCTGTGCCAGTCGTTCCCGATGCACCAGATCCAGAGGGATCCAGTCATCCACCGTTGGTGTCAACCTCTCATAATCCTTCCCATGATCACCAACCTCGTATGCACAAACGCCCTCGCGACTAGGACCTCAACGTAACTTGCATGCTCCCCCACCAATCAACTACCCTGGTCCACCTACAGCCTGCACATGCGGCTAAGGAATTGACGCTCACCTCAAGCTACTCTTCTTTTTCTGGGGTCTGAAGCCGAAAACGCCCTGCCCTGGTCGCTCGTCTCTGGTCCCTTGCTATCGCTCGTCCACATCCACGCTCATGCCGATTTGGCATGCCACCTCGCCGTCCGTTTTGGCCAAAATTTCACGGGCGTCACTTCCATCAGTCCATTCTTGGAGTTCCACCTTCCCCCATATTTCAACATCACTCGCCCAGGACCATCTCGACTTCCGTCTCTTGTCCCTCCCCTCCTCATCCTCCCCAATGTCCTGCCGTTAGCCATATTCGCCCTCTTCCCCTTGCGTTTGTTTGCAGCCTCACTTCTGAGTGGTTACACCACTCTTTCAGTCGTTATCCTTTGCTTGTCGTTGTTGTACACACAAACGTTCGATTCCCGTGCTCATCATGGCAGTGTCCTGGTGGCCTTCCTTCGAGCCAAGCACGTGGTTTCGAATGTTCATCGTCTACTTGTAAGTCCAAACTCTTGACCCGAATCTCTCATTGTTTCCTCAGCTCATTCTCCAACAGTTTGTGGCGATATGTCCGCCTGGTGGTCAACCTATGGGCCTTCTGGACCTTCAAGCCAATCCCCATACCAGACAACCCCACGCTCTTCCCCAAAGATGTCACCGTCATTCTACCAACTCTTGACGGAGAAGGAGATGAATTGGAACGTACCATCGCCTCCATCCTCGCCAACGAGCCTAAGGAGATTATTCTTGTGACCATCGATGAGAACCTCCCCAAGGCCAAAAGAACCATGTCCAGGATGCCGGCGGCTCGATACGGCCGAATTCGGTGCATGTCAGTCAAACAAGCCAACAAAAGACGCCAGATGGCCAGAGCTATACCCGAAGTTACTACTAAGATCATTGTCTTTGCCGATGATGATGTGACCTGGCCTATTGAGACGCTGAAATGGATCTTGGCCCCGTTCGAAGACGACAAATACGGCGGCGTTGTGACATGCCAACGACTGAGAAGGGCTGAAAACCCCACATTTACGCAACGCATTTACGGGTTTCTGGGTGCCTTGTATCTGGAACGTCGAAACTTTGACTGCGCTGCCACCACCCACTTGGATGGTGGGGTTCCATGCCTCTCCGGCCGAACATGTGCCTACCGAACCAGCATTCTACAAGACGTCCAGTTCACCAATGGCTTCACAAATGAGCGTTGGTGGTTTGGACAGTATCAACTCAATGCCGACGATGATAACTTTCTCACCCGGTGGATGGTCTCTCACGGTCACTCTACATACATTCAGTATCATCCCAAATGCGAAGTCCAGACCACCTTGGAGGACAACCCGAAATTTCTGTTGCAGTGCCTGCGATGGGCACGCAGCAACTGGCGCAGCAACATGACGAGCTTGTGGACTGAACGCTACATCTGGTAGTAAGTTTCTTCACCTTGATTTGTTTACCCCCACCTTGTACCCCGGTCTTATCGATCTTGGCGCTGATCCCTTCTCCAGTCGTCAACCTTGGAGCACCTACGCCGTTCACCTAACAACACCTGCACCTCCCGCCCTCGTCGGAGACGCCTTGTTATGGCTATTTCTCTACCAAGGTGTTACGGAGTGGCCAACGGACGATGCCAACAAAATAATGTACGCTTTCGCCCTTTGGATGACCTTTTCCAAGTTCATCAAATTAGTTCCTCATTTCGCCCGGTATCCAGTCGACGGTTTTTTGTGGCCGGTTTCGGTCCTTTTCGGCTGGTTCCATGGTGGAATCAAGTACTATGCTGTGGTCACGCTGAGCGAGGTAAGCCTATCGCGTCGAGGAGCCATTGATGTGAAAGCTAACCTTCTTTAGACCACCTGGGGCAGCAGAGCCAACGCTGATGCAAGCGACTCTGGCAGAATGATCAAGCAGAAAAAGTCACCAGGAGCTCACATGCCCACTAACGAAAAGTTGAACGAGAAACACTTGCTTCATGATGACACTAAGTTTTACGCTTATGACTTGAAACGATCTCAAGCGCTACCTGCATAGGGCTTTGATAGCAGAACTCGAACCTCCACACCCATCTCAAGGTCGCTTCAGTTGCTCGCCACTTGCCCGTTGGTAGTTTGCTGTCAAGATTTAATCTTCCGCCCTTCGAGAGAACATCCCAGCCAAACCCAAAATATACCGGCAGCTCTCGAACACGGATACAAACAGGTCACCTGTGAATAATTGGGAGGCAGTTTTGCTTTGTCAAGGCTCTTGCGAGCTCGAGATTTAGCATCTCACACGCTCCAGGAAGCCATCGAGCCTCGTCGACATTTTTGCTCGTTTAGAGACAGATCGTCTTTGTCCACATGGACACTTTCGCCGTTTTATTGCTGGCGTTTCAATTCACACGGGAGGACTTTTCTTTTCTTATCGCAACATGCATTGCAAAAGCGGAGCTTGGATGAATTTGCACATAGCGAGCGAGGGCTTACCGGATCTACTACGATTATGAGACGATGATACGATGAGGCTTGCGCGAGCGTTTTTTTCTCAGTAGAAACCAGGGTCTGGAGGAAACGGGTTTCTTTTATGACGTTGGGATTGATGACGTGGGAACTTTATGGGCTAGAGAAAGAAGCTGAAGACACTGCGCCGACTCTCCTCTTGACTGGAGACATGGCGGGTCGATCAACTTACTAGCTTCCTCGTACAGAGCGGTATTTGAGAGATGGGAGGGAGGGATACTCGACTGAACCAGGCACAGACGTCTCCTCTCTTTTGCATGGCTTAAAATGGGAAGGGAAACGACGTTCAAACACTGGGCGGTGGACTGATATGGATCTTCAAAAACAAAAGAATGTTACTGCTTTTCTCTCCAACCTGACGATTTAATTTTTCCTGTGTTCTAAAGACTTAGGTCCGTGAGGATGATGCTGTCTCTTTACGGTGTAGTTTGTTTTCTGTGGCACGTGTATGGCGATCATCATGTCAAACTCAAATCGTGTGACACATGTCATGGTGGGCGGAAAAGCCAAAGTCATGGGGCCATATGGCCCACACACAATACACAACACGAATTTCTATAAGAAGTGTATGCATGGCCAACTGCAAGTGGCGTGAGCGGAGCTTGGGATGAGCAGAGTACAGTGATGTACATTTATGCACACGTGTGGGCATAGGAACGAAGGTGGAAGACGATTTTGACGACCTTGAAAAAAGGACGAGCTCGATAAATGAGGTAAGCAGCAACGGGAAGATGCCATCCCACGTATGGAAACAATAACCAAGGTAGGAGGAAAGTACGGAGCTGGACGCGAGAAGAGAAACACTTTACCGTTGTCGTTTCGTCCCTGGCACATCCTCTTAAAATCTGGACTGGCCTATGAGTAGCAAATGTTCTCGCCATCCTTTGTTGCAATGTTTCATGCGGGTAAACACGTTTGACCGTCAGCAAGACCTAGTTACAAGTTACTAGCCATTTCTACTGGTGACCCACGAGGGATCGAGGGATCGATCAACGCCAAGGTAATATTGTCTGGGTTGGCGTCCATCAAACTCCCACGCCCCCTCCCCACGCCGTGAGCCTGTCATCTGCAGCAGACCGTTTCTGTAAAAACTATTGCGACGGTTCGTATCTGCCGTGGCAGGTTACACAACATGACGTCTGCGCATCAAGGTCGCCCGGCACATAAGCCAAGATATGTCCAGGGGCCGAGGGTCATGGTTGATTGCATAGCGGGGAGGTTGAGGTCGCCGGGGTACTGCTCACGGCCAGAAGGAACAGGCGCAAGCCGCCACGAAATGGGCCAGGGAGGAGAAGAGAGGAGTCTGCTGGTGGATATATTGGTCTATCATCTATTGGCTCGACGCGCATGTGGCTTCTTGGTGGTAGAAGCTAAGAGCGACAATTTGAATCCTCGTTTCAGAGCAACTTTCTCGTGGTCATCATGTTGAGGATCAAATGTCAACTATCGCTTGTGACTTGCAGTTCAGATACCTCTCTGGTGACGGAGTTCACGCAAACGATGTGCTTGTCGGGCATGCGCCAGGCCCATCCTGCCTGCCTGCATATACGAGCACGAGTCGGCAAAGGTGAGAAGGAAACGGGCGGTAGGAGTGCTGGAGCACTTGATCCTTTCTGCGGTTCATCAATTGCAGGGTGGCTTTACCTAGTCTGCTGCAGGGCAACAGCGGCTCAAGAATGCTTGTTCTTGAGCTTTGGCTGCACAAAATCGCGGCATTATCTTTGATGGCGACTGAGACCGACCAAAATACGACCTTCCAAAGCCGGGGTCCGACGGCAGCTGAGAGTACAAAGGTCTGAGACCAATGGCAAGATCAGGGAACATTGGACGACTGCAAGGTGGTGCATAACGTCTTTCCCTTCAACCTCTAACCTGACAAAGGCGTTGCTCTCTTGCCCGGGAATTCCATCCTAGCAACTAGGATCAGGTATACCAAGCGAACTGGTGAATGGCAGGATGAACTGCTCTCGACGCTGCATATGTGCTCGCGATACATAATCAGAACCAGGGTGCAAGTTTGGCCTGCTGTGGCTGCAGCAGCAGGGGTACTTACAGCAGTGTGATGCAGACCATCATGTCTCTCTTCCCACCTCCCAAGGCAAAGCGAAGGCCTGGGTTTTTGTCTTCCGATTGGAGATGGTTAGCTGCTAGTCAGGACCTTCATCAGCCCCAACCAACGCAATCTCTCGGGCCTCGACTGCAAGCGGCTGGAAATGGATTGCTACTGTGATGGGCACTGGACCTTTTGAGGCATGCAGGGCAAACAACCCTTGGAAACAGGGAAGGAAACATTGATTCCTCACGACGAACCACGAAATGACATCGAAATGACATGATATGTTGACACATGACCAAATCATCAATGCCTTCTGATGGTAGGGATATAACTCAATCAAGGCTGATGAGAATCCGGCTTGATCACCATCTACGTATGGTATGTACTCGTACGTAGGTCAAGTCGGGAACAGACTGCGCCGTACCAGCCAACTCCTTCTGCGCATCATCCCAGACTCGATTCGGCCTGCCTAAGAGTTCAATGTTGACATCTGTTCTTCACTGCGAAGGCCCTTTGGTCGAAAGGGCGAACCACAGCTCTGCACCCATTACTAAATGCTATATTCAATGTGGCTCTACATTTGAAGCGATTCCATAAAACTGGACATGAGTAAATGTACAAAGACCGACAGGATTCTCAGCGTCCAACGGACAACGCACAAGTCGATGCAAAGGGTGGGTTGGTGACCTATTTGCCTTATTTTTCAGCGCCGTCGCCGCCTCCGCAATTCAAAAGAAGGAGGATCGATATCTTCGTCCTCCTTGTCATAAACATCAACTGGATCTTGGGAAACTATTCCCTGCTCTTGATCCTTCATACCGGCCTCTTCAGTTCCCCATACCTCGTTCAAGTCGTCAAATTTTTCAATACCATGATTTCCCAGAAGCCATCTTCCCAGTCCAAGGACAGCTTCATAGGCCTCTTCTCCGGTAGGAACGATATGGGACCTTGGTAGTAAGAATCCATACGTTCCGGTATCCCGGAGTTTGATTTGGTAGGCGAACTTGGTTTGGAGATCATGGTAGAAGAAATCCAACGCGGATCCGCCTTGTTCGCCCTGCATTCTCTTGCTCGTGGCCTTGTCTTTAAAGGTAATGCTCCCTTCACACGCGCTTTCAACGCCATAGTAGTGGCCGTTGGTGAGGCGGAAGGATTTGGCCAGACCTATGGCCACCTCCTCGAGATCCTCGAGATTGGGAGGTTGCACATCGCACGTGTAACTATACGGGTACAGCACCTCTTGCGAGTACGAGTGGAGGTCGAGGTATGCCACAAAAGTGACATTGTTGTTTTCTGTTTGATTGCGAGCCCAGTCTGACAGTATTCGTGCTTCGACAGCGCCAAGCGGGCCGGTGCCCGCATAATCATCACTGCAAGCATTGTCGCGGCCGGTGTGGCCGTCCCAACCAAAGTCGAAAGACCTATCAATGTCGATCCCAGGGCAGAAGGGGATGTCTGTAGACTGTCTGTTCTTTCGCCAGAGTCTGTCGGTGGTCCAAGTGTACTCGTAGCCATCGGGGTTCAGAGCAGGAATAAACACCAAGTCAAAATGATCGAGCAATTTGGTGACATGAGGGTATCGATGGCCATAGCGTGTCACCAGGCTATAGGCAATATATGAGGTGGTCGAGACCGAGATCCATTCCCGCGCATGTGAGCCACCCGAGATGACGAGGGTTTGTCGCGAGTCGTGGTCGCCCTGAGGAATATAGTCCTTTTGTGTGCCTATTCGCAAGGCAGGGATGTCACGGCCTTCTGCTGACTTGCCGATACTGATCAGCTCGGCATGGGTGGGGAATAAAGAGGCAATCAGACGCAGCCACGGGTACAGGACTGATAGGGGTTGATAGTCGTGAAAGAAAAGATCTTGAGGAGGGCCTGAGGTTGATTTCCAACTGTGAGTAGGAACTGGTGAAACCCAGGCTTGATCATGTTCAGATGTCGAGGAGGAGGTTGGATATGTGTCGAAAACAGCTTGAGCGAGGTCGTGCATAAGAGGGGTATATGAGTCGTGTAGAGAGGATGGCAGAAGTCCCATCAGCGAGGGGAGCATATCTTTGGCAACTCTAATATCGACCCACTCGTCGGTCCCTTCCCAGACATCCAGCAACAAGATGGCAGCGGCGTCGGCAAGGGTTTTGGCCTCGTCTGCAGATCTGATTCGAAAGCGCAGCACGACATCATTGCCGTATCGAGTGCGAAAGTGCTGAGGCGCATTGGAGAGATGTACTGAGGATGGTGGGTGGGAGGATTTGGGAGGTAGCGACCAGATCTTCTCAATCACAGCATTTCGGAGCCTGCGAAAGACACCAATCGGTCTATCGTCGGAAAAGTGAGGAGCATGTCGAGGGTGGTGTGAGACTTCGGTGGATTCAGGTGTTGGAAGAGAAACACAGATTGATGGGGAGACTAGGGAAAGAAGCACAACGATAGATTGAAGAACTGGGGCCATGGTGGGCGCAGGTTGGTTGATTAAACAGTCATAAGCGAAAGATATCCATAACAGGAAGAAGTGCGCGGTGTTGGTATCATGAACAGTGAGTGGTGATGAGTAAATTGCAGCGTTGTTGAGATACTCGACATTGATGAAGGAGAGTGCAGAAGTGAGTTGAGGATGACGACTTGGAGTGAATGAGTGAGTTGGTGGTGGTGGTGTTATTTACCTGCGCTGTGGTGCAAATGCAAAAAGCATATGTCGAACACTGGGAGAAAAGCTGGAGCCTTAGAGGCTGAGAATTATTGGTTGCACCCTGCGCACCCAAACTTTGTTCTTGGGGGGGCTTGAACAGGCGAAGTTAATAGGCAAGGTACTCACCAGTGGCACTCTCAAACAACAAAAGCAGTTCTAGTACGTGTTGCTTCTTCGAGTCGGCTTTGGTATGGCCTCGTTGCCAGCGATGCGTTATGTTCTTTCTTGAGAGAGTGTCCTAACCATGCTCTGAAAAGATGGAAGTTCTTCAACATCAGCATTCGCATGTGGTCAGTCCAGTCAGCTAGTCTCATCCTCCGGAGTAGGTGGCTAGGCCCTATTGACTGAGCCCCAACGGCGGGGTCAGCGGTTATTTGTTAAGGGAAAGGCTAGAGATGGGTAGGCGGGCCGAAAAGCAAGTGGGACCAATTGCCACGAGCGAGTGCTGCAATTGTGGGCGACAGCACTACGAGTACCATTGCCACTTACACCAAGACCTGATGCTAGATAAAATCACCAGCAGAAGGAAATCAACGGTTAGTTCTGCGAGATGGTAATGGCTTGATCCAGTAGAACTCTCATTCATCATGCATCTATTCCTGCTCCATCCAAGGAGGATTGATTCTTTTCTATGCACAGAATGCCTCGGATCAGCCCAGCCTCTGGTACCTCAACCACTCTCCATAGATTCAGGTCCATGGTGTGTCGGTATTGTTCGCATTTGCTTCGTGAGGTCATGCTTCTCCCTCGGAAGCTGCTCATCACATCCAGTGTAGTCCAAAGGATGCTTTACACCTTGTATTCTTCCAAACCAGCCCTCCAGATGGTGGCATAAGGGGTCATGCCGTCCTCGCGGAAATCAACCAACACATACATGCCGTTCTCAGCCATGGACTCTCCTTGGTAGATGTCGTAGTTTTCCCAGTTACCAAGAATCTTCTTGGCTGCTGCTGGTGCCTCTGACTGGAACTTCTTGATCTCTTCCTCGGACTTTCCAAGCTCCTTGAGCTTCTCGACCAAAGCCTTCATGTATTCTATCCTCACGTTAGAATTTGATTGTCACCGGGGCATCCAACACTTACTCTTCAATTCGGATTGATATGACTTCTTGGACATACCACCCTCGAGCTTTTGCAGTCTGAATTGATCCGCCAGATCGAGAACGGGGGCGTTGTCACCGGCATCGTCGCCACCTTCATCAGCGTCTTCGCCTTCTGCGGATGGATTCGCGCCATCAAGAACTGTGTGCAAGTCTTAGTCCAAGGTACCCTTTCCAACCGACCAAAAGAAAACCCCACCAAAGTTATCAGCACCCTTCTTGATCATCTGGCCGTCAACCTCCCACAAGCCATTTCCGGCATCGATGATTTTGGAGGTGTCTGAGACGATCTCGTCACCAGTCAGGATATCCTAAGAACAAACATTATCAGTCCGTGGTCGAGCAGATCTCGTTTAAGGGCCGGCTTTCAGGAATATTGAGGGGCGGTGGAATTATGTGTCTTACCCGGTAGATAATCATAGTGAAGGATTTGGGTGGCACGGAAAAAACTTGAAAAAGGATGCCAATGGGCGACAAGATTGATGAGTTTGTAAATGAACGAGAAAAAGATTCTCGCAGAGTTCAAAAGCGCAGGCAAAGACTGGGGATATTCTTTGAGGAAGTGGGAGGGGCAAATGGGCACTACTACTGAAGAGTCCTGTCAGTGGGATCACTGGTTGTTAGAGCATAAAAAAGGACTAGTCCAGAACATGTCCATGATTCTCACGTTGCACCAGCAAAAATTCTCCATCGATCCTATTCGAGAAGGCAAGCCGAGACTCTGGTACTAGAAGCCCGAGGGGCCCATGCATAGGCTTGGCACATCCCGTGACTGACTGGACCACAGTAGTTACAAGAGTCAAGGGTCCATGGTCCATGTGTTGTGATCTGAATTAGAAAGATGGAGTGACAGAATCCGACAGCAGTTCCACCAGACGCAGTAGTGGATGCCTCTCGCTCGTCAGGAGATCTTGTCTCTCGCTCCAGCTACCATATGTTTGTCCTTTCTCTCACGTGTAATCGTATTCGTAGAATGTGCCTATACTGGAAAAGAGGTGGATCAAATCACTCACTACGGCGACATCGGAAATAGCCTTGGAGGAACCTGGCTAGGCGCCTAGCAAGCCTATTTGCTCCCTGGAGAGCCGAATCTTATTAGGGGTGGCTAGGTGGAACTCTCTCGTGTTTATTATTCGAACCCCGTGTGGTGCTCTGCTCGCTCCTTGCCCTCCTCGGCCGAGTTGGCACAGGCACAGCGCGACATCCTGGCACTGAACTCACATTCATCACTCAACTCCACGCCCAGTAGTGGCAAATTCACGCATTCTACTCATCGCCCTTCCTCATCATCTCCAGCAAATCCATTTCAACACCCTCTCCTTCATCTTCTCTCTCCCCCACAGTCTTTTACTCTCTTTTCCATTCCAACTATACAACTGCTCTTTCTCATTTGTGTCGACTCCCCCAGTTTCTTCCCCTTATCAGCATCCTTTCTGCAGGACCCTGCGTCGCAAACTCTTGCCCCCAGTCATTTGCTGCGTCTGTCACCTCATCAACATCCGGAGCCTCCGAACCTTTCCACATTACTCTCAACCAGCCCTCTTATTGTCGCAACTTCTGTCTAGTTCAACAACCTCCTCTGATCTCCTTCGGGTCCATAGTGCATGGTTTCACAATGGCGAATATCACCACCACTCAGAGCCAGAGCTTGCCGCAGCTGCCTTCATACACCCTGTCACCACGACCTGATTTGATCTCTGGAATTCCAGATCCTGTTCTGCAACTGCTCGCCCCTATTATTGCCTACTGGGTCGTCTCGCTTTTCTTCCACCTTCTCGACACATACGATCTGTTCCCCCAGTACAGACTACACACGCCAGCCGAAATCCTCAAGCGAAATCATGTCACCAGATACGAAGTTGTAAGAGATGTCCTCATTCAACAATTGATTCAAACTGTCTTCGGCCTCGGCCTCGCTTATTTTGATCCCGTTGAAACTGTTGGTAAAGAAGAATACGACATTGCGGTCTGGGCACAACGTCTTCGAACCATGCGCGTTTCCCTTCCTACCTTTATTGCCCTCTTGGGCGTAGACTCAGTTGCTCTGGGAAGCAAGCTTGCCTCCAATTACCCCCAGCTGTCAGTCATTGTATCAGGAGGCCCATTCCCAACTCAAGCCTTTACTCCCTGGGAGCATCTTGTGGCAAAAGTCATCTATTGGGCCGTGATTCCTTTTGTGCAGTTCGTCATTGCCATCCTTATTGTCGACACCTGGCAATACTTTCTGCACCGTGGAATGCACATGAACAAGTTTCTGTACACCACCCTTCACTCTCGCCATCATCGACTCTACGTGCCCTACGCATTCGGGGCCCTATACAATCATCCTCTGGAAGGATTCATGTTGGACACGCTGGGTACTGGCCTCGCCTATCTTGTAACTGGAATGACTGTTCGTCAAGGCATGTGGTTCTTCACTTGCTCCACAATCAAGACTGTGGACGATCACTGCGGCTATGAATTTCCCTGGGATCCCCTTCAACGAATTACTTCCAACAATGCTGCCTATCATGATATTCACCACCAAAGTTGGGGCATCAAAACAAACTTCTCCCAGCCATTCTTCACCTTCTGGGACCGTTTTTTGAACACAGCTTGGGCTGGTGGGGATGTTTCGGCCCGGTATCAGCGCGACCGACAAGCTGCACAAAGGAAAGTCGATGCAGATGCCGCAGCTTCGTCTTCAATGATCAGCTCAATGCCCATTGAAGCAACCAAAGCGAGACAGCAGGCTGTTGCAAGTCAAAGGCAGGTCCTAGATGACAAAGAAAATGGCGGAATAAGGGTCATCAAGGAGGAGATTCTTGAAGAGCAAGAAGTTAAACAGACCCCAAGGAGGAGTTCCAGGAGGAAGCCAAGTGGGTTTGACCCCAAATCCATCTCTGACAGAGTGTCTGGCAGCCTTCATGGTAGAAGTCATGCCATCCTCCATGCTGATGGGGCACATTGACCGACCAGGGCTTCAAACCTCAGTTCCCTCGGTCAATCCACCGCATCATGACCAATAAAAGATATCACGTGCTATATCCTCGACTTTTCTATCCAGGCGAAACGGCCATCATACAAGCGTTTGGTATTATGAGGCTCAGCAAAGGCTTATGTGCCTTATCAGTGAATTAATGTGTATAAATAGGAAAGGGCAGGCACCAAGACGACAAGTTTTAATTAGTTAATTGCATACGATTTTCTTATACCCGTCGAACTCGACTGTCATCCCCAGTGTTCACCAACGTCCATGTTTGATATCATATGCAACCACAATCCACGACGCAGGCATGCAGTCTAACGACGCTTGTCTGGTCAATCGTTTTGCAAAGCATTCGGCGTGGCTTCGTGGTTCTGGTTTTGTGCCAGCATACAAAGATCCATTCACCCCTGGACATTTTCTTGTTTTGATTCGACTGGACCATAGAAGGCTTTTCATTGTTACGTGGCCAACACTATTGTTCCTTGCGCTGTATGCTTTGTTGTGCTTCTTGGGAGCAACAATGATGATATGTTTTCTACAAATCTGCCATCACACCTTCTCTGACATCCTTCAATCCTAGCACCACAATTCTGAATGGTTAGTGAAATTCGACGCTTGTCGACAGGTCAAATCACTATTTGTGTAGTGGGTTTAGAGCTTTCTTATCAAACCTCTACCATCAAACAAGCCTAACCTAGCTCGCTTGATGTACCACTGGTGAGTCTGACTGATTCCTTTCCTGATACCGGCCGTTATCAAAATGCGGATCACGTATCGATTACGAGACATTCCTGAGAAAGAAATTCGGAAATTAGCTAATGTTCTCCAGTTCCGTCCCAGAGAGAATCATCAGGATGCCGAAACTCGTATCAAGAGCGACATCAAAGCTTTGCCTTGTAGGCTGAGAGGGCCAGGTCGCCTGATCAGACTTCTATGCCCGTCTCGAATCGATACTTGTCAATGGCACAATGGCATCAATCGATGCGTCGCCGATGTCATATTGCACAATATCCAGCTTGAGGTGGGCTTCCGCTTGAATAATCTCGTCGCACATTCCAAGCTCCTCCAGGGCGATCAGTTGGACCGTATCTGGAGACTTCGGGAGTTGCACGCTCTGTGGTTAGAGCCCGAAAACTTTGCAGAGACTTTTCGCATTTCGCCTAATTGGGTCAAATGGGACTATCAGGCTAACCATTGTGATGCTTGCATCTTGTCTCGGATCTCTGGAAATCTCGAAATCCTGCTCGATCTTCGGTGCATGATCAAATCACGAGCAACAAGCAAGTATGTGGCAAAATATGGTGACCCCCCGTTGCTCAAATGGGTCATGACTTGGATCGAGACCATGTTGTCCTCTGTGGAAAGATCAACCGGCCAGCGCGTTAAAATCACCGACCAAATCGAGATCAATGACCGGCGGTCGGTAGAGTTCAAGCGATTGCGAGCCAGAATTCACATTAAGAAAAAGATGGAAAAGGCAGAAGCTGGTCCCAGCAAGGAGGAACAAGCTCCAGCCGTGCAATCTTCAGGGCACGACCTGCCCGACTCTTTTGCAGATCAAGGTGAAGATATCGTGGCTTCAAAGAAGTCTAGGAGTATACATGTCCCTGCTTCTGAATTTCAAGAGCACATCTCGGACGATGCTCTTTCCGCGATCGACTCCTACGCTGCTCTGAAAAGCTCGCTTGTTCTTCCTATGCCAACAGTCAACGATGACGACGCTCAGAACGCCAGTTCCGGACCAAATCAGCAACCTCGTGTCGACAACGACCAAGGAAGTACTTTTTCCAACCCGCGTGCGCAATGGAAAAAGGGGGCATCGAGAATCTATCCTCATGCTGCCACTTATGTGAACCCTGCGTCCACTGTCGTCTCTAAAGCTACCGCGTGGGATAGTGTCGTCTTTGGAAGTCAATATGCCTCCGGCTTCGACGGGAATGCTCACCCATCGGGCGTGGATCTTCGCTCTGGCGTTCCGGGCAAGCAAACCTCAAGTTCTCATCCAGCTTCAACCATCGTCGATAGCAACGGATCCATCGTGTCATCCACCGGGGGCCAAGCACGAAAGTCGAAGCCATCTTCGCATAGTGACTTCGAGCGCAAGTATGCAGAAAGTGGCAAGCCAGTTCCTCCATCTGCTGCTCCATCTTCTACCTGCTACTCACGCCAACCGAGCAGCTCGAGGGATGCTCGATCTGATCGAACTGCTGCTACGAGCACGAGATCTGGATCGAGCTACGGTCCTTGCTATCCGCCTATTAGAGTACAGGGGGGGAATACTGCCGACTCCTACCTGAAACTGGTGGATCATTCGCCATTTTCCACTGGCCGAGAAGCGCCAGCTTTCAAAGACGTTTCGTACGGTGGTCGCAAAGATAGTCATCGCACACAGCTTTCCTCCAACAACTTGAGCCCAACTACAAAGCCAACATTCAAAGTCTCACATTCAAAGCCGCTCTCAGCCCATCGAGAGACCTCGACGAATCGGCACCGACAGGATAGTGTCGCATTGACAGAAAACTTTTTAAAAGAGTTTGAACAGCTGGAACGAGACCTGAGCCCACACGGACCCGGCTCTTCTCGCCGTCGTATTCATCATGGCCGCAGCCAGGACACCGTAGGAACCTCCATCTTGTATCCGTCCAGCAACACCATCTCGCCAGAATCTGTCGAAGCACTGACTCCAACTGGTCTTAGACCGGTCAGGAACGGTAAATCTCGAGAACAGTCACGGTGCAAGGAGCAGAAAGCATCGAAGCAGCATCAAATGTCGCGAAAGGATAGCTATGATTGCAACTCTGAAGAGTCCAGACGTTCAGCTGCACCTCGGCTCAAGGCTTCAAGAAGCAATGACGTGCACAGTCGGAAGCACCGAGATGCAGCATCGAGTTCAAGAGCACATCACAAATGCACTCCGTATGGAGACACAGCGTCATCCAGGATGGGCTCCCAAGCCACTGGCTGGTCTGACGCGTATGGCGCGGGACTGAAGGAAGGAGAGGATGTGCAATGGTATTATGGTGGCAAATAGAAGACTAGTCACAGTGATGGGATCTTGGGAGGCCAGTTTTCCAGGTACGAAGGTAACACATGGGTAGTAATGGACGTTACGGTGTCCCAAGAGAATGAAAATGTCCACAGATTGTAAATTGTGCAAGCAATATTGTTCCCAAAGTGATATTGATTGAATCTGCTTCATTTACGGGCTGATAAGGTCTTTCGAATTAACGACACGCTATGGGCCTAAGCTTCAATCGTTTGACTGGCCGGACTAGCAATATCTCTTGCTCGTCTAGGGTACTGCCTTATCATCTACTTCGATCCATTCGCCTTAGCCATGTCCTGTGTCATTCCCCGGATCCAGACACCGTCTGGTTTGAAGGTTTCTTCAATCAGAAACTTCTGGCTCTCATCGGCATAGTCGACGGGTTTTCTATAGAAGAGCCTATCGACCACACACTCGACACTCTGTCCAGCTTTGACGACACCGTCCTCGCCATCGCTCTTGCCATCGGATTTATCGACACGGCCCCTTTCGTCCGTCAACTCGTCATACGCACGCAACATTGTCGAAATTGGAGTGATATATTCCGGTGGCCAGAGGGCCGTGACTCCAGAAGGTGTCATGGCCGTGTCAACATATGCTGGACAAATGCAGTTGACGGCAATATTGTCGGTGGCCAGCAGCGGGCTGACCGCCCGCGTCAATGCCAGAACTCCATGCTTGGTTGCATTGTACAATGGAGCCAAGGGAAATGGGTACAGACCAGCGCAGGAAGATGTAATAACCAATTTAGGGTTGAATGTCGCATGTGGAGTGTCGGTTCCTGAACTGGCTTTGAGGTCACGATTGGTCTTGCGTGCGTAGTAAACAAAGAGTCGTACGCCGTAGAAGACGCCCGTCAAATTCACTTCGGCTGAGGATAGATCTGGTTTTGGGGGTTCGCCATCCAAATCCCATGGGCCTGCGGTGATGTGGTCGCGTTCTGAAGTCCCTGCATTTGCGGCGACGAAGTCGATCTGGTTATTCCCGGACCACGCGTAGGCCTTTTTGAATAGAGCAGCTTGTTGGTCCCATGATGTTACATCGGTCTCGACGAATATGTGGCGTTGTGTGTCAAGCTGTGAGGAAATGGCATGATATCCTTCGGGTCTGATGTCGGCGATGACGACCTTCCAATTGGGTTTGGCAAGAAGGTGCTTGACAAGACCAAGGCCGATGCCAGAGCAGCCACCTGGGATGTGAGCGATGGTATAGATCTTGGGAACAAGCCTACTTACCAGTTACAATGGCAGTCTTTAAATGGGTCGACATGGTTGGTGTCTATGGTCACGTGATGACACTCTTCAAGCTTGATCGACAGTCTGTCAGTCAGTCAGGGTTTCGGCGTAGGTGTATGATATTTCCGAGAGCCGATATAAGATGGAGAATATGTATTGAGATCACAACAGAGAGTCAGAATGTCCAACGGCTAGGCAGAGAGGTTAAAAAAAAGGGTTGAGAGTGGCCCATCTGCCATGTTAAGCTATCTTGAATCCCTCCTCATAAAAGCCAGAAGACATGCTTTGATCAGTAAGTAGCATTGCTCGTCATGTTCGGTTGGAGCCACGCGTGCTTACCGAGGGTTCCCTGACATGTTAAGATCCGACTAAGAAAAACAGGTGCCGCCGAATCGACCCTATAGAGTCAAACTCGGCGGGGAGAGAGAAAGCATGGAGTGTGATAGAAGGACTTTGAGTTCAGGCTGCCCCTGCCCCGCATTGTCAGTTGGTTTATTACTCCGTAGACCTTTGTCTATCATTGTCCAGAACATCAACATTCCTCTAATAATTTGTACGATAGGAAGGACATCTGGCGCTCTAGGCGCAATATATCATAGGAATCTTTAAGACACGTGACGATATCATGGATGTCCTTTACTACGTCTTTGCCACATCTCAACTGTTTTCTCAAATATCTGATCAATTCAAGAACTAACTTAGGTAGTCTCTCAAGCGAATATTTGTGCATAGACCAACTTACTTGGGATAGCCTAAGGGTGAATCGGGGCGTCCGGTGCTCTTCCGGATGGATTGCCCCCTCTTCTCAAGCCACTTTGAGTCATACGAGGATGACAGGAAGAATTCTACGTGTCCTCGGGTGTGGACACTTGCCTTGTACCATAATTCTACTTGATTCCATAAGCGCTCTTGATATTTAGCATCCTCCTTCAATACAGGAAGCTCAATTTATTCAATTCGACTCCATTTGATCTTCTTATAAGCAATTGGTGATACATTAGCATTGTAAGCAGAGGAACTACTGAGTAGCTAGTCTTTTCTGCATTCTGCAGTTCTGAGCTCGTATTCAAGGTCTCACCCCATCCATAGTCCCATGGTTTTCGACATCGTGCTCGAGTACTCCTTGCCAGGTCCAGGTCCAGGTTCACTCATGCCCGAACTGACTCCCTGACACTCCACAACGGAGCGACCGTCTCCACGGCACGTTCCACCACAGCCTTGACTCGATCTCGAAGTGCTTGGAATGAGCATTCGACCTCCAATGTCTCCAGCCATAGTGTAGCAACATACTTGTCAACCTTGATTTGAAGGCCCGGTACTGGGATCCCTAGAGCAGCGAGACGCGCCCGTTCCGCTGCTTCCAGGGCTTCCACTTCTTCCTCATTCTCAGAGGTATCCTCTTCTTTGCCAATATTCGCGGACTTGTCCTTGGTCTGTTGTGGTAATCGAGGTCTCTCGATCGGTACAACGCCATCTCCGAATTGCTCTTCTAGGAAGAGACACACTCGAGAAAACCGATCTTCCGGCAAGACGTTAGAGAAGTCGTTCTTGAGCGCCTTGGTGCCGTTCGAATGGTGGTGCGAGTGGGTGTGAGAAGACTTGCTCGACGAATACTTGACCGCAGCTGGACTGCTCTCAACCGTCATCAAGACAGCCATGACGGCATCTGCTATGCCGTCATTCATGGTGTTTCCTTCCCATTCTAATTCAATCTGCTTTTCCCGTCCCGACCATTTTAATGTGACGCATCCCATGATCAGGAAAGTGTGCTCCGGTTCCAGGGCAATCTCTTCATCTGCTTCTTCTTGCTCTTCCCCTTCTTCCTCTTCAGTCTTGTGTCCATTGGTTTCAGCGGCATGTGGACCATTGCTTCTTCCCTTCTCCACCTTATCTGATTTCACCACGCCCACTTCTTCGATACTGCCGAACGTGCCTTCTAATGCCCACCGGATCAACTCCACACCTGCAGCAGCAAGTGTGATATGTTGACGGCATACGATGGTAGTGGTTGTTAGGCCTGCATATTCTCGAAGGTCTTCTGGCGCCATCAGGCTAAGCTTGAATCCATTTTGAACCAAAACCCCACTGACTACTCGACCATCCTCGACGTCGTTGGGTGTTGGTAGCGTCATTTGTGCAAGTTTGCCCACCACCTTGGCCACCTTATCCTTGCGAAATGCGATCCTGATCTCCGCCCCATTCTCAGGGCTATAGACTTTCGTCTGGTGAGCATTGGGGTTGTTTGCCAATCGTCTTGTGTTGAGGTCCAGCAGTCGTGATCGTAATCGTGCAGCCTGAGATCGTTCTCCATGAACCAGAATCACATGAGGAGCGGCGACTTGTTCAATGAATTCGACATTCTCCACTCCTGTCACATGTGCAGCAAACTGGAACTCTTCCACTGTACATCTTCGAGGAATCATCACGGCGGCATCGTCGTCTCTCTTTCGACCCATGGCTTGGTTCGGCCCTGTTCCTCCTCCACTCATGATGGCTGGAATCATTTCAGGTTCGTGCAGGATGGTCCTGGCCATGGTACCTTCAACATTGTATCCAGTCATGACCACGCCATTGCGTTGATCTGGTGCCCATCTTTCTAAGAGAACCCGTGACATGCCTGATTGAAGCATGCCAGGAGAAGCCAGCATAACACAGCCACCCACGTCGTCGAATCGATCGAGGTTGCGTAAGCTTCGCACGAATCGAAAGTCCCAAGGTCCAGCACTGACGCCCTTGGCATTTCCAGCTGCCTCTGCCTCTGCCATCCTTTCTCGGAAAATTCGTTTGATATTGTCGTTCATGGCATTAATATAAGTCTGATACACGACCATGCATTTTCGAGCCGTGTTTCCGGTGTAATAGATTGGATACTTCTGAAGTTCGGGGTGCCGCTGCCAGTAGTCCTCGAGAATGAGCAAGAGCTCTTGGGCACGACCAAGAGCAAACACTGGCATGAGAACTTTGCCACCCCGATTGATGATTCCTGATACCGACTTGAGCAAAGCACTTTCTCTTTCAGCTCGAGGAGGAGCATTTGATATGCCAAATGTTGACTCTGTGATCAGAACATCGATCTTGCCAACTGTCTCTGGATTGGGAACCTCGGCTGCAATGAGATGCCTGTCCTGCTCTCTTGAATAATCTGCTGTGAAGAATATGTTGAGGCCGGCAATGTTGATCAGGAACATGGCGGCCCCTAGAACATGGCCCGCCGGGTATGGTGTTATTCTCACTCCGGAGACGGTATGTGTCGTGTAGAAATCAATGGTTTCGATTTGAGGCAAGGTTGAGATGTGATCAGCTTCGGTGTAAAGTGATGTCCTTTGGTCTGACGTCGAAGATGTGTTGCTGACGCGAACCGAGTCTTGGATAAGCCACTTGTAGATTGCTTTAGTGGGATGAGTCATGAAAACTCGACCGTGGAAGTCGGTCTTTGCGAGAACATAAGGTAGGGCGGCAGCATGGTCAAGGTGGAAGCTAATGGAATAGAGGTGGTCAGCAACGCAGACTGGAAAAGAGGTTTGCCCGGCTAAACACGCTGAAGGCACAGGATACAGCAGGATCGAGGGAGCACTTAGAGGAGACGGTGGGATTGGTGAACATGATTGTATTGATGAGGGTTCTAGATACAAAATTTGTTCAACCAAATCGGCCTTTGGTGCCGTCCCGATTGTCCAACCAGACCTTCGCTCTTGAATTTCTGTCTCCCAAGACATGTGTTTGATGCAGGCAGAGACATGGGGCATGTCCAATTTGTACGACGAACCAACATGAGACAAAAGAGAGATTGAACCTACTGGCTGATGAGGAGGATGTCGACAGTACTGAGATCAAAGTCGTCAAAGTATGGCATAGCGGACATGCCTTCTCGGCCTGTATGCATACCAGCATCTAGCTATAAGGATGATCAGTGGCCGTCCGTGTGATTACTCTTCCAGAAGGACATACCATGACAGTCTTGCCCTTGTATTGCAGAATGTGACATGATCTGCCGACCTCTTGACATCCTCCCAACCCGACAAAGACAAGTTCATCAGTGGGATCAACGGGTTCCTCGTCCTCGACCGCAGTCATGGCTGCGGCTTTGCGCTTTGTAGCCATTATGAAAGGCTACGGGGTACGCCGCAGAGGAGACTCGATCAGGAAGAGTTGAAGAAGAGCAGTCCGAGGGTGCGAATGAGTTGCACGAGACAAGCCAACGTCAGTCAGGTAGTCCTCGATGTTTCATTCTGCAGTGCAAGAGGCAGAAGGAGAGGGATCGAGGAAGAAAAGTAGTTTACGCGAAAGGAAGACAGATGGAGGGTGAAGGACACAAGGGTTTAAGGTGCTCAGACGTCGCAGACTAATAACTTGAGTGATAATAATGTCAGTAGGAGGAATGTCGCGGTCCACGTCACGTGATTTAGCCTCCCATCTAACTTCGGTTCCCTGGCTGCGCTGCGCTTTGGTTTCCTTTGGTTTGCTGTTGCTTTCATCCTCCACTCCAGTTCGAATCTCAACTTCTCTGCGTGTTAACCTGTCGCCTTCACGCCCTCGCATCACGACTCTCCATCCACCCTCTCGAATCAACAATCGTATCGCCATCATCGTACGTTCGACGTCTCGTCGCGCACATGTCGACACGACATTATTAGGCATGGTACGGACCAGACTGAGTCCCGGCGTTGATTTGCGCCATTCGACACCTACCAGAGCAGCAACGTCTCTCCCCCCGGTTGGCCACCAGTCAACGCTCCTCATATTCAGGTGACGAGTTCATCCAGTATGGCCCAACCACAGCCTGCCTCATCTCGTCCTCCTCTACCTCCCACTCAGACCTCGTTTCATCGCGACTTCCCTCCCTCCAACAGTCGACCAAGCCCTCAGTCGCCGCAAATGCCCGTTCCTTATTCCACGCCCTCCCCCCAACAATTCTCCCCTACTTTCAATCAGCCTCCGGCCAAAAGGATGAGAATGTCTCCCGAAATTCAATCACCGATTCCCGCATCATCTCAACCTGCAACACCTACGGCTCAACCTTCCACTCCCATCGGCGGGCCTAACGTCAATGGGTCCACCCCTAACATGCTGCGACCCGGGTCGATGGCTCCTCCTCAACGACCGGTCGACAAACCTGAAAAGCCTGGCGACCGGAACTATGAGGATATTTTGTCTGGCACGGGAATCAACATTGAAGAGGAGGCACGTATGTTATCCAGGCCTGACTATTATGCCAATTCTGCTCAAAACTCTTTTCAATCGCGACCCGGATTCGACAGCAGAGCCAATTCTTTCACTGCGCCCGGTTCCCAAGGCGAAGGTACCGCTATGTCTCTAGACCAGCTCGATGGCCAGCCTCCTATTCCGAGTTATCAACCCACCGCAGAAGAACTAAAGTCACGAGGAGAGCAACGCCTGGACTGGGAGGCGGCGAGACATAGTCAGCATCCACTTTGGGATATGTTTTTATTGGGCGGCGCGTTAAATGAAAAGATTCGGAATATCAGCATTTCAGAGCATCTGGTGGATCCTCAATCAGGCGTTCTAGTCAATACTCAGAAAGTCGGCCCCCCACCAGTTGTACGTGTTAATGGCCTCGAAGCTGCTTCTCGGGTCATTGACAGAGGTCAAGCCATCCTGGACACGGGCCAGAAAGGTGAACGTCTATCCGAGATTATGAAAATTGTCAGCCTGGCCACAAGAGCCCGCCTTACCGGATTGATTAGCTCAGCCTCTCGGATATCTCGCGAACGACAAGATCACGCCAAAGGAAAAATCCCCGACGAGTGGCAAGACATCGCTGTGCCAATCAAAGCTCCCACGGATCTTCCTGAAGGCATGGTGAGCCCAGCAGGCAGCAGCAGTTTGAAGCGTATGATGACCAAAGACTCTCCCTCGACTCTATCTAACCGTGACCCAGGCACTCTTTCACAAGCCAACGGCGAGAAAAGCGCTCTCGCGCGCCTTGTCGATGTTCTGGACATAGCGTCTTCAGCAGACCGAGCCCGAGAAGACGCACGACGTCAAAAACGACTCAAACGGAGAAACGCAGGAAATGCAGAGGGCACCTCTGGGCCTAACGGGGTAGATGCCGCCGCAGAAGCCGCTCTAGCTGCCATGGAGGCCGAGAAGAAGACGACCAAGAAGGAGAGGAAGTTGGCCGAGTCCAAATTCTCAGAGCAACAACAGCATAAGTCGGCCAACGAAGCAGCTCGAATGGCTGTCTCTGGGCTCATGGGGAACCGTTTTGGAGGCAAGAAGCAGAGGACCTACGACTGGATGAACCCTGGAAAGGGAGCCAGTGCTGCGTCAAGTCCGGCTGCGACGCCTGGAAGAGCAGCACCAGGCTCCGGAGCCACCTCTGCTGCTACAACGCCAGCTGGTGCATCGGATCGCGCTCGAACAAGCCAGATCGCCAAGGGAAAGCAATTGGGACAATGGGATGAGACGAAGGACGCCAAGATTCAGGCACGAGATGTATTCCTCGTTTTAGAATCAGACGGGCGGGCTTCTCGATCTTACATTCGGGGTCTCAGCCTGCCCGAGACTTGATGTATTTCTCTTGCGGCTTTGGTGCCTCGGTGTGATTATGCGCACCGCAGGACTGAGTCGTGACCATCTTTTGATCTACAGATTTTACGGTCGAATAAAAACACCGCATCGGGTCATGGGCATTGGAGGTTATGGGGATTGGTATCCAACATGCGGATGAGAGGTGCATTGCAGTCTGCTGTAACATACAATCATGAAACAGGCAAAAAAGAACTGTAGAATTTTTGCGGTCTTCATATAGAAGCCTTCATTTCGTCCTAATGGCACCGACACTCTTGATTCCATGGCTGGAGGGCGAAGCCAGGTTGCTTGCATAATTACCTTACAAAGGAAATACGTTATAGGAAGCCTCTCATTATATGGCTCTGTCTTTGGCGGCAATGCGCTGTTCCGCGCATACCTAGTCAAGCCGTGCTCCAATCCGGCGACTGCGGCTCCCTTAATTGGTGGTGGCGACCGAACATGCCCCGGGAGGAGTGATCGTGATCTGCCACACAGGATGAGAGTTGGCTTCACCGACAACAATCCCCATGAAGCAGGTGATATTCGATGGTTCCATGGATCCTGATTCCGGCATAATATCTTTCCCGAGTCAAGCCGTTCAAGGTGGCAACGTATTTGACCTGTACTTCCCTGGAAACTTCCCACTGTTTTACCACTTCAGATGCTGAACGCACATGATGGAAAATATGCGAAGCTGAATAATGAGGCGTAGGGTAATTTAGGGAGACGTGAAATACTGGCCTTCGACAGCTGTAGCATCATTGTCAAGGTAGATTTGGCACGGAGATAAGGGGTGTTTTGCCGCCAAGATGATATCTGAGACTCATACTATGTACACGACATACAATTGCCATGTTTGCAACCTGGACAATCTTTGAGTCAAGTCTTCAGTTCAGAGACGGAATTTGAAACAGCCACTGAATTTCATATCATAGCCTAGCAGATTCCAACCATTACCAGTGGGGAAAAAGCACAGCACGTCAGAGACGTTTTAGTGCCTCATGGCATGGCATTCGAGGGGCTTAACTCGCATGGACTGGTCACAGCGCGAAATGGGCTGGCGTGCAGGAGAGAATGACAAGAAAGTTAGCTAACAGGCCATGGAGGGGCTCTAACTCAGCACTTCGGATCGTCTGTGATCTGCTGGTTAGAAATGACGGCTTCACGACTTTGCACATGAAAGAACACCTTACAAATTATGGGTTTTCACACAAACGTCCATTACTATAAAACATCCTGCGTATTCCTGTGGGCTTTTAGAGACCTGGTATGTTCTTATTATTCAGCAGTCTAACAAAGTCCAAAGTCACATAGGACGCATGCAGATGAAGCAAGGTGTGCGGCCAGATAGCCAAGCCAAAGAGGCGAAGAAGATGGGGATTGGGGGTCCAAGAAGAAGTGGGTTTCGACCTCCACTAACTTAGAAGTACGTAGAGAATACGAAGAGTGGAAGTGTGTCGAAATCGTTGGGCTAGGTTCAACTTTCAGTCATTAACATGTACTTTACTTAACTGCCCGTGCTTATCAAGTCACTGTATGAGTAGAAAATGACAATGGATAAGACTTAACGATGTCCCCCTGAGACAAATGACTAGGTGACGAGACAACCCAAACGCTCTGCCTGGAATAATAATGACTACCTAGGTAGGCAGCGTAGGTACTTGGGAAAGGCGGAGGTCAGCACCCCATCAAGGACTGTTTTTAGATATCCGTGTTTCCAGTTGCACGCCTGGGAACCACCCCAGGGCTTCTCTCTCAGTTGAATTGCAGTGAACAACACTCCTCGTCTCTGTCTCTGCGTACAGGCAGTGTAGTATCCTCTGTGCCTCTCTACCAGGCTTGGCCTTCTCTTTCTTATCCTCTTCAAAGTTGCCAATAAAAATCGAGTCGGTCGGTCGCCAGCGTGGATCTCTTCCTGACAGGGTCAGCCTAAAACTGCCTAAGTTCCAGCGGTATCGACTCAACGTTGTGGTCGATCGACTGCCTTACTCCCCCTACGGACTTCCGGTTTCTGTGGCTCTGCACTCTGGCTGGCCACCGGCCCACTGCCTGTATCCCTTAACCAAACACCCTGGTCATCCTGCCACCATTTGGCTTTTCAGCACCTAACCAAGGCCCCAACAGCGAACCGCCGGGGCTCCAAGTCGCCCGCCTCTCTGTGGTCCCTTCGATTCCTCGTCACGTCACGGCCTGGACAGAAACCGCTCAGCCAACGGCAGCTACTGCGGTCCTGGTCCTGCGGTGCTGCGTCCCATCTACACCACACCATCGACGCCATCGCTTCCCTGCACAAGTTGATCTCTCGCCTTCCCCAGATATCTTCTTCCATCTCATCACCACCCTATCTACCTAACAGTGCAATTGCTTGTCAACAGTCTCTCTCTTCATGCCCGAACCATGACCGGAAAGTTTCTTCAGCACCTCTGACGATCCAGCAAAGACGTTGCGTGGGCTGTCTCTTCCTAGTCAAGTCCGTCCGGCGTTCCACATTTTCGCCAACGAGAACGAGAGAACTCTGCCTCGACGACCATCCTCCAACCCTATCTGCCTCTCAACCCTCCTCCAAACACGCCATTTCTCTGCCCTGCCTTCTACCTCACCTTTTGAAAAACCCTGACCATCATCATATACACCCATCTCGTCCCTAAATTGCCAGATTTCGATCCTCACTCCAACCTGCGCATGTTGGAAGTCGCGGCTTCTGCCGATCCACAACTGTTACGTTGTTGGACTAGCCGTCGTCACTCCACAACCTCACCCTCGACTTCCAACCCAAAATGTCTACTCCTTCAGTAGCAACCACCATACTTCCCCCACATCATTCTCAGTATGGCTATCCCCACCAGAATCTCTACTCGCCTACGACACGAACATACTCGACTGCCAATACGTTGCCTGCCCAGCAGAGAGTGAATAACCCTTACCCTACCTACCCTACCGCCGGCGGAGTTAGCCAGTATCCTAGACCTCAACCTTCTCCTGCTATTTCATACCGACAGCCTTCGAACCCTTCGATGGCCTCATCCCTGCCCACCTCATCGCAGGCTGCAAGCAAACAGCCCGACTGGGGTGAATTTTACAAAAATGGTATCCCCAAGGAAATAATTGTCATCGATGACGATTCACCAGAGCCTGGCCCTGACCCTCCAACAAACGTCTCGAATGGACAAAGATCTGATCATACTCAATACTCCAACGGTCGAAAGCGAAAAGTTGACCAGGGCTATGAAGTCGAATACACAGATAGTCCCACCTTTTCCACACATCCAGCAAAGTTTGGTGGCTCCTCATCTGCCTCTTATCAATCCGGCGACCGGACTCAGTCTCTGCAGACCGTGACCGCCCCTACTTCTCTCGAGTCATACCCTGGCAACAATGCCAGTAGTAGCTATGAAGACGTAAGAGCCGTTGGTCAAAAGAGAAAACGAGTCCAACCCCAGAAAGAGACGAGAGCACAGGCAAAGCGGAAACAGCAAGAATCCACAACCGATGCCTTTGCAGATTACATTCCCCCCTCTAAGCCTCTAAGGAAAGCGGCTGATGTTCATGTTCCCCTGGTTCGCGATGTAGGTTGTGTCACTTTCTGTTCACTTTCCTCCGCTGACGGTTTCTAGACCCTACACAAACACCAAAAGGTGGATGACGATGATGGACACTACCTTGTCACTCCTAATGCACAACTGACAGATAGATGTAAGTCAAACACTCTGTCCAAAGAGCAGCTGATAGCTAAACTTGTCACAGATGATATCATCAAACTTCTGGGCCAAGGCACATTTGGTAAAGTTGTCGAAGCGTACGATCGCAAAAAGAGAACAAAATGTGCCGTCAAGATCATTCGATCTGTTCAAAAATATCGGGATGCTAGTCGAATCGAGCTCCGCGTTCTTTCTACGCTCGCTCTCAACGATAAGACGAACCGCAACAAGTGCATCCACCTTCGAGACTCTTTTGACTTTCGCAACCATATCTGTATCGTCACAGATCTCCTAGGCCAGAGCGTCTTTGACTTCCTCAAAGGGAATAGCTTTGTCCCTTTCCCGAGCTCACAGATCCAGGCTTTTGCACGGCAATTGTTCACCAGTGTTGCTTGTGAGTGTGCATTCCGACGCCTCTTAAGAGCCATTACTGACGTTCCATCTAGTCTTGCATGACCTCAACCTGATACATACCGACCTTAAGCCTGAAAATATCCTCCTCGTGCATAATGCGTACCAAACATTCACCTACAATCGAACCATTCCCTCGTCTTCTCACACAACCTCAAGGACCGCGCGTCAGAGAAGAGTTCTCCTTGACAGTGAGATCCGCTTGATCGACTTTGGATCTGCAACCTTTGATGACGAATACCACTCGTCGGTTGTCTCGACAAGACACTATCGTGCGCCAGAAATCATTCTGCAGCTGGGTTGGAGCTTTCCGTGCGATATCTGGAGTATAGGCTGCATCATTGTCGAGTTCTTCACTGGCGATGCCCTCTTCCAAACTCATGACAATTTGGAACACCTTGCCATGATGGAAGCGGTTTGCAACGGCAAAATCGACACCAAACTGGTCAAACAAGTGTGCCAGGGAAGCCGAGGGGCGAATGCTAATTCGGCGTCCAAGTTCTTCAATCGTGGCAAACTGGACTATCCCAACAATGATACTTCAAAGGCTTCCAGAAAATACGTCAAAGCAATGAAGCACCTTCACGTGAGTGGCGAGTCTATGCATGTTGATGAATGGTGACTAACATGACGACAGGAATTTATCCCCGCCAATACAACATTTAACAAACAACTATTGGATCTTCTCAAAAAGATCTTTGTCTACGATCCTAAGAACCGCATTACCGCGAAGGAAGCCCTGAAACATCCCTGGTTCCGAGAAACGATGATCGATGACGGCACAGAGGCAATTCGGATACGAGAAGAACGTGCCAACGCTGGCCCCGATCCTAAGCGAGCGCGGGTTTGACAGTGTTTGGGGTGACACTCGAGCAAGACAACGATGTTGAGTATTGTGAATGATGATGATTTCAGAACACTCGAGCTCGGGCCTCAATTAAGTTGGCGAAGGAATTGTTTCTGCAGATCACGATCCCCCTGAGGCATGAATGATGTGATGAACACCCCGGGTACATATGAGTGCAAGGCATGGTGCATGTGATATTGCTATGGAAGACTGTAGGAAGGAGACGCGGTACACGGGGTCATTGGAATGGCCACGGGGCAGCTAATGGCCGAGCTCTTTTCCATTGTCGGACTTATCCATCCATGCACACGACCCTAGCTAGAGGTCACTCACGCTCAAAGGTGCACCGTCGGTAGAGATGAGCTATTAGTATTGTTTTCATCCTCGGAGCCATGGCATGTTTTGTCGCACAAGCTAGTCTGACCATGCGAGTGGTGGGACGTAGGGGGTCATGCAGACATACAATAGTCGTAGATGTGAATGTGCTTAAGACAGAAAACCATTTCGCAAAAGAACTTTCGGGTAGAAAGATGGGGAAAACGTAGCTTTCGCCATTACTATGAAAAGATAAGCTGATGACTCTACTAGCTGGGAGTTGTGCGAATTCTTCCAAGAGAGGACCTTAAGTATATTAGCGCTGATCGAAATCAAGTGGGAGCAAAAGAAGACTAAATGAGATGAGATTGTCTAAGTCTGTGTTGTATCTGAGTTTCTATCATTCCCTGTCACCAGCCCTGAGCTCATGCCTCTGGCGGGGTTGAAACGTCCAGGGTACTCGAAGAACGTGTGAAGTTGCACACTCGTGTAACTCCATGAGGCGAGGCGGGGATTGATTTGCCGTGAAGGATGAACATCTTGCACAGTTCATCCGGTGTAAAGATTAGACGGCCAAGAATTAAATACCAATATTTGGCGGCAACGATCTTGTTGTGAACTTCCACGATGATGTCGATGTTGAGGTAGATGTCGAGGACATGTTTGGCCGGTCACCCCTGATCGACATTGTTGGGAGGGATCTCTTGATATAGTGTCAGATTATGTGAGGATAAGTGAAGCCCACGCCTTGGCTATAGAATCAACGCACCGAGCCTCCTGTTGCCAATTTGTCATCGTTGGCAATGATAGACCTAGGTGCTGGGCTTCTGGCGTTTTGTTCCACTTGCAGTGCGGGAGAATCTGCAGCATTGACTTGTCCCTCTGCGGCATTTGGTAGTGGGAGATCTGGTGTTGGTGAAGGAGAGGATGTTCCTTCTGGGGTTTGTTCCTCTTGGTTCAAAGTCTGGACAGAATCGGAAACAGAAACAGGGTCGACTTCGTTGGCGGATGGTTCTTGTTGTGTCTGAGGAGGCAAGTGGCTGTCCTGCTCCTCGTTCACAGGATTTGTCGCTACCTCCGCAATGTCTGGAGAGTCTGTATCAGCTTTAACTCTGTCCTTCGACAGAATTGACAAGACCATCAGATGGAGCAGAATTTGAGGCAGCCTTCAACGCCTGAGCTCGCTCTTTTCGACTTTTGCGGATGGCCATGACCTGAGCATACTGCTTGGGCATCAAGATCGTTGCTAGAGCAAACCAAACACTGTTGGTGTGGTCACCACCAAACCATTTCAGTTCAGGCACTTTCTGGGGGGCCATCTTGAATTGAGATTAGTTTGAAGTGAGGTATAGAAAATGTAGAAACCTGAGGGAGGATTTGATGGGATACTTATAATAGATTCTAGTCCAGCAGGTCAGACCAAACCTATTCATAGTCATTACTAGCCAGAGTCATCAATGCCGATTCACGCATGCTTCACTGAGTCACATAGAGTCGAGTTGAAACAGTGACACACTCGTCACTGAATCATCACCAACGACAATGTCAAGCCTCGTCGAACTCATCTCGCAAGAAAGTGCCGGATTAGAGTTAAAAATAAGCAATGACTAGAGCTGCAGGAGCCAATCGCGTAAAGTGACCGATGCAAGAGAATACGACGCCAAGTCCAATTGTCATCCGTCAGGGTCCGAGATCCTGGAGTGGCTGCCGTTGCAAGTTGTGGTGATTCGTCATACGTGAGACCCCCCAGCTGAGAATACGGACACTCGGTCAAACCGTTCATTATTATTATGAATAAATCCGCAGCAGGAGTCAAGACTGGCAGGTTTATTTAATAGCTATGAGTTCCTCTATTTTGTATGTTCAGATAATGAGGAATCAATCAGGTCGCTGGTATCATGTTGGTACGAGTCATGACCTCATCGTGGATCCTTCGCTTGGTTTCTTTAGGGAGGAATCCATGATTGCGTTGCAACTTGCCAGGCCCTCGGGCAGGCAGCAGGCCCGTTCATGCTCCATCGTTCCTTCAGCTCCGTGCTCGTCTTCACGCTTGTGCTTGCCCTCATATTACGAAATTATTAAATAATTACACGAGAAAGATCCGTGCCTGTCGGGAGCGCCTTCTCCGAACTGGAACTACCGTTGCTGCCAAGGGACTTTGACTCTTCATCTCACTCTTCCCCAGACCTTATCAGTCACTTCAACGACTTGCCTTCACCATTCACCTTCACGTTCCTTTTTCATCCTCTTTTCTCATATTTCTGTATTCGATCACCAATCCTCATTCCCTGGACCCGGTAAACTGTATTCCTACTTCACGGGTGCTACCATTGCTGCTTTCTGGATATACTTGACGTTCCACTCCTTGGGTCTGATTGCTGTGGATCTTCAGGCTTTCCACCTTCCTACACACTTGTCCTAGTCATATTCCTTCTCTGCACTGCCCCATCGTCCTGGTTCATTTGGCGCATCCAACACCACTTTTCAGCCTCTTTTGGATATAAGCATATGGTTGCATCACAGTGTCCCACTCCCTAAGCCGGGAAGACCACATATCAACTTGGACTGAACGACGCTAACCATCATCAATACTTCACATTCATGCATCCGTCGCTTCACAATGGTTTTGGTCGATACTCGGGGGACGATAGATTCAAGTTCCGCCCAGGATCAACATCTCCAGGATGGAGACGTGTCCCCAGATCAAGAGCCTCCAACCACGGTCGATGACCCTACTTCTTCCCATTCTGTTTCCCGTTTGGACACGAATACCATCTGGGATGATGGCGTCATTGGCATCAGCATCAGTCGACAGCAGACTCATATGAGGTCGCCAGAAACCCCGATCGCTGAAAAAGCCCGGGCTCTAAATCTAGCCCCGGAGTATCTACAGTCCATTGACTCGGTCGTTGAAGTAGACGGTGACGATGGACACGACGAGTCTGATCCAGTCTTGCAAATTCTGCAGTCTCCATCAGAGGAACCAGGCGTCCTCCCAGACGCACACCATGTGCCTCTGTCTCAGAAAACCAATTCAGACTTGCCACTCGATGCATCAGTTGAACGAATGGACCCTGAGAGAGAAGCTGGAACTGTTGATGACACCGGGGTCTCATCCTCATCGCAACCTCAACCTCCGACACCCTGGCGGTCTGATGCTGTTGTTGAGGGGCAATCGTCGGCTCAGTACCTTCCCACAAACATTCGTCAATCATTGACGCGCTCGTTCCTGGGAAATGCTGGTGAAGGGGGCAGGCGTCGTGCCTCGTCAGGGCCAACTGCCATCTTCAACAATCTACGAAAACTTCTCCCCGACATTCCCTCGCCTTCAATCAACCGGAGTTCTCTCTCCATCGCGTTGTCGAGCACCAGAAAGCCGGGGTCAGATCCGACTACGGCTGCCACGACACCACCTGAGAGGAATCGACCTTGGTGGTCCATCAAAGACGCATCCGAGCGAGATCCACTAGATACAAAACACGCAAAAGTTCTTCCCGAACATCCGAGCTCTCCCCTGTTGCGTCAGTTGGATGGGAATGTCGAGTCGTTGCTAGAGCCAAAAAGTCCCCAATCAATCAGAAGCCTTGTTCGCTCCAACTCTGAAGGTTCCTTATACATTGGGAGGCGAATATCAGGTGTTTCAGCTTACGACGATACCACTGCCTTTGCCGATGTCTCCGAGATGGTCAATTCACGGTTCAAAGCAATAACAGACAGCCTTCAAAATTCTACTCTAAAGCTCCCCAAGATGCCGACTATGCGCCCCTCTCCAAAACGCCACCTGACCCCTGAGCAGGCACAACACTATTCCTATACCACCCTGAAGAACTTGCGGCTATCAAATAAGGCCATTGATGTCGAAACCCCCCAACAGAGGGCACACCCCAAGCTGGCGCACGCTCTGTCTAAACTGACTGGGGATGTGGTCATCTTGGGTGGATATCGAGGTTCGGTCCTGAGGTCTGCGAAACCACCTCACCGACAACTGTGGGTCCCCATCAAAGTTGGCTTGAACCTACGCAAGGTTGATCTCGAAGTCGGCTTATCGCGAGAAGATGAGGAAAACATGGAGCAAACCATTATTCCCTCGGGAATTTTGTCTCACATTGGACCTATTGATATTTGCAGACGATTGTTGAAACATCTAGAAAAGTGCCCCAACACCCGACAAAACAAACTCAGAGTGCACAATTGGGGCTATGACTGGCGATTGAGTCCAGATCTCTTGAGCAAGAGATTGATTACCTTCTTGGAAGGTCTGGAATGCAACCGTGCCGACACACCCCGTCACCAACGAGGCGCGACTATCATCGCTCATAGTCTTGGAGGCTTGATTACAAGACATGCCGTGAACCAAAGACCTGATTTATTTGCGGGTGTGGTTTATGCAGGCACTCCACAGAACTGCGTCAACATTCTCGGACCAATGCGCAATGGTGATGATGTTCTGCTCAGCTCTCGAGTCTTGACGGCTCAAGTCAACTTCACCATCAGGACCAGCTTTGCTTTGCTACCTGACGATGGCCATTGTTTCATCCAGAAGCATACGAACGAAAAGTACCCATTGGACTTTTTTGACCCACGAGTTTGGGAAGAGTATCATTTGTCTCCTTGCATCAAGGCTCCTCTCTGTCGGAATTCCAGTAATGGCGATCGCCGAAAGAGCTTGATCGGACAATTATCTGACAGTCTCCCCTCTCGACCTTCGTGGCTCAATGGACAGATTTCTCAACCTAACGACTCCAAACCTGCAGTCGAAGGTCAGGGGTCGGTTCAATCCGCGCAAAACGCGTTGAACGAGAATGCAGAGGAAATGGTTGGCCCGTCATTGAAATCGGCACAGAACAGCAAACCGAATATAGCAACCACGGTGACGATTCCGAACGAGGCCGCCAAAGAATATCTGGCCAGAGTATTGGCAGAAATCAAGGCTTTCCGACAGCAGCTGAAATTCATCCCAAGCCACCAAGAAGACAATCTATACCCTCCACATGGCTTTATATTTGGAAAGACAGTACCAACGGTGCACAGCGCACGGGTAGCAGACATGGAATCAATCAAGTACGATGATGCATTTGACGATTTGGCATTCGCAGCAGGCGACGGAGTCGTGCTCGCGAGCGCCGCGCAGTTGCCCGCGGGTTACAGATGTGTCAAAGGTGGCAGGCATGAAAGTGACCGAGGACACGTTGGACTATTGGGTGATTTGGAAACTGTGGGCGCATGTCTGGAAGCCGTCATTGACGCAAGACAAAAAGGTGTTGGGTTGGGCAAAAGCTTTTCTGCTGCAGGCAATGAATGATCCATTGGATACTGTAATCATTGCAAGGCACGAGGGAGAGAGAGGCGATGGTGGAGTATCCTCACCTGTTCAAAACAACCTGTAACTGTATGAAATCACTATAAATATAAGGTGTGGCCAGCCCACTGAACAGCTTGTTCTGTGACTTCATGCCGATCGACGACCTTTAGAGAAGAAAATCCAAATCATCACCCTTTTAATGAGGCAATTGATAGAAGTAGGATCTAGATGGTGTTGGGTTAAGTTGTCCATGTCCAGAAGCCACATGATAGTTGTACGAAGCAAAATATACGCTATAGGAGGTCGCCGACGCCAGAAATTGCTTACTAGAATTTTCTACCAACCAGAATGAAGACAAGTTCTTCCAAGGCGCCAAGTATCGATTACGTTACATCGACGGATCTGCAGGCAAAGTACGAATCAGGATTCGATTTCCGCCACGACCTTTCATCATTCAGGACTGTGCTCTAATCTCGTTATCTGCAACCATGGATGAAGACCTCTATCCCATCCACCGTTTTGTTAGAACATCTTTCATCTATAATATATATATATATATATATATATATATTCATCTTGCATAAATGTCTTGATTCCACTCCTTGACTTTTCCTGTTTGAAGTATATCAATATTTACTGTCTTTCCCATATTCTTTTCTTTTGCTGTGTCTAACGACTATTCAACTACTTGATCCAGATTAACGGTTTCACCATGTGTCAAGGCAAGCAACACGAGTTTCTCCAGGCTCTGCCAAAGTGTGAGCATCATATGCATTTGGAAGGTAGGTCTTACTTGTTAAAAAAGCATTTGCTTGTCATTTTGTTGCTCGAAGTTGAGGGTGGAAGAGAGACGAGGCATTGAAATGGGAGCGGCTTGCTACAAATCCAGAAAGATGGTGGTGATTGTGCTATCTATGGCACAATGGACCAACGCAGTGCTGGGGGAGATTGATTTGGCATGATTCCTTCCACTGGCAAAGAGGACGATGAGAGAGAAGAGAAGAGGAAGGAGAAGGGGAGAGAGAGAGGAGGAACGGCAGGAAGGACGTGACCTTGGTTGCTACTTCTTCCCTTTTTGTTCCCACACTTCCTTCCTACTTGTCAGCCATCCAAGACTCCATTCCCATATATACATCAGGCTCTTTTTCATCCATCCATCTTCCAGACACAAGAACTAATCAATTTCTCCGTCTCTTCTCCATCCCACAGGCTCTCTATCTCCAGAACTCCTCTTCACCCTCGCCCGCCGCAACAACATTGACCTCCCCTCGAGCGATCCCGCCTTCCAATCACCATCCTCTCTTCTAGCACGCTATCGTCAATTCACCTCTCTCGATGACTTTCTCCACTACTACTTCATCGGCATGTCGGTCCTCATGTCCGCCGCCGACTTTGAATCCCTGACGTACGACTATTTCCGCATCGCCCACTCCGACGGTGTTCTGCACGCCGAGGTCTTCTTCGACCCTCAGGTCCACATGCATCGCGGCGTGCCGTACGCCGCCGTGGTCGAGGGAATCACTCGTGGTCGAGAACGTGCCATGGCGGATTTTGGCATTTCTAGCGAAATCATCGTTTGTGTGTTGCGCCACTTGCCCGTCGAGGACGGACATGCCATGTATACCGAGCATGCGGTGCCGGATCTTGAGGTTGGAAGGGTCAAGGGTCTGGGTCTGTCGAGTACTGAGTTGGGGAATTTGGGGACCAAGTATACGTCCATTTACTCTGATGCCGAGAACAGGGGGTTCAATCTCACGGCTCATGCGGGCGAGGAAGGCGGTGTTGAGTATATGGCTTCCGCGCTCTATGATCTCCATGTCACGCGCGTGGATCACGGTATCAAGCTTGGACACTCACCGGAACTGATGCGCGAATTCGTCGACCGGAATATCCTGGTCACCTTATGTCCGATGTCTAATGTTGAGTTGAAGTGTGTGACCAAAATAGCTGACCTGCCTCTACGTCTCTATCTGGATCAAGGTGTCAAGTTCAGCATCAATTCGGACGACCCGGCGTATTTTGGCGGCTATATTCTGGAGAACTACTGTCAGGTGCAAGATGCGTTTTCGTTGACAAATCAGGAATGGGGTGTCATCTGTGGCAATGCCATTGAAGGGAGTTGGTGCACCGAGGAGAGGAAGAGTCATTTGAGGGAAAGGCTTGCCAGTGTTTTGCAGATGTTTGAACAGCGTTGATGCAAATGTTGATTCGTTTGGAGAATTGCGCAGTCATGTCATCTCGTCTCATGCTATTTGAGATCCAATCATAGCAGCGCAAGCATGAGGACTGACTTGTCCTGAGGAAAAGGCTGACGATGATTTATTTGGCCTATTCCAACATGCATAAACCATCTGTATCATTATCAATGGGGGTATCTCCTCAACCTAGATGAAGAATGCCATGAACAATACCCATCATCTCTAGCCCATGATTCATTTCTTTACGCTCGCCAGACTCCGGGACAACGACCATTTCTTTCTTCTGTTTGCGATCAAGTGCCCTCCAACGGCACGGGTTGAATGATCCAATCTTGTCTCCGGTTGCTTTGCTTATCAGCGGAATTCATTTTTCGTGTCATAACGTTTCATATCGTGAAGAGTTTTCGAACAAGTTTTTCGACCAGGAAAGGAAAGTTACATGTCGTGAAGGGAAGTGAATCATTAGGCGTCAAGGTCAAATGTCATCTCACCAGCTTGGTCCCAACGCTGACGGTGATAAATTTGACCTCGCGGCCAAAAGAGCGCCAGCGTTCAATTCCACCAGAGACAAGCCAGGGTTGCAAGTTCTTACACTGGCTGACATCAAAAAGCTGAAGCTTCTGACAGCCCTCCAAAATACTTTGCACACCAAGGCCAGTCACCCGGACGCAACCTCGAACGGCTAATTGCTTCAGGTTGGTCAAGTGTAAGCCAATCGATCTCAGGCTGGGGTCAGAAACAGCGCTGCCGCAGAAGGACATGTTGAGATGAGTCAGATTGGGACAACCTAACGCTAAGACCTCTGTCGCGGTGTCGGAAAGTGCACAACAGAACGACTGTGTAGTGATAAGTTAGAGTCAATCACACTTTCCACCTGCATGCCGACTTACCAGATCAAGCTGTCTCAACCCGTTCCCTGCCCCGTTGACCAGCCATATGATACTTTGATCGCTCAAATACGTGCAATCCGCCAGACAAAGCCGCTTTAGTTTCTCAAATCGAACGTTGCCCCAATACTGAAACCCTGCGTCTGTGATGGTGGTACACCGCGTAAGGTCCAATGACTCAATTCTCTCTTTTGCATGGGTCGCGATATGTGCCATAGTTCGATCCGTAATGTGTTTGCAATAGCTCAACGTCACAGTCTTTAGGTCAGGACAGCCAAATACGGTTCCAGCAGCAGGAATGACTTGAGCATTGACCTTGGTGTTGAGCGCGGGTCGCTGTGACTTGTTGCGACTACTTGAGGATTGTTGCCCGGTAGAAACCCACCCCACGATTCGAGCCAGTAAAGTATCGCTGACTTTGCGACAATTACTGAGATCAACCTCTTTCAAGCCACGCGCCTGGTTCGCCATTTCCAATATCGAAGCCGCTGTCACGTCCCAAACGCTCTTCATCCGCCAGGTGTGGACATTGGCGCCGCACTGATTGACCAAAGCAGCAAAACCTTCATCAGTAATGTGAAAACAATTACTGATATCGATCAGGACTGGTCTGTTCCCAACAAATGGGCATATGCGGTTGATGAGCATCTGATCTGTGATTTTTCGGTTGTACTGTGATAGATCGAGGTGGGAAAGTAGATTGGGAGCAGTATTTAATACATTTTGCCAGTGCAAGGACACCGATTGAGATCGCATCAGATCATTCAAGTCGAGATGTGCAAGAATCAAAGGTAAAAGCTGGTCAGGAATTGAACCACGATTCGAACCACGGCTCGACCGTGATCGGGGCTTTGGTCGTCCGCCGGGAGAGAAAGGATCAGAGAATGGAAATCCCAAACCTTTGTGCTCGGAGATAGGTGAGGGTGTTCCCGATGCGGAGGTGCGTGGAGAATGGCCACTAACACTCGTAGGGGAAGCTCGAGGAGACCGGCGCTTGTCTTTTCCTGACTCGTCGGGGGGCATCGGTGCAAGAGAGCCTCTTCTCGATCTAGAACGCACCTTTTCAAGACCTTGGCTGAGAAAGGGGTCCGGGTCAGAGGGTTTCAGCGGAAGCGGCTCGTCTGCCTGGCATGGTTGGGCAGAGCTGCTAATCTCGGCTTCAGTAAAAGTCACTCTGGGGCCATGGGGTATAGGGCTGGACGCCCTGCCCTTGTCGGCTATTGCCAAATCATGAATGTCTGGTGTTGTGTCTGTATCGTTCATGACCACATCATTCTCCGAGGCGGTTTTCAATCTCTCCTTTGCCGTATCTTCGATCTGTCGGAGGACCTCTGGAGGACATTTGTCCAAGAACTCAGCCAATACGTGTTCTGAGATCATCAAACATTCGACTTGAGTGACCGATCGAACAGTTGCAGTCCTTCGATCTGTCAGGGACAAGCTGACAACCTCGCCAAAGTATTGACCCGGTCTCAGTCGAGCCTTGATGTGTGGTGTTTTCGGAACTCCATTGGGGAGATGATTTGCCGTTTTCCTGGCGTCTGAAGTGGCGTGGATTCTCTCATTTAGGACCTCAACTTCGCCGCGAACAATAAAGTATATCTCTCTTCCTCTGGTATCCTGCTTAATGATGTCGGTGAAGGGGGTGAAACTGCGTGGTTGTGCATTGAGACCGAGGAAATGGAGTATGTCAGACGGCAGTGAGGCAAAGAGTGGAAGCTCTTTCAAGGTGGCTCGAATGTTAACCAAGCCATGACCTAGCGCACTTGCAGTCGAAATGTCGGCAGTTCCAGGGCTGGGAGACTTTCTTCGTTTGCTAGACACAGCCCCATCGTTTCCATCTTGATCCATGTCGACATCTTCGCCAAAAGCGCTGCGCGCTCGCTTCGAACCTCTCCTCTCATGTATAGCAAGGTCTTCGGAGCCTAGCTGGATTTGGGCCTTCTTCTTTAACAGTTGTGTATAACGTTCAGAGGCTTCTTCTCGAATGGCTCGGTCGACGTCGGGATACCGGGGTAGGATGGTCTGCAAGTCTTCCTTTTTCAAAGCAAGAACCAAACAACGGGTCCGAGCGACGACGGTGGCAGTGCGAGGGAGTTCCATGAGGATACCAATCTCACCAAAGAATGCGCCGGCCTTGAGTTCCGCATAGGTGCTCTCACCATCTCTGGAGGTGACGGCGACGGCACCGCGGACGAGCCAGTACATGGACTTTGCATCGTCGCCTTCGGTGAGAATGTAGTCGTTTGTATTGTGTAATTGAGGTTTGAGCTGAACGACAATCTCGGCGAGAAAGGAATCGGGGGTGCCTTGGAAGAGCGGGAAGGAGCGAATGCGGTCGATCAAGTCTAGAGGGAGACCCTGGATCTGCGATGCTGCCAGTGGGGATTGCCTGACAGGACGAGAAGGGTTGACCTGGGAGTCAAACTTGCGGACTAGAGAGACTTCGGCAGAGGGGGGTGATGCGGTGCGACCGTGATATGGGGACAGAGCCCTTCCATGATGGCGCCTCATTTTGCCTTGAGGTTGGGTCCCCAAACCACTTGTTCAAACAAGATGAAGCACTGCTTGGTATTTATTGGGCCTCATCCTGTGATCGCGGCCATGATGCGACCGAACAAGGTATGATGGGGGAGAGGTTGGAAGCGTGGAGGACTTCAATGTGTGCGGGTTTCGGAGTTGAGAGGAGGCAGCAGGTGTGATCAATGTGCCGAGAGGCTAGAAATGCTTTGTGTTGCTCTTTGTATTCAATTTTATTCTTTGCCCCAGTCAAGTTTTGCAAGTCAAATACGGTACATTCGATGGGACAGGTTGTGGGTGTGTGTGAAGGAGTGGGTGACGGTGAAGCGTGACTTTTTTTCCGACGATGGGATGACGTGCAAGCTGGGAGAGTAGCGATGGAAGGAGGGCAAGTGTATTTGGACACCAAAAGGCTGTGGCGGAGGGGATGGACCAATGCAATGGTCGGTCGCTTAAGCAGGCTACTAATAAACGTGTAATCCGACTGGAGTGGTTAGCATGTAGGAAACCGCGGACAGGAAGGATGCATGCGATAGGATGATGTGTTGCAGACGAGCAGCGAGTGAGGATGTGTAGTTGTATAATCAGATTGGGGCCGGATGGGATGGTTGGCAGGCCTGCGGCTTGCACCGCGTTTCGGATGAGTTAAAGAATGGAGTCAGTAACACAAAGTATCTTTCACAGAGGCGGTTAGCCCCTCGGCCCCTCGGCCCTGGCGTGGTGCTGTATGAGCATGCCACACATGCGTAGGTCCGGAGTAGATACCTAGCTGTTTAGCGACGGCTAGAAAGGCCTAGATGCCCTCAACGCGGAGACCCTGAAACCCGGAGGGTCAAGGTTTGTAGGTGAGGGGCAAGTCAAAGAAAGAGTGGAACAGATAAATGCATGCACATGCTGTCCATCATAGAAAGGTTCTCGGCCTCCCCTAGGACTTGGTTCCATCAATGCTGTTTAATGCACTTGAGTGGTACCGATAGGTACCTAGGTAGTCAGAAATGGGCAGCTTCCATGGTACCTCAAGAGCATCGAAATAGAACAAGGAAAGACGATGATGTTTATCAAGACCTGAGTGTGTACCTTGACCGCCTAGTTAAACACATGATAGGCATCAAGCGCCGCAAATGTCATCCGTCTTTAGCGGGGAAGACGAGTTAGGGATACACTTTGTCGGCCCCGATCATGCTTTCCGACAGGAACTCGGCTGGGAATATTATATTTACATGTACATAGACATTCTACCTGTATATCCTTGCAACTCAAGTTTCAGGAAGATGGATTTTAATCATGCAAAGAGTAGAGGAGATATCTCATCGGACGGTGCTCATATGTATTAGAGACAAACTTAAGCACCCATAGGTCATACAGGTACACAGATTAAAGGCATGATTACACTTTCCTGGGGACACTTTCCTGGGGCCGAGGGGCGCTGCCTGCGCCAAATGCCGCCCAAAGGCCACGACAAGCCACAGCTTCCACTTGCAACTCAACATGTCCTCATCGCTCACGGAGATATTCAACTCCTGACGAGTCAGAGATCAGAGCTAGAAGAAATTGGTCCTTATCCCTGTGTAAGGAGATCCTGGCGCTGCGGGAAGACCTTGTTCTTTAACCATTGAAGGTATCCAGGCGGAGATCCTTGAAGGGTAGCCACCACATCCTGTGCCAATCCATACGCGAGTGAATATCGAAGTGCGTGTCTGGCTGTACCCGCAGCTGCAAAACGGTCGAATCTCTGCTTCCAACTATACAAACCAGCCACAGTCATGGCGGCAATCACGGTGCTGGCTGCGTCTCGCTGACCCATGGCTACCTCATCGTCTTTCCGTGCAAATATGCGAGCCCGAGATCGATCGACCACTTCCTCCGTGGCCATGAACAATGTTGCCCAGAGAGTGCACACGCTGCCGAACTTGAAGCCTTCCTTCATTCCACCTAGCATCATATTATTGTTCTTGGACTTGTGATAGAGATACCATCCCTTCTCTGTGACAGGTAGACGGTGGGCGTTCTCAGCACGAAACCTTGCTCCTGCTTTGATAGATCCATGAGAGGAGCCCGTTGCAAACCCAGTAAAGAAGGCTGCTGTCATGAGCAACGGTGCTCGAATAAGGACGGGCACGGTAAGGCGCTCGTTGGGCCAGCCAGTGATCCGAAATGATTCCTCATCTTGGGCTACATCGTGATATGTTGTTGGCTGCTGGTCGGCGAGGGACTCTTCAAGGGATTGCTCATGGGATTGTTGAGGAGTGTCGGTGGTTTCATCGGAAAACTCGAGTGCAGGTCCTGTTTGACCTCGTGACTGTTGCGGCGCAGATGTGAATGGCCACATGGGGACGAAACCAGTGGGGGGAGTTGGTGAAGCACAGAAGTTCAATCAAGTATCTGCCATTGTTCTGGATGCGTCAAAGAATCACAGAACCATGAGATGATATGTTTAAGAGCTGGCTGCGTCTTCAATTTTCAGCGTCGAGTGTAGAGGATGATAGGCGGACAGTAATTTTGGCAAGAGATTTGAGTTGCGGGGAGCTAAAGAAGCCTTAAGGCACCGAGTCTGATGGCATGGGTGCTTCGAGCCTTACGCTGCCAGGCCTGTCACGCCTGCATGACACCAAAGGTGCGAAGGACATCTCGCGCCAAATGGGTCCACCCTCGATCTACAATACTCGTATGTCCTCTTCGATCATGTACAACTACCCTGCCATATCTTGAACACCAAAAACAACAGCAACCATTCCTCACGTGTATCACAACCAAGCCATAATTGTAGAGAAATCCCTCGACCAGACAATATGACAGCCGCCACATTCAATGCCGCTGAGAGCCTCTCACTACTTCCTACCTCAGACTCAATAACCCTCCTCTTCAAACATGACAAGTCGACCACTCTACTCTCTGTTTTGCCGGCCACTCCTCTCGTCGAGATTAAAGCCCTTCTTGTCGCCGCATTACGCTCCCGAAACATCACCACATTCCCGAACTCGCCAACATCACTCCCAGAAGACGCTGAAGACCTCGAGTTCGGAATTCTAGTGGATAAAAAAGATCCAAGCCAGGGATGGGTGTCTTTAGAGACTTCTGGAGATGATAACTCCTCCAAAGGAAACAAGAAGAAGACTGGCGGCAAAGGCACTACCAAAACACAAGATCCCATCGGCGTAGGCTTGACCGATGGGTGTTGGCTTGCATACAGACTCAAGTCGACCTCGCCGTCCAAGTCTCAAGACCACGGAGATACTGAACCAGCCTCGACAGAGGTTGAGATCGAAGAGGATCCCGGTTGGAATGTCGTCCTGCCTAGTTTCGACGACGAAAACGAGTGAACTCGACCGAAAATGTTCCACATTTCCCTCAACACTCATATTAGACTACGACACCACTTTCCTCACGGTGCTAAAAGCATCACGAACGCTGTCCAGAAATGTCTTTCGTGCAAAGAGCTCCAAAGAAATTATTCCCAAGGACAGGACCAGGCAACAGACTATCCAGGGTATATCTACAGTGCCCCTTCATTTCTCTACCTACACACCGGGGTATGAAGATCCCCCGTCACCATTTCATTGGCTGTGACCCCGATATTGAGGCTGAGTCGTGTGCGTCCTGGCTTTCTTTCGACTGGAATGACGACCAGTCACCAATACGCCGCAAATCTGCCCTCTCATGCAGTGCGGGGGGTTGTTGATGCCTGTTTTAGAATCTTATTGCTTGGCGACAGCCTGAGGGGCGCCTCGAGCCCCTCGGCCCTTGGATGGGCCAGGGAGAAGGAGAGACACTAAGTACCGGGAATCCTGGGGGCCAAAGCTGAACATGCATCATTTTGCATTCCGCAGCCAAACTAGACGGGCTGGGCTTGTTCAAGTATTCAGCTGAGATGGTAGTGTACGCACGCTGCTAGCTTGCTCTTCCAGCACTCGTACATACTGTACTTGTTCTGTAGATTGTGGCAAGCGATGTGGGCAGTCAGATCTCGGCTGCCGTATCCAACAGACTACGAACAAGTGACACAAGAACGTGGAGTCTATGGAGTCGGTCCTTCAACCGGTCTCTTTAGAGTCAATCCATAGACATGATAAGCGGCTTTAAATTCGCTAATAAGACCTAGTCGTAGTCTGCGTGCTGCTTACTCTCCCCTCCATCTCTGGCCTTGGTTCAAGGCTTCCTGGATCCAGGGACAGGTGGTTGACTTGTTGTGCCTTGATTCCGTCCTGTTCCCTTGCATTTCCCTACCACAGTTGTCAGTCCCGTCCGTCTTTCTTCCGTTTTGTTGTTGCGTTCCACAACGTCTCCTCTTCCCTTACTCCATCCCGCCCCAAATGCCCCAGACCGACCTTTGACTGCAATTGACCCCTTGCTCCAGTCACAAATCAACACCTTCACATTCAATGCGGCTGTTCAAACCGAACAAGTCGCAAGCCTCAATAGATCGACTCTCAGGCTCTCGCGACGGAAGTCCTACGTCGGATTCGCCATATTCTCAATCCCAAGTGGCACATAATCACTCCCGCTCACAGCAGCCTCACCCCAGCTACAGTGGAGCACAGCAATTTGATTCATCCAACCCTCACCCTGACCGCTTCTCACAACATCAACAACTTCCACACCACCCACACCATCTTGTCCACCAACAACAACAGCAGCAGCAGCAGCAGCAGCAGCAGCAGCAGCAACAGCAGCAACAACAACACCAACACCAACACCAACAACCACTGCCACCACCACCGCAGCAGCAGCCGCAACAACCTCCTCAGGAACAATTGCAGCCTTCGTCCACTTCTCCTTACCTACCTCAAGATCCCCACTCGCATCCTGCTCCGCACCTTGGTCGAAGTCAAAGTGGTCGTGCTCCTTCAGCTGCAGATGTTTATGGCGCTGAGAGCCAACAGCCTAGTGTGAACATTATACCGCCTACATCTCACCAGAACCTCGCTCCCCAGGCCGCTGCTCCCGTCCCCGGTCAGACTCAGTTTGGTCAATCGAGAAACGTTCGAAGCGAAAAGGAGAACAAGAAGTCCAAGCGTCACTTTATATCTGGAGTCTTCAAAGATAAAGGAAAGGACGACGACAAGGACAGGGACAACAAGTCGAGCGATTCTCGCAGAGGTGTCGGCCGTTCCAGTTCTGTACACCTGTTGAGAAAAACAAACCAGGACTATCCCCAAAATCGAGAGTCCTACTCACAGCAGAACTCACCTCAGCAATATCAACCTCGTCACTCGGTCCTGTACCCAGGCACGGAACCATTGAGTCCTTCACAGACCTCAATAGACGCCGCAGCCGAGCGCTACCAAAACCCATCTGGACACAGTCCCGATCGATTTGAGTCCTCCCACCCTCAGCATTCTCAACCGCCAGTTGACTATCACGAGGACGGGCCATCATTTAGCCCCCAACAAGAGACATATCAACCCTACCGCCAGGACGATTCATCCAACGTCTCCGAACATTATCTGCCGTACCAGGGCCAGCCGACCAGACCAGTTCAAACCAGTTCAGATCAATACTCCCAGCTACGCCCTCCTTCTCAAGCCTCCCTCGCACCCCCTTCTCCAATCAACCACCCCCTTCCATCTGATACCCGTGTCCCGTCTGGTCCTGTCCCCAACCGTTTCTCGACCCAGATCACAGCTCCAGCCCCCCCGCCTCAGCCATCGCAGCAGATGGCACGAGATCGGGAAGGCCCATCCGGCAGCGTTCGCCAACAACGAGAACCCCGCAACGAAGAGATACAGTATCAAAGCCAGCAGGACCCTCGAGTGAGAATGTCACAACAGGTATCTGCAGATCAAGGTCGAAGCACACCACCTCCTCGGAGTCGAGACGACATCAATCAACTCGATTATCACCAGTTGCTGCAGCGTCATGAAGAGTTGCAAGCCAAGTATTCCAAAGTAAAGCGCTACTATTTCGAGAGAGAAGCCCAAGTCACCCAGTTGCAGAACACGGTCGCCAATCAACGACTCTCCATGTCAAAGACGTCGCTTGATGACTCTCAGTACACTGCCAGATTTGAACGACTCAGTAATGCCATCAACAATCTGGCATTCAATATCCGAAAGAATTGGCGAGCAGTTCCTCCATGGCTTCGCCATGTGTGTAACCAAGATGCCCACAGTGTCGGCACAAAAGAGATGACGGCTGTTGGCAGAGCGTGCATCAGCCGGTGGCTGTTCGAAAGCATCTTCGAACGCACCTTTCATCCAGGAATCGATCCAGGCCTATCCGCACAACTCAAACACGTTGAAAAGGTCCTCCGTCGATCCAGTCAAGGCATTCCCCTCACCGATGAGCAGCGTGATGATCTGACCACCAAGATCACCACCTGGCGGCTGACGACAATCGAGGGTCTCCAAGACGTTCTGGAATCCCACCAGGCTGAACAATACATCGAGACAATGAACAAGGTCTTTACACATCAACTCACCGAATCGTTGAAAGCGAATCTCACAGAGCCACCGCCACCTGACTTGGCTGAGGGAGTGGCAATGATTGTCAGTCAAGCTATTGGCATTGCTCGCAATATTCCCTGCGAATCCCGAGACATCTGCGTTGAATATTTCATGCCTGGAACGCCTATCAACGAGGTTTACATGAAGCTTGAGCCTCAGATGACCCCTCTCACAAACCCCGGCCCTGATGAACGATTGATGGCACTTCAAGCACAGCAAGCTATGCAAGACGCGCAAGACGCGGAAAGCACAGCAAGCACTGACGACGCGAGGGAGAGAGAGGTTGAGGCGGAGATTCGTGAAGCGGCCGGAAAAGCTGCAGGGCAACCCTCCCAAGTATCCGTCGGCAGTGGACGCAACGAAAGTGCGACAAGCTCCGCGTCTCAGGGGACTGTCAAAGGGCTGTCGGACAAGTCGTCGAAAAAGTCCTCATTTTTGGGTGGATTTGTATCCAAGAAACCGGCACCATCGTCGCGAAATCCTTCCAGCGCTCAAGATCGGGATCGTGGCAATGACGCAGCAAGCAACAATTCAAGTGAGCGTGAGACGGAGCTCGGTCGCAATGTCGGCGCCCGGGAGAGCATGGCGGTCAATCCTGCTCAACTGGCAGCACAGGTCCCCGGGGCTAATCAAGGCAGGATCCGGTTTGCCGCATTTGTGGCGATTGAGGTCAGGGGTAAAGGAGGTCCAGTAGCAGCAGCGGAACGACAAGCCAACAAGGCTGCCGAAGCAGGCAGTGCGGCTGGAGGATCAAGCCGAGACAGCAGTGTCAATGTACTATTCAAGGCACCGGTCTATGAGTATTGAGAATGAACCTAGCGATTGGGGCACATGTGATGGTGTCACGGCCAGGCACATGAACAATTCGAATGAGGAGTGAAAACATTGTTCGTCGATCGTCGACACGGCCCACTGAGAGCCTGACACACATATTCCGTGATCAATGAATTAATCTAGTACAGTGAATGAATCAAGTAAGATGGACGAACAATTAAGGTAGATAATCTACTTTGAAGATTTGATATAAATGTCTAAGGCGATCTCTAAAAAAGGAAGATGACTTTCCAATTGCTGCTGCCACTTGGTCAGACCAATCATCACAGCTATGCTTTACCATAAAGAAATGCGCCCCTCGGCCCCGTGCCCACCTACAATAGGTTTTTGGGAGCATGCCCATGCGCCAAATTGTGATTGTTTTATTAGGAAGACCCCGGCACCAAATTGGCGCAGACAATATTCCCATTTGGACCGAAAAAGGAGCTCTACATGGTCAGTAACATGCAGGCAACAAGCGACAATCAGCAATCAGCAGGAACAGTATGATCTGAGCTGGTCATGGCCAGCCCGTTGACATGGCAATTGGTGCCAGCTGCCAATAATCACTCGAGGTATCCTTGGATGTACATGGTGAGACATCAGAATATTCCCAAGGTGCGGGTGTACAGGCGTGAAGAACCTTGCGGGACCTTGCTGGGTATGTTCCCTGGAATGGATGGGATAGTCGAAGAAGCGAGCACATGTATATCGAGACTTGAGGCTAAGATCGTAAGCCTTGGTCTGAGACGGTATTGCTGGACAAGGGAGCACCGGGCGGCTGCAGTCTGCAGGACGAGATGTTCTGCCTGGGCTCCCTGGTGCAAGCATGGCGCCACTGTAGGTATTATTGAAGCGACGAGCAGGTGAAGAAGGATGATGCCATGGGGTCATGTCAGTGAATTGCTGGAAAGGTTGGCACGTTGGCAAGGATTCGTTCCAGAGAGACTTGACTTCGCTTGGGCTGGACGAGCTCTCGACCCAACTACCATTATTGGGATTGGTCTATAGGCGCTAAGCTAGGCATGCCCAGTTAAGTTTAGCTAGGTCGACCTTCCTGTCTGTTGCTGCGATTGCTCATATGTGATCCCTGGCGACTGTAGCCCCAGGCGGCTGTTGTGTATCAGGGGCACCCTCGGCCCCTCGGCCTTCCCTGACTGGAGTCGGTGGAGCCCTGGTTGATCTCCTCATTTTGGGGTGGCAGTGATGATAATTAGCGATCAACCAAAACGATGTTCCCCTAACTTAGGCTAGAGAGTTTGGGGACCCTGGAAGACCCTTGGGCAGCGCCGCGACGGCTGATGGTCTTTCAGGGAACGAACCATGGAGGCACGGAGGTTATAGTAGTAGGTAGGTAGGCATACCCCGGCACGGCGCCTCGGGCCACAACTATGCCGCCAAAAGGCTCAAGCTCTTTAGGCTATGCGGGCCTTCCCTCTAGCTTCTCGGGCATGAATGCTTGAGTATTGGAATCTCTGCATCACTTTGACTCCGCATTTTTCAAATTCTGAGACTTTTTTTAATCTACACACCTTGGACTCTTGAGAAGAAAACGACCGTTATCCCAACACGTTGATTCGCCAGCCATCGACGTTGTTTGCTCTCTTGCAGCAACCGATTGTCTCTTACTCCCATCCTAGACATTCCTGGGTCCTCCGCAGACAAGGTAGTTACCCCAAATTTAAGACATAGGCAACTACTCCCCCAGCATCTCGTGGACCTTCAAATTCAAAGCATGGCACTTGCTTCTATGCGGCCTTCTCTCTGCCTTTGCCCCATCGTCCTACGTTGCGCATGAATGAATCTCTCTATGCCTGGCACGGCCAATAAGATTGAGGATCCATGCCAGGAATGTCGAGGTGTGTGAATAGCCTTCTCATCCATCCTTTCATTTGATCCCACGACTTACGCTGGCGTCTGCTTCTCCAGAGCGACATCTCAAATGTAAGCACCCATTCCGCACGCGTCCGCGCTTGGCCGTGCCTCTCTCTGCCTGATTGCATCTGCAGCACTGCCTGTCCACTTTTCATCCTTCTTTCCCTCCTCCTCTCCAGCCGGCCTTGCGCTGAGCTCCCACCAAATACCCTCTGATACTGACCGGTCACTAGGCGATGACAGCCGGCCAAAATGTAAGCAATGCGAAAGGCTAGGTCAAAAGTGCAGGAGGGGCAAGGGCAAGCTCAAGTTTCGCCACGGTTCCAGCGCCCGCTATGACACCAGTTTTGCCAAAGACCAGACATGGTTGGAACAGACCAAAAGTGGTAAGTCTCGTGTTACTCGAGTTCTTTGAGCATCCAGTGGTCGAGTGTGACAGTGGTTTGGAGGTCCCAGTCCCTGTCGTTCGTGTACAACGGACCTGCTGTCACCCCCCATAACATGCCATGTTCTGTCATGCGCTATGCAAGACACGCTGTCAATTCCCATTTGAACATGGGCCTTGTGGTATTTGCAATTCATGGTCAATTCTCATCACCGCTCAGCGCTGACCAGCTCGGAACCCTCAGCAAAGTTCCAATTCGTGGATCAGGGCCCAGAGTTGGAAAACTACTATTCCCAAGATGATATAGTGGTTACCACCGCAAGACCGCAGCCTCAGGACCCAAAGCTTGAAGAACCTATCGGTGACAAGCGATACGAAATATCTGTTGGGACCTCCCCAGCCGTCTACAGTGCGCCTGCAACCGAAGCAGCATTCTTGTCACCTCAGCCAACCCACGAGACGGTCGTGGGACACTCGCCTATAAAAAGACGACGCACGGCCGACTCTACTACGCAACCCCATCGACCTCGGTGGTCAGATGGCGCCTATGACCCCATTCGTTCGCAATATCGAATGTATGACCCTCCCAAACCGTTTGGTCCTGTCAACGCAGAAGACTCCCCATACATGCCAGCCCAAAGGCATGTGCCTAAATTGGTCGAGGCTGAATATCGTCGTTTGGCCGATGCCGACGCTGCCACGATCCCGGCGGAGCCTGAATTGTCTCCAGCGACATGGAAAAAGGAGTTTTATTGGCCAAACCCGTTCACAACTACACAATGTGCCTGTCTGATGCGATACTACATCCAACATTTGGCACCATGGGTGAGTGCACTTTGTCACGGTCGAAATGGTAGCTAATGACAATAGTTTGACGTTGGCGACCCAGCGCGACACTTTACCTTGACGGTCCCACAACGTGCGAGGAGGTGCCCACCTTTACTCAATGCAATCTTCACCGCCGCTTCGAGGCACATGGCTTCGAGGCCTGAGATCAAGCCGGTCGATGGCATTGGACATTATAGTGACATCCCATTGCCGAATCTGACCGCCGACACAGCATTGAAGTACCACAACGCCTGTATTGCGTACCTGATCAAACTCTCGACCGACGCCGAGCATGTCAGAGACGAGGATCTATTGGCAGCGGCCGTCATTTTGAGGTATTACGAAGAGATTGATACAACAATCACCGGAAAGGACAGCGAGACATTTCTTCACACGTTCCAGCTGTTTGTCCATGCCCAATCCAGCCCATACTCGGACATTCTGCTGGATGGAACGGCGCCGCAGTATCTTCGGCCAGGATCGACCATGCGCCTTCGAGAGAATGCTCTGGCTTACCTCAAGAGTTTTCAACACGCGACATTTCGAGTGGCATTACGGCAAGAGACTACAATCGCATTCATGAAGCAAAGAGCTGTTAGACTACCGTTGCAAGCATGGTCTATCCTTCAAGGGTTTGAGGAGGTGGAAGACTTTGTCTGGTCTGATCGACATCTTTACCACTGCGCCCAAGTTCTTCAATATTGCTTTGGCGGGGATCTGACATCTGGCAGAGCCGGTCTAGATCGATGGAACGAACTCAAAGACTTTGAAAACCAATGGGCTGAGGCGAAACCGTTGACGTTCTCACCCATTTACTACGAGGACGCGGACCGAGCCAAGGGAAAATATCTCCCTCAAATTTGGTACATGGCCGAGACGCACATCACTGGCTTACTCCATCTGGACCTGTCACGGATCTTGCTGACGGTGTACAATCCCAACATTCCACTCATTGGGCCAGGAGCTTCGGTGGCACGTCGAAGGATTGCCGACGAGGTTCATGACATTGTGCTTCGACTGTGTGGCACGGCGGTATCAGCGGCATCCCAACCGGCAATGGTACAGGCATATATGGCGATTGCTGTTTGTGGAGCATACTTCTCGGATCCCGACGAACAGGATGTTCTACTGAAGATTTTGGATCGACTAGAAGACGAGTTTGGCTGGCCAACCAGCAAGACAGCACTGGAGTTAAAGCGGGAATGGGGTCGGGGGTGACATGCTTCAGTTCTTAGGATTATTTCTCGTGAGGATTTCGGATTCTTTCTGACGAAAAAATGCCATCGACGATTCCTACTGTGCTGCATCAATGGGAAGGATGGTGTAACAGGATATACAATGTTAGGACAGCTGGACAGCTACGAGGATTGGTACGATAAATAACATGGGGCGTTGGATCTTGACGACGCTGCCCGCTTCACAACGCATTTTTGCTATGGTCTTCTGTCAGATACTGAGGCGGGCGACATTGAAATGTAGAGACTTGTTTACTGGTACTGCTGATGATAACGAAGTAACATGGCCAGCGGAGTATGACTTTCGATACTGAAGTTGACCATTTGTCAGCCAGACCAGCGCCGTCCATGATTGAGTACGAGATACATATTAATACGACAGCAACTACTTACCGTGAGGAAGTTATTTTATGATTAGTTGTCACCCAACGCCCGCACCCTGGGATTATGTTATCATGGTGGTCAGTTGTGAGTCGGCTTTGCCATGTACCTAGATAGTTAGGTTCAGTTTATCGACCCCGCATCCCATCGTCAAAACCTTTTCTGGTTGAGGCATCATGACGATATATTACTAATGTGGAGGAACACCTCCGCTTTATTCAGCAGAGACCAGCACCGTGATAATTACGCCATTCCCACGGGTATGAGACGACTCCCACTTGGCCGCTGGCTGTCTGTTCGTACATCTTTTAGCCCTTTTTTCTCTGGTTCTTCAATACATTCTTCACACATCTTAACTCCCAGACCTGTTGACTTCTTCCCCAAATCCTATCCCAGTCGCGTCTTCTCCTCGACAGTGACTTGTTCAACCTCCATCATGGCAGACTACCTCTATATTGCGGAAACGCCCAAAGACGTCAAAGAAGCCAAGGGTCTACATTTGATCACCCAGAGTACTCCCAATGGACAGGCCACTCAAATCCTGCTAGAAGAACTCGCAGATACCTATGGCACGAAATGGACTACCACCCTCATCAACATTTCTACCAACGAACAAAAGAAGGAGTGGTTCTTGCGCCTCAATCCCAATGGCCGGATTCCCGTCCTGGTAGACAACAATCAGTCGCCTCCTTTCCCTGTGATCGAGACTTCTGCTCAGTTGTTGTACCTGCTCAAGGTGTACGACAAGGAAGACAAGTTTGGATTCAAAGACGAATTTGAACGAAGCCAGGCTCTTCAATGGCTTTTCTTCTGGCACGGCGGCGGAGCTCCTTATCAAGGCCAAGTCAACCATTTCAGCCGAGCTGCCCCCGAGAAGATTCCTTGTAAGTACCTGCCCCAAATCACTTCCTCAGTCCTTGTGCGAATAGATTCTTGTATTTCCTCGCCCAGCAGTGCCTCGATCCTATGATTTACTAACCTCTTCTCTTTCATTCACGGTACAGATGCCATTACACGTTTCAAGAATGAAACCTTGAGAGTCTACGGTGTATTGGAAATTCAATTGTCGGGCATCTACACCGGCGGAACACCTCGCGATTATCTTGCTGGCGCCGGCAAGGGCAAGTACAGCATTGCCGATATTAAAGCCTGGACCTGGGTCAAAAATTGGGCCAAATCCGGCTTTACTGAGGAAGAGGTCAAACCCTTCCCCCATCTACTCAAGTGGATCGATCGCATCGCCGAACGGCCTGCTGTGCAGCGAGGCATTGGCGAAAAGTATAATCAGTAAGTCTAAGATTGTCCAGTCGAGGTCGTCGATGTGGAAGAGGGATTCTGGTGGGTGGCTACGCAGGCGAGCGTTTGACAATGTCGTCTAAATGAAAGACGACTTTAACCTTAACTGAGAGGTTGTACAATATACGGCACGCGTGGCACCAGGAAAGGAACATATCCGGCTCTCCTTTCACGCAAGATCAGTCGACTGACCTCCGGTGGAAGTGTGTACTACCTGAAGTGGAAGAAGTGAAGAAAATTACATAGAGCCTTCCGGCAGTTCTTGATTCAACAAACAACTGCGCCTTACGAAAGCCTCCTCCCTGTATTGACTGGATGACACACTCCCTCGTGCCGTGCCCCAATTACCTAGCGTTGACCACAGTTTGTTGTCGCATGCTGTCTTTGTATCAACAAGCTGACACATGTATTCTTGAACGCTAGGTCGTCCACAGTAAAACTTTAGAAACGTTCTATTGGCAGTACTGCTTAGAGTGTGGGGGAGTTGATACCATTTCGCACCGATGATGACATAACCTGCATTTCGTATTCTGATGGTGAGCTGAGAAAACCTTTATATTCACATGTGCGAATAGGGACTGAGGGACTGCATAGGTTAACTCAGTGTCTACAGCACCTGGACCTGACCTACGTAGATGATTATAAGACCAAAATACAATGAGTAATGTGCGAGTACCTGATGACCCCCATGTTTACAGCCTTGTTCGCCCCCAAGTCCCAAATGAATCTCAGCCTGGCCAAGGTGCATTTCTCCATCCTTATGTAAGCACTTAATGTATGAAGTCAAACATCGTAGCCTTGCCTTGTTCCAACAACAATTTTCCCTGTCTTCGTTCTCGTCGTCGTTCTCGTCCTTGATGAGTAGGACTTGGTTGCTTCAAACATCCCAGCACAAGTCTTCCCAGATTCTCATTCGACCTGAGCCAAAATGGACTTCAAGTCTTTAATGTCCAAACACATCTCGAAATCAAAACCTAACCCATCCAAATCCGCACCTGAATCTTCCGTCTCACCATCCACATCCACATCCACAACTACATCGAAATACCAACGACGCGCCGAAGCCGAAGCCGCACGGGAAGCGGCCTATGCAAGAGAACAAGCGCAGATAGAGGCTGAGCGACAGGAACGAGCCGCCAAAAAGAGGAAACTCGAAGAGGAAGAAGCCGAACAAGCAGCGCTAAGGGCGGAAAAGAAACGCAGATTGGCCGAAGAATCCAAACAACGGCGCGAAGAAGAAGAGCGACAAGAAGAGCGCAAGCGTCGGAAACGACTTGGATTACCAGATCTACCTGATCCCTCGAGCACAGAAAACAATGCCAACGGCCATAACGATTCCAACTCGTCTCAACAATCCATTCCTGATGGTGAAGATATAGATGACGAAACCCTGCGGTCGAAACTGCGAAATCTCGACCAACCAGCCACCCTCTTCTCCGAAGACCACACGGGTCGTCTCCTCCGCTACCGTGCTCTCACACGCCAGGCCGTCGCAGCAGCACCCAAATTATCATCTGGACCCATTCCAACAACCCTAGAACCAGTACCGGAGAAAGACATCCTCATCCCCAACCCCCTCCCCGCCCAGGATTCTCCAGAACACGAATACCTCTACCGCCAACTCGCCTCTTACTTCACCCTCGTCCTCCGCGAATGGTCCACCGCCCTGTCCCAACGCGACGCCTCGGTGCAATCATCCAGCGGGGGCAAAGCCGCGCTCGCCGCCTACCGACAAGTCGTCGCCGACTTGACACCCTTATTCCGACATTTTGAGAAACACACTCTTCCTCCTGATCTCATGGACCCGATCTGCAGTATTGTGCGCGCAGCCCAGCATCGTCGCTACGTCGAGGCGAATGACGGGTATTTGACCTTGTCCATCGGTAAGGCCGCTTGGCCGATTGGTGTCACCATGGTGGGTATTCATGAACGTTCGGCGCGTGAGAAATTGCATGAGTCCGGATCTGGTAAGCAGGCCCATATCATGACGGATGAGGTTACCAGGAAGTTTCTCCAGAGTATCAAAAGATGTCTCAGTTTTGCGCAGACGCGCTGGCCGCCAGAGGATTTGGGGCAGTTGATGGGGTGATGGAACAATTGAATATGTACTATGTATCAATTGGAATCGATCAAATCAAATCACAGGACCCGAGTAATAACATTCGGTGAAGAAGTACCTAAGCAACCAAGCAATCCGCCCATCCATCCTTCTCGCTCAAAAGCTGTTCTGTTCATCTTGTCTATCTAACATGTGGTCGATGAGCTCGTATCAGCATATCATATTCGAAGTCAGGTCCAGGGACGTCAAGTTCAGCGTCACCGAAAAACACCGCTTCGAACTTCTCTAACTTCTATCCCTCCCATGGTATAGCCCCCGACCAAGCTCCGGAAAAGGAACAGAGACGGTTCTAGATTTCGACCCTAATTTGGCCCAAATCCAGATTGTACAGTACCGGTTAACTGCTGAAAATCAAATCAAAAGACAAATTCAAACTTCCTCCAACGCCGTGCATTAAGAACCGAAACCGAAAACTGGGTATTTGATAAGTCGCTAAGCCAGATCGCTTGTGTGGTTCATTGCACAAAGTGTGGCAGAGATCCACCGTTGTATATATCCTCTCCGAATACAGCTATTGAGATGATTGGATGGTGAGTGTTTGGTTGTTTGGTGGATTAAATGTGTGGGGGCCAGGCGCCACAAGTAATGTGGCGGGCTGGTCTGGTCAGCGAGAGGTGGGTGGCTATTGTCGGTGTGCCTACCTCGTGCGAGAAAGCACAGGGTTTTGGTGATGGAACATCATCCCAAATTGGTGCCGTCCATGGCTAACTGTGTCATTTCATGACATTCTTCAGGCGGCAACAAAGACCGCCTGTGAAAGTCCTCAAGTTCTCATCAAGAAAACAAATCGCGAACCAAACTTGTCGTGCATGAACGAGAAATTGGTCCAGTCCTAATCAGTAGATCGGACCGAAGACATGGTCCCACGTGATAAAGGTGGAGAAGTCCGCCCCATTTAAAAAGTGCTCCAATGCCAATCTTTGGGTACGCTATTAGCAACCGGATCCGCTGGCTTAGAGCCTCGAATCCCGCCTGAAATCATTCGACGATGGCCATTCGGTGCCGCCAGAGGGGTCGGAGGGCCACTGTCGTTGCTGTCGTCTCTGCTGTTCTGGCTGTTCTGGCTGTTTTTGCGGTAGATTGACCGTGCCGTGTCCCACTTCTGGTACTGTCGGTGACATGTGTCGCATGCTCGTGACTGAACACCATCTGGGTGGAATCTGGCTGACTGATCCAAGGGAATGGCATAGGTGCTGTGGGTTGCGCAAAATATATGACCACAATGTCGGCAATGATGCTTTCGCACAAACAGGTTGAATGATGATCGACATTGAGGCGAGTCACAAGACGGTGAGGCTTCGTCAGGCTGAAACAGAAAGTTAGTCTGGTGTTTTGACATGGGGTAGGACCAGACAAGATGCAGTTGGTTTCGACTTGACGGTGAACGAAGACTAGGATGGGTCAGGGAAAGAAATCAAGGCATGCATACCTTCCAGTGCTCTCTCGTTGGCGGCCCAGTAACATCTCCCAACTCTTCGTCTTGTAACCATTCAGATTCAACTCCGTTGAAGGCAAACTGGTCTGATTCTGGACTTTGGGCGACATCATTGTCCTGCAGGTTGTCCAAAGATCCATGTAAACTTTTGGGTGGTGTCATTGGTGAGATTCTTGAAAAGTGTTCGGTCGGCCGCAGGACTGCAGGGACATAGAGGGGAGACTTCAGAGGTCGCAGCTGTTTGTATGGATTCGGGGCAGTTTGTTGGAGGTAATCATTCATCCTGGGGGATGCTGGAGAGGTAGAACTGGCAGGGGAGGGTTGCTGACTGACATATTGGTGAGAGTCGGGGATGGCGAAGGTCTGAGTATTTGTTGCCATGGTGGAAGAAGGGATATTGGTTATTGGGTGTCTGGCGTGGGAGGTATTGGAAATCAAACTGAGGATAGCATGTGCAGCTGGATGATGCGCGGTGAGGTGAGGTGACTGGGTGGAGGAACACTTCTCACGTGGTGAGAAGTCGCAATAGAGATGTCTAGATAGTCCAACGCCACACAGAAATCAATCGGTGGCGTTGGATTAGGCCCGAGACATTGGACTGGACTGTTGACGAGGAGATGCCGTTGAAAAAAACGTGGCCCAACGTGGGAGGGAAGTGTGGGAGGTTAGGTGGGGTGAGCCGCAGAGACAATGGGAATGCGGTAGGAGGGAGGTGTAGATAAGGGTAGTTGTATAATGATCAAGACTAGTAGGTAGGTATAACTGAAAGAGGAGTAGAGATATGAAACACGACTCGACTGGTTGGCTGAAAGCGACAAAACAAAGTTGTGTATAGGAAGATAATAAAAATCTAGGAGTTGAGTAGAGAGAGTTTGAAGTCTGGTTGGGACGAGGACGACGGGAAGCACAAGAGGGAACGAGGCACACGAGTCGAGGGGCGAACTGCGCCTGTAACTTGAGGGCCAGTTTCCGAGTCGCATTGAGTGCCTCTAAGGAAATAAGTTAGCTTAGCGAAGAGATTAGCATGTCGGTGCCGGGGGGTTTGTCAGTCTTGAAAGATAAGGAAATCACACCAATGACAGGCCTGGGATTAGATCTGTTTAGGCATGTCAGTCGCATGTCTCGTGCTCAGAGCACCTCTGAAGACCGAGGGGTCCTGGCGGGGACAGGGTGACTCGCCGGCCCCGATCAAAGCCCTAAGTAGTGGCCTAATAAAAAGTCAGGATAAATGGCGGGCAAAAAGCACGAGAAGGAGTGGCGACGTGGGCCGAGATACCCTCATGCACCCGCATAAGGTAGCTACCTGGTAGTAATTATGGGCTGTGGATGGAGTCATGGTGGGTTCCGCGAGCCTTGTCTGAGGCCCCTAAGCCAACAGGGTCTTGGTCATCATTAGGCTGGTGGCCAATCCCTGGTCTTAAGTCTCAGCATCCGTTGCCCCTCCCCCTCTGACACCAACCACGACCTGCTACGCGCAGCCTTGGAGGACCCTGGCCCAGCCATGTCAGGTTGAACCAAATCTCGGCGCTGGCCAGTTGGGAGAGAGGGCATTGGAGGCCCCCTCGGCCCTGATGACACTAGAGGCTGTTGGGCCCACGGCTAGGGATACAATTGCCATTTTTACCTAACGGGCACCACCACAGTCACCCAGGGCCACACCACTTCCGCCCCCATGCTGCAAACACCTGTGGCTCTTCCGGGCGCACATGCACGCCTACGGATGTTCATGCATGCAGCTCACTCTCGAGTTTCGAGACTCCAGACCCTCGGAGCCAGTCGTGCCCGTCATTCTACTTCCAGACCAATTATCACAACAGTGTCCTATATCCGACAACCACTGTGTCGGGTTTTGAAGGCCAGCAACCTGTTGGACAGCCGCAACCAGCAATACCCTGGTCTGCTCGGTCTCCGACTGGTTGGGATACTGGGATGGCTGGTCCGCTACATGAACCTCTCAGGGATGCAAAGTGACAACCAAAATCGAGATCAGGGTGTGATTGAGTTTTACGGATCAACAAGCTGTAACAAAGAGTTTGGATCTGCATATCTGCAAATTCAAGGGATGGATGGGTGTAATGGTGATCTTGGGAGTCTGATGTGGATCGAAACTCTACAGCATTGCCTGAATTTTGATGGGCGGGTGGAAGGTTCAAGAGGAAGAAGTTCTAGGTAAAGTACGTCCAAAATCGAGCAAATCCAAACCACCAACAAACCATTTGACGTGACCAGTGCAAAGCGGCAAACTTCAAAAGTCTACGCTGCATCAAGGGATTCAGAACAACGTTGCATCTAAGTACTTTGATCTTTGTCAGTGAGTTTTGAAGTGCAGAGCAAACTAAGAGTAAGAGCGGGCTTCCACCACTAAAAGCGTCAGGGCTCAGACCATTCAGTAGTGGAGGGTCCTAATGCCCCTCAACAAATCCAATAATCATACGTACAACATGATAATATTATTGGCACCATGGGCATTGCATTATTGCCTACTCCGTAGGTACCATTTGCCAGAAGCACGGTCAATGCCCTGCGGCGTCTCTCTTTTGGGCCCTTTGGTCAATTTCTTCAAGCGAGCTGCTTCGCCAGTTCATGGAAACAAACCAACGGCCCTGGTGGGGTTTCTGCAAGCTGCAAGCTGCAGGTGACGAAACAAAAGCCTCTCGGCCACCCAAACCGCCAGTTTGCAGACGCATCAGTCTTGACTTGGACGCCGCAACGTCTTGAATGCGTGCCAGTTCAACTTCCGAGCGTCGTTGACATCTGCAATTGGTGGGAGGATTAGACTCTTTCTTCACCGCGACTCCGCTCACTCGGCTCGTTCCATCCCCTCCTTTGTTACGCATAATACTATCCTCATACTCCCAGCTTGTACGCACTCACTCTCGTTACTCGGTACCGGTTGTCATCTCCCCATTTTGTATCACGTCAGGACTTTGCATCCTCTGTCCTCGACACCTTTTTCTTTAATTATACCTTGAGCCTCCTCCCACTCCTGGATTTGCCCGGCCACCTTATTCCTTGGCCTTGTTTCTTCTCAAATTCTACACTCTCTCCTCTAACCTCGGATCATCCGCCACCATGACCCAACCAAGAATCGACTCAGACTTTTCTATGCCATCGGGACAATATCTAGACCGCTGGTGGAAGGAGAGTGGCTATAAACCCGATGCCGTCCCTAAAAGAAGAGCCCCCGACGAAGATCCACGAGGGGAAGTCGCTTACCACAGAGCCTTTGCCGAGGCCGCCAAAATTCATCCACCGAGGCTCCCTGATCCCTTTCTATTTCCCAATTCTCCAACAGCACGGAAATGTTTACAGCAGCGAGATGAGAAGCTGTTCCCTTCGCGGAGACCTGATCAGATCCAACCCGGCACACCAACCTCAGCCATGCAACCTCCATATCCGGCTCGTCAATTCGACTCATTACCCTCGCCCAGAGATGACATCTATCGTCACTCTCATGCTTCCAGTAACGCTTCTCAACCAGAGCCCACCGCCTATCCTGGAAGGTTTCAGTCTTCTGAGCATTCCCGTCACGTCTCATCAGGGTCGACCGGTCCTGAAGATCGTCGTACCTACCCCACGGGCCAGGCCCCAGCGACATTAGAACCAAAGATGGATGCTCCTATTGGACCACCAAGGATGATTCGATGACCTCTCATATCTAGAACACCTGCTCGCTGTAACCTTCCCAGGAGAAAGCATACTGGTATGAGTCATGATCACCAAGTTTCAACCATGGAACCTCTCACGACTTACGATCTTAATGATTAGAAAGGCCCGGCATCAAATGATTTCAGTTCTATAGCATTTGGTCAATACACCTATCCATTGGGTAATCGCTCCTTGCTAAGCCTCTCCACACGTCGCCTCACCACGCCTGGCGACCCAACGTCGGTTCGACCCCGGGTCTCTGCAAGAGCAGATTCAGCATAGGGATAAACAGTCGCGGATGGAGGTCATTGTCGCCATTCTGGGTAGCTGAGATCATCAATGGTCTGCCCGCTTGCTCTTCAAGACCCTCATCTCGAATCTGTCTCTCTCCCCATCCAACCAATTGCTGCCATGTCACCCATTCCCAACCAGAACATTTGTCTGGTTCCATCAGCTCGGCCTGTGGCATTCCGTCAGACCCTAATCTCGTCGACGGATCGACAGTAGCCACCATAAATATGGTTCCATAATGCATCCACCAACCCTGGATTCCCTCGATTTGAGTATCCCAACCTTTGCCAACTACGCCGCTTTCCATCACGTCATTGGTGATGGTCAACAGCCCAACATCTTGTACATCCAGGCCCGTCTCCTCCTTGATCTCGCGAATGGTGCATTCTTCAAATGACTCTCCGAATTCGAGATGTCCGCCTGGAAGAGCCCATGTGCCGGCGCCATGCGAGCCAAGTCGCTGGCCTAATAGAAACTTGGTTTCTCGCGAGTCCGGGTCCGACGACGGATGTAAAATAAAGACGGCAACCCCGAGCCGGGGCACCTGGTTGGCTGGGAGAGGACTCATTGCAGGTGTTGTCAAGAGGTCCAGAGATCGACCTTGATTGATGATATCTTCGGGAGAGAGGCTCTGATGCTCCTGAGTTTTCAGCGAATTAGATCTTCTTTTTCTCTGATATATTTTAAAAGATGGGGAAAGAGTTATCGGATCCAAGATATGATAGATTTAGAGTGTGTCTGGTGTTAGATGGGACATAAAAAGGAAGAAGGCCAGTAGATGGGGAGAATATATATACCCCAAATTTCTAGAGCATGAGTCAGTGGACTGTTTGATTCTATAATCAGTATGTTTGCTCTCGAGTGAGTAAAATGAACAGACAGACACATTGGCAAACTAGGTACATACTCTCAGACACATATACCATTTACCTCACAGGTTCGTCTCTTCTCAAACAAAACGATGAACGGTGCCTAGGCCTTTGTCACCCTTAACTCTGCGTCACAGCTACCGAGGACTGACTACCACTGACTACCACTGACTGGGAGGAGAGACTGTCAGTCAGTCAACCTCGATCTGCCTCACGGTCCCTCACCGAGTCAATGGAGCGAAAATGTTGCCTATTTGTGCACGTTCAATGCTGTACTTCTCTATGACAGGGATTGTAAACTGTCGTTGACTTTTGTGCCCAGCCACAGCCAGCCTCCCATGAAGAAGATCTAGATATGCGTGTCATGCGTACATGCTTCACTGAAACAGACAAAATCACCCTTTTTGGGGCAGGTGGCAGCGCCGCCACTAAAAGCCACACATTCTCATCTCGTCAGTCAGCCTTGTATGTGCATATGTACCTGCAAGTACATTCGTACCTCATGCATGCAACATTCAAAGCCCTGCATCGGATGTATTTCATTGTCTAGTAAAGTGTGTAGAGCCTGTTCGTTGAGATCCTCTGTAAGAGGATGAAATTGGTCGTTAGATCTAAATTAATACTGCTCCCCCAAGATATTTCCTTGTCATGTCATATTCTTCTGGTTCTCATCAATTTCAAGCACGTGTGTTAGGCCGTTCCTGCCCAGAGTGCATCACAGAGTGCTGCTGCGCAGGAGCGGCACTAGGCAGGTGCCAGCTGGTCTGCCAACTAGGTAGATCTGTCTCTCTTATGCTTGAGGACAGTTCAGTTTAGCTAGTCAGGAAGCCTCCATTACAACGTGGAGTGAAATAGATCGAATGGTTACCTTCGAGTTGTCATCAACTCGGAGCCCATTTTCGTTGTTGGTTGGCATGGTTCTATGGTAGCATTGTCTTGTGACACCCGCGCATCATTGTTTGCGAGGTAGCCCGATGAGAGGAGTATAAGTGATCGATGAAGAAGAATGGACATTAACTGCTTGTTCACAACACAGAGCTGCGCGTATTGTACCTGTGATTGGCCTCAATTGCTACGGCGGGCTGCACATGCCAACCTGACCTGATACACCTCATATTGTCATACAAAATACCATCCACCTGGATACCTTGACTTACACATATCTCTCTGCCTCAAAAGTTGTAGTCTGTGATACACTGGGATCGTACTATCATCGCCACAAAGAGTGGCCAACAGGGAGCGCTCCAACGCCTGGAATTCCGCCTGTCTCGCGTGGCGTAGGGATGATATGGAAGCCTGACAACTCCTCGTCGCGACCTTGACCATGTTTGTCTGCTAGTTGCTCTTCTTATCCCCATCGCCCGGGTTCGTCTGGTTGTACTTGACACTCAGCTCATCATAAGACTTTTGCAAGCCCTCAGCCTGTTTCTTGATTGCTTCAACTTGTTTGTCCTTCTTCTCTAGCTCCCTCTTGAGTTGACCAATCTGGTCTGCACGGAAACCTGCGTCAAGCTTTTCACCTTGCTTACCACCGGCATGTTTGTCGCCTTCGTAGAGCTTGAGCTTCTCTTCCAGTCGAAGGACGTCAAGGATCATGCCATAGGTGCGGTTGAGGATGAGAGACAGGAACAATGTGAAGCCGGTGAGGTACATATTCCGCTGAGAGTAGAACTTTCGGGCTTGGACTTCCATGCGTTCGGAGCCGATTGCAGCAGCGCGTCTGTTCATTTGATTAGGGGCGACTGAGAACGAGGATTGATATAGGCTTACCCTGCCCCTGTAGTGTCCTTTGCCAAAGCTGCCATCTCCACTTGTACGCGGTAAACTCTGTTGACGCTGTCCAAGAACAAGATGAGAATGAAGATGAATGTAATCTGGAAGCGGGTTAGTTGTCTATTGTTATGATAATACTTGGATTATTATACCTTCATCCCATACTGCAGCTTCGCGACCAATGGACTTTCAGAGATGAAGTTGAACAATCTTCGCTTCGCGGCGTACGGGAGAGGGATGATGAGAGCCACGAAGAGGGTCATCTCCGCAACGAGAAGGACAAAGACCTGTGGAAGCACATGTTAGACAGGCTGGCCAGCTGTAGCCTATGAAGTTGTTGACCTACCAAGCTGTAATACAACGTCATGGCTGCAGTTGAGAATGGTGGTTTGTGATGTAGTTGGAATGGACAGGAGGGAACTGCGAGTCTGGTAGAGAGACTTTTGAGGTTCTCGCGTGGGTAGTAGGGGAGATCAACAAAGGCAGACGACACGACAGCACAAGAGGGGATTTATTGAAATGGAAGGTGGCCTGTAGAATTGGGAAAGTCTCAAGTGCAATGTGTGACGCCTGGTGACGCAATAACAATCCTGAACTGGTGTGACATTCGAGCGGCAGGCACCATGGCACCCGAGGGCCCCACTATAAGCAAACCTCCAGCGCTGGAACGGGAAATGTGGCTTGTTTGCGGACTCGTCCACCCATCGAGACACACGTGACACATGTGGTTGGGCAGCTAGATGAGAGGCCTTGCTATGCTTCATCTATAATTTTATTAGACTTGTAGAGGAGTGATTGTATCGCAGGTACAAGTTACAAGGTTGGGTTTGCAGCTTGATAATTGGCTACAAGTCGTGATTACCAAGGCAATGGCTGGGTAAGCACAATAGGACCATGAAGAATGGCTCCCAATGTGATTTGCCCAATGCGATCAATCTCGTCCTCACAAACACCTAGGTCTTGCATTCAAACTTTTCCAGCCATTAAGTAATTCTCGTCCGTCTGAAACATCCACGAGGAGGAGCAGTTTGGTATCTTGTTGATTTAGCCATAACCTTCCCAGCAAACGCCGCCGAGTCAGGAGTCATTTCGCCGTCATCCCACATTGTCGCAGAAAATTGTGGTTACCTACCACTCGAATTCGCCCTGGCCTTTGTGAAATACATATCTGCAGAGAAAAGTCAGTCGAAGAAGCCCAGCAGGAAGCAAAATGGTCAGCACATACTCATTACCGTCCACTCGCAAAACACCATCCTTGAGCGTGCACTTCCACTTGTTCTTTACCCGCTGTACCTTGTCGTAAGTGCATAGCATAACCTGGTCCGTGTTTTCTTCGTCGCCCTCATTCGCGGCCAAGTCATCAGGATCGTCAAGATCAGAGTTGATCGCATCTTCGTCGTCAATGTCATCGTCGTCATCTCCAGTCGCATCGCCTTGCGCGCGAGCCAGACGGCTGGGCTCTGAAGAAGTTCCAGATTGCAGAGGATATGCGGAGCCAAGTATCTTTGCACTACGCTGTGATGGGCGCTCATCAAGAGGTGTCAGTAAGCCTCCACCCTCGAGCTGTTGCAATTTTGCGAGAGCCTGATCTTTGATCAATCGATCTGCCCTGGCGCCGTGGATTCTGCTAAACTCCTTTCGCCGAGCATATTCGGTGTCCCAGTCATCGTACGAATCAGCAGATCCATCGGTCTGGCTAGTCTGGATGGGCTGAGCACCGGCATGGTAATCCTGCACACCTCCCAATGATGATTGCCCTTCTTCTTGCTTGATGTAGTTGACGGGAGAGCCTGCCGATGCTTGTCCTGGTACTCGCTGGTTAGACTGTAACTGAGCGATCTGGGCGCCAGCACGCTGGCCATAACTCTCGTGGAGCTGCTGGGCTGCTCGTTCCCGAGCTGTCATTGGTTGGCCTTGAGGGAATGATGGGACAGCGTAATTCTGCTGAGGACCAGATTGAGGGGGGTATACTGGACTGTTCTCTGCCTTGACCCGGGGTACGGAGGAGGCGACTGTTGGCGCAACTTGAGGCGGCGTCGGGGTGTTGACGGCGTTGCCATTACTAGGGAGAGCCTGGGGAACAGGCTTTGCTGGGGGAGCAGCTGGTTGTTCTTTAATCACCGGTGCTGCCTGAGGATCCCATGGCAGCTGGGTGACTTTAAGACCTGAAAGTTTCTTCTGCCATTCCTGTTGGTGATTGAAATTGTCAGCTTATTATTCATCTTGTGTCCATGCGATGATATGATGGGGAATGAGAACGGGATGAAGGTGGAGACTGCGGCGCAGTAAGACTTGACCAAGCGTAGTTTGGTTGCACGCAGAAGCCAGGAGCGAGAGCACGGCTGCAGCCTAAAAGTCTAGGCAAGCAGGCGGCATATAAGAGGATGACCCAAAGGGGCGCCTCTCCCGCATCCCTCAAGAACCTTGGGATCCCCGCCTCATCCCCGATTCTCGCCCTCGTCGCCAGTCTGGGAGGCAATCGCGGCGTGAAACGCAACATTTCATCTCTGTCATGCTTTGTGTGTTCCAACATAGGGTCATTGCATCCAGCTCTTTCATCTACAGGATGTATCCAACCCAAAGTGATGAAAATTTCAAGATGCAGGCAAGAACTGATGAAAAGAAACTCGCTCCCAGTTAACGTACCGCTTTTAGAAGTTCCAACGTTGCCAATTCAACTCCACCTTCCTCAAAATCCTGTCTAGAGTTTTCGCAGACCTCGTTTATGACTTTGGCATAGACCTCGCCCTGAAATCAACGGTTTGTCAGCTATTAAACGAATCGCGGCTTGACGATATTGTGAACATCCGTCGACGCGAGTGAAAGGATTACATACCACAGTGGCCTTGGACATCGTGAAAGGGCCTGTGCCGACTTTGTCAGACTTGATAAATTTGTATATCTTTGTCGACTTGATGAGAAGCGTTGGAACTTGAAGGTAGGACGGCTTTGTGAACCGTTGCGGAAGATCAGATGAGTCGTGTGGTGCAGGACAGACAGATCAACAGCCGCGCCAGGCTTGGTGGAAGGGAAATTTCAGCTTAGGAGACTTGAAGTTAATCTAGTGAAAGTAACTGCAATGTCGTGAACAAGTTTCAATTGAAGTGACGATATGTGACTGAACCTGGATGAGAGTGACTTGGATCTCTTGAGTGATGGGGTGAATGATAAGTTGTAGAGCGCAAGAGGCAAGATGACCCCGACGCCGCTAAGAGAGGCTTGGCGTTAGTACAGCCAAGTCGCCGCCCACCAGGTACCTAGGACCTATGAGAGTCGGGGCTGCGCAGGCAGGCATGTCAAGGGCTCCGTCGGGCGGTTCAGGGCTCCTCATGGGCGACCCAGTGCCTAAAATTCCCCTCAACCCGGGCACCTGCTTAGGGACCGTGCCCCGCACTTTGGACTCCTACTGTACATGAAGGTAGTAGTATGTTTGTTGGGTTGGCTGTGACAAGATCTCCAACAACCGTGTTATCGTACACCATTATGCAATGGCTCGACATGATCACCAACTGCAAAGGTCATACACAATCGTGCAAAGTCTCCATCAGGTAATAACTTCATTAACTATTAGCCGCATCCGTGTCTACCTAGTATTGAGCCCAGAGCTGGGTCCATCTATCCAAGTCGTTCTACGTGTTGATAAGACGTTGTCGGTGTTCTAGACTTTGCCTTCTTTATGTATCTCAAGTGTGCTCAGTCGGACGCCAACATCATAGGTGCCTGCCAAGTTTTGGCATGACATTAACTGATTCAGCCCAGTCACGGTTGTGGTCACTGTCCAGGTTTGACGCGAACAGTATCGTACCACCTTCTAACTTCTTAGCTCCCAAGACATCTGGAGTTCCCCGCCCGTCCTACATAGGCTCCGTTTTGCCTTGATGGTCGATCCAACAAGCCAGGATAAAGGCCGTGGGAGACAATATCAGGCCCGGCAGGTTGAGTCTGGATGTTGATCCGTGATCATCCCCCTCAATTAGTCAATCTCTAGCAGGGCACAGCCAAACAGACGAGAGTCGAGCGACCTCATCAACCCCCAGACCTCAGTCTTCAGGTAAATCTTCAGCTCTTCGGACTCACGTAGGGTCTTGTTGTTCACGCCTTGTTCTTTTAATCATGGATTTCAAACCCGCTCTTGTTGTCGTGGACGTCCAGAACGATTTCTGCCCGCCGGTAAGAGACTATTGCAAGCGTCAGGGAATAGAGCACCATCTGAGCGAATTACCAGGACGGCTCATTGGCTGTGGCCGGGGGACGAGACATCATTCCTCTGATCAACAAACTTCTGGCATCGGACAAAATTGCTTTGAAAGTTGCAACACAGGATTTTCATCCTGAAGACCACATCTCTTTCGCTTCGAATCACCCTCCTCCGAATAACAAACCATTCGAATCATTCATCGATATGAAGAACATTGTGGGTAATAGACCCGACCAGACGATGAAACAACGACTCTGGCCAGTTCATTGCGTTCAGGGAACCAAAGGTGCTGATTTGGTCCAAGAGCTTAACTCGGCTGATGTTGACATCACCGTCACCAAAGGCATGGACGCTCGAGTCGAGATGTACTCGGCATTCTCTGACTCTTTTGGCAACCTGACATCCGGCGCTGGTGGGGTCAATATTGACCTTGCAGATCTTCTGAAGTCGCAGAACATTACGCACGTGTACGTCGTTGGGCTCGCGGGAGACTACTGTGTCAAGGATACAGCTTTGGGAGCAAGGAAGGCGGGATTTTCTACGATAGTCATTGAAGAGGGCCAGAGGTGTGTCGATCCTGGGAGCTGGGATGAGGTGAGAGATGTCCTGAAACAGAGTGGGGCTGCTGTGGTCAGTGTCAATAGTGAAGAGGTGAGGCGGGTCCTGGACTATTAATCCCAGCCAGGTGTTATTGACATTTGGAAAGAACTGGAAGGTCTGTACTTGTTGACCGCGTCCATAAGCCAGGTCAAATGGGGAAGGCCAGGTCTCACACAAGAGAGATGAATTCTATGCTTGCCCCAGGGGACACGCACATCCATAGTTGTAAAACAGAGAGAGACTACCGATTATGAATGATTCACATGATGGCTTCGTCCAGGACAATCCAAGGTATGGCTATCAAGGGTCCGCTTTCAGTCCTAACAGAGTGATGAGTTCGAGGACTCTTGCAGCGCGCTGTTTGTCAAGTACAGACCGGTTCTCATTCGGAAGTTCTATTCCGCATCAGTGGTATTAATTATTAGTACCCGAAGAATGGCTCTGCATAAAAGAACCGGTCACAGGCACCAATCAGCTGCTGGGTGATATGTTGGATCAGATTGTGGCACCGCACCAATGAAACGAGGTACCTGCCAGACACATATACACCCACCTTTATGTGAGCAATAGTCAACTAATGTGACAGAACTGATTGGAATTGCCAACGAAACATCCCTCAAATTTCCTAGTTGCACATCAGTGATGATTTTCCAATATATTTCATCTCACTGCTGACCATGGACATGTCTGATCAGAGTACTTTTGCGGCGTACTATTGGAACATCAACCGTCCACGGGAGGAGTGGACTGAAGAATGTCCTGAAGCGCTTAAAAACATGTCCGCTAAGGACATTGGCATTATTTCGACAAAAGACGAAGACTGCCACCATTTTTCATGGGAGGAGGTGAAATCTCTAGCTGGTAATGAGGATCTCCTATCGACCCAGGGGTGCAACGGCAAGGCTGACAGTCATCACGACAAGAAACCAATCAGGTGGATCGTTTTCAACGCAAAGCCACGGCTCTCCGGGCATACCGAGAATATGTTTATGAATTGAAGCAGAAATACGGATCAGTACTAGCATTTATCCAGCATGAACGGCTACAGTGGCAAGATGTGACGCCATCTGGAGAGGAACCCTTCGTCAATCCGAACGATTACAAGGTTGTTTACAATGACTGGCCATATCATCTTGATGGAGATATTGCTCACCTCGTCGTGTGGACGAAATGGGTCATCGATGAATTGCCCAACGAAGAAGTGACGGAAAAGGCCAAGTCGCAGATTGAGGCTTTTCTCCAAGATACATTCTGCTCGAATGAATCGGACACGGGAGAGGGGGATATCAAAGTGGATCGAGATCAAATTGTCTGGTTCAAGAATTGGAAGAGCTTGAAGAGTGTGCACGCTTTGGGTAAGTCAAGACGGATCGCCGGAGCCTGATGGAAGAGACATGGAGACTGCAGCTGACCAACCGTGGGAAAGAGCATTTTCACGTCATGATTTACCAGGCACCCGACAAACTGTTGGAAAAGGTTACTCGAGGGGATCGGCCGGGGTCAGAAAGCTGGACTAAGTTTCATGATGGCTGAATTTGGGGTTTGTGGAAGTGGCGGATAGAACCATGAAGATGAAGAGGTGAGGATAAAGCAAGTGGGCTCCTGTCTGGAAAACGAAGACGTGAGGATAAAGCAGGTGGGCTCCAGTCTGGTAACAGGAGCGATGTGGACAAGGTGGCTATTTCCCTTCTGACTCGAGATGATGGGGAGATTTTTATGTAGAGAATAGAAAAGGACATGGCGTCGAAGACACTTGACCGATTTAGTTATGAGCAATTATATTTGTGCATCATCGTATAGGATCTTTCAATATGGAAAAGAAACCTGATAGTTCCGAATTGTTATGCAAGATGACGAGGCACAATTACGAGGGGCTGGAGGGGCGCGAGGGGCCGAGGGGCTACCCACGCGGGTCGACTTAGAACTACCAAGTGTCACATGGCAGGTGAATGACGAACAAAGTGCGCCCTGATTCCCAGAGGCAAGCTCCGAGTCCAACGACACAACTCTAGAAACCCTTGGCTGCGTTTGCTTCTTGCTGATTCCCTTCTCCAAAGCCCGAGCCATTATTGGTCCTAGTGATATCTTGGAGCCTAAATCCTGTTCGTAGAATCACTAGTAAGTAGCCATTCACAAGTGGAGGAAAGCCGAGACTGCCCAAGGCTGCACGCAACCGCCTGGGTCTGCCAGCCTCCCACGCTTCCCCAACCAAATTCAACTAACTACCAGGGCGGTTGTGGTTTTACCTAGTTCATTCGGACCTTGAAAGCCCTTTGCCGCAGCCAGGCGAGTATCAAGTCTGGGCATCTAGGATCAAGGATTGCATGGAGTTTACAGTGACGACAATGCTTTCATCTGTAGTAGTGGTGACAACTGACCAGTACGTACCAGCTTAGAGCCCCAGGACTGAGTGTACCTAAAGGAGGGTCTCGAAGTCCCCTAGAGGCCCCGAATCAAAGACGAGCAACGCGTTTTGTGGTCCCCTCGTCCCTCGCACATCCGCCCATACCCACACTTAGGTACCTTACTTACTTACTACTGCCCTCTCTTGCCATGCCATGCCATGCCATGCCCATTGCCTTACCTATCCTCGCACCCAAGTAGAGCACCCACTCAACTCATGTCCAGTCACTGGGCTTCACTTCCGCACCTCCTCTTCTTCTGCCTTTCACCCTTTTCTATCCCATCGCAAACTCGAGAATTGTTTTGCCTGTCACCTGCCTCAATCATAGGGCAGTTCCTTTCCAACGAGGCCGATTCTCCCGACGATACCCCAGACACCCTTCTCCAGCCCGCTTCGCATCCTGTTCCCCTCTCCTGCAAATTTCTCCCCCACCATAATCCCCACGACGTCATTCGAGAACACAAGTGTGCATCGTTCAACACCACCGCAACGCCTTTGGCTACGAACTCATATGACTTGAATATTCTGAGGCCTTGTGAAGAATGAAGCATTCTCTTGGTAATGCCCTGCGTACGCGCAGTAAGTATACCTACACCTCAAGTCCTTCCCAGATTTTTGTTGGCTCACAACTTTTCTCCAGCAGGCAGTCGTTCATCCACCGAGGAAACCAGAGATCAGGTCGAGGGCGACGATACCACCATCGTCGAACCCGAGCAAGGAAATGGTACCTATAATCCGTTCTTCCTACGTGACCCTCCACTGACATCTCTTCAGTTCTCACTCACATCATTTCCCAGCTGCGGCCGGGCGCAGACCTCTCCCGTGTCACTCTGCCTACATTCATTCTCGAAGAACGATCAATGTTGGAAAGAATTACAAAGTTAGTGGTGCTCTGCCCATCCTTAAACCTGCTAGCCTAACCTATCTTGCAGCTTCATGGCCCACCCCGAGACCCTCCTGCCCATGCCAGGAATTGATGACCCCGTCGAAAGATTCGTGTCTGTGGTCAAGTTTTACCTAAGTGGATGGCATATCAAGCCACCGTAAGAAACGAGAAAACGCAGAATGATACACTCCCCCACTAACACATTGCTAGTGGCGTCAAGAAACCCTTGAACCCCATCCTTGGTGAGACCTTCACCTGTTACTGGGAGTATCCGGATCACACTCGAGGCTATTATATCTCTGAACAAACTTCACACCACCCTCCCAAGTCGTCCTACTTTTTCATAGCGCCTGAACACCAGATCCGCGTTGATGGCACCTTGAAACCCAGAAGCAGATTCTTGGGCAACTCAGCTGCTAGTCTCATGGAAGGTATATCATACCTGAGGTTTTTGAACCGAGGGACGTCGAAAGGAGGAGAAAAATAGTAAGTGCTCCATGAATGAAATCAGTCAACCATGCAAGCTAACACTTGGCTAGTATCCTTACGCAACCTAACATGTATGCGAGAGGAATTCTCTTTGGAAAGATGAAGTATGAACTCGGAGATCACTCTGTTGTCCGGTGTCCCGAAAACAACCTAGCGGCAGACATCGAGTTCAAAACGAAAGGTTGGGTTGGAGGCACCTATAATGCTATCGGAGGTACCATCAAAAATGACAAGACTGGAGAAGTTCTATATGAGCTATCTGGCCTGTGGACAGGGGAAATGTTCATCAAAGACACCAAGACCGGCCGGAGGAAATTGTTGTTCGATGCAACCAACGCGAAACATACCCCTCCTTTAACGAGACCGATCGAAGAGCAAGGAGAAAGAGAATCACAAAGGCTCTGGCTAAGTACTGTTAAAGCTGTCCATGTGGTAGACCATGAGCAGGCCACCCTCGAAAAGGCAAAGATCGAGGATCGACAGCGAGAAGAAGCTAGAAAGCGAGAAGAGACTGGTGAAGAGTGGTTGCCAAAGCTGTTCCGCAGGGTGGAAGCTGGCCCTGGGGGATCAGAGGAGGGAGAGGCCGACCTGGAGTGGATCATCAATGCAGAATTGTATGATTTTTCTCCAAACTGTTGTGACGATGTTGCTGACGAACTTAGGGATACATCCGATCCTAAAAAAGTCATCGATCAAGTCCTTTCGATAGCACCTATACTGCCTGGACAAGGAGCGCGTCAAGGGCAGGGGGCCCCATCCCAGACAGTTCCTGACACTTCGGAAAATTCATCGGAAGCCCAGGCACAGCCTTCGGCGTCCTCAAATGCCAATGCATCCCATGGAGCCAACTTGATTGATCTGGAGTCTCGGCCCTCTAGTACTGCACCCCCAGAAGCGACAAAAAAGAGTGATCCCATAGCAGGAAACCCCCTTCACCCGACATCCGACCCCCAGCCGACAACAGGACAGCAGAACAATACACCACGTGATGTCAGCTCCTCATCCACCAACTTGATGGACGGTGAAGATGACATGACTCATCTCAGCAATCAAACGTCGGGCATGAACCTGCAGCAGCCGCTAGTGCCTGCAGGCCAGGCGCCTCTCAAGCGTGCTGATACGGAGACGAGTGATGTTGATGTTTTTGTAGATGCGGAATCGTAACAAGGACACGAATCAGAAAGTAATGTGCATGGACGACGCCAGGGACACCAGAAGGCTTGATGGAGGGCATTTGTTAAACAACACGACGAGATACCACAGCGCAAAACATGATGGCCGAGTCAGAAAGGAAGATGGCTATTATATCCCGGCAGCGAGCGAGCTAAATGAGCGCCCATGATAGAGTATCATGTCTTCTCTCTAGTATACCGGTGTCTCTTTTATGGGATGTGTTAGTAGAGGCCAACTTCTCAGAACCATTGGTCCAACCCTAAACGCCAGTGGGCTGGCGATTCTTCTTCAAGGATTCTAAGATGTCGCGTGCACCTGCAAAGTCGAATTCGCTCATCGTCTCTTCCCAAAGCGTTGTCATCAATGTTTGACCTTCTGGTCGGTATGCCAATCTGGCGAAGCTAGAATGAGCAAAGTCAGTGATATATATTGGTCAATTAGTCGGTCAAGAGGGCTCGGCGTTCCCATGCATTGTTGCAAATCTCAGCCCATCCAACTAGGACAGAACAGACGCGAACATGTTAAGCTGCAAGGAGAGAAATGATCTGGTGAACTTACGCATGAGGCTCGAAATCCATGATGAAACAGCCATGAGACTCCTTTCCCTGAACCGCAACTGCGTCAATATACGCCCAAGCACCATCCTCGAGCGACCTCCCACTCAGATTGACATGAGCATTCAACAATACCCTCACAATACCTTTATTGCCGCGATGCAACTCCGTGCCTTTGACCATACCAGGCTCGACGAGGTTGACGATAACTTGATCTGCATCGAGATATTCGAGCATACGCACGAACAACAACTGACCCAGCAATTTAGAGATGAAATATCGAGCCGGAGTCGCCCAGGGAACGATCTTGGGGTTGTCGAACGACGCTAGGAACGGACGCGTGTTTATATTGGGCAATTTCGCCCATAATGCCGTTCCGGAGCTGACGATCGTGAGACGACCGGGGTTTCCAGCAGGAGATTTGTCCTTGAGGTGTGGCAAGAGGAGGATGGCGAGGAGAAACGTCGACAGGTAATTAACTTGGATTGTTTCTTCGTGACCTGTGGTTGGACAGAGTGCGAAATCCGGTCTTGAGACACCAGCGTTGAGAATCACCATGTCTAGACGAGGTAGTTCGGTGTCGACTTTCCGTACAAATGCTTGGATGGATTCATACGATGACATCTCCAAGTGCCAGACGTGGACTTTTGCCGACGGGTAATCCTTGCGCAGTTTGGATGCTGCTTTCTCGCCCTTGGATACGGTTCGCACTGCAAGGATCAGGTGTGAGAGCTTCAGGGATAGCATGTGAATCCCGGCTTGGAGACCAAGTCCAGTGTTGCCGCCGGTGATGATGGCTACTTGTCCTGAAAGGTCGGTTCCGGCTGGAGCATGGCGTATCTTGGTGAAGAACTGTGAATGGAAAAACATCCGCACAGCGCTAACTTCGGGTTCGTTGCCCAGTTGCATTGATTTGGATGTCATCCTGACGAGATATCATTGAGATGTGATATAAGTCTAGAGGGGGGCTTGGAATGCTTCGAGTGCTCAACAAGAGAGAACCCGTCAGGATCTGGGGAGTCGCCATTGACACTTTTATATACGCTTTGGACGGCCATCTGGCTTCTGTGCAGATTGTTAGGCATTCTTGAGGCATGATCGTTCTAGAGTTTCACAACTAGTTGCCCAGAAGAGAAGTCAATACCATCTGGGCGGGAGAGGAGTCAGGAGGTCTTGTAACATTGGACCGTCGTCTAGCATGGCCTGTCCTTCAGGAGCTTAATCCAATTTGACTGATTGATTGATTCTTTCGAAGACCAGGGGATTCTAAGCCTATATCGGTCAAAATCTATTTCTTGTGTTTGCTTGTTGAATGTATACGGAGTACTGAGAAGACGAGGCTGTCGAGTGGGTCCGTGCTGCTCTAGTCCATATTGGGAAACCAATCCAGTCTTGGCGCGCGGTCTTAAAGGCGTATGTAAACCGTTTCTCAGCAATCCCATGAGTCAAATTTGCCTGGAGCCTGTAAGCAATTGCTTTTCTCGCCGACTGGGAAGTGGAAGACCTCTTGCGGTGTCCATTACTCTGAAGATGTGAGAGTGTTGTGTTGTGACAATGCTCTCGCTCGGCGATTTGGGTCGAATCCATTGAGGTGAAAAACTAGCCACCATGGTCGAGTCGCGCAGTAAGAGAACTACGGACGACATGTTTATCCTGGCGACCGACAAGGACAGCATCAAACCCGACGCAAGCGCGCGTCAATTGATTCGGCGTCATGTCATGAAGGACAAGAACCGCAAGGCTGTCCCGCGACGTCTTAGATGTGGCTCTTGGATCAATCATGAACGCGGAGATCAAGATCCAGCCATGCGCCTGGAGGTAGGGAAGGACCTTGTCCCTCAAACGGAGAGGTCTTCCCGTGCTCTGTCGCCGTTGACCAAAATTGACCTGAACCTGTTCCTTTTGAACATGTCGGTCTACAAGCCTCCGTGCACGCTAGAGATGATGTGCAGATGTGGGCCACCCTCTCCATTATTAGTCCTTGAGTCTCAACTGGCTAACAAGATCAATCGTGTCCCAGTCCTGATGGTCATGCAGAGGACAATGTACCCTCCAGCAATTCATGCCACTCTCATCCCACAGGACAACTCTTGGATGGAAGATCTCGAGCATGATCCACTATACGCCGATACAATCATCGAGACCTCGCAAACATATTTCCACGTCTTTCAGCATCGAGTCCTTAAGCCTGATGCCCTGAGACATATGAACAGAGCTCTAGTCCATTTGCAAGGCAAGTTGGGCGAAGCTAGTCCTGTCATCACGGACTCGATCATCTTCCTTGTCCTAGCTTTGGGCATGTTGATGGAGGAGCTCGGTGACTTTGAGACGGCCAGGAAACATATTCTTGGGCTCCATCAACTGATCAAGTTCCGTGGTGGTATGAAAGCCCTCGGAGAAAAGCGTGCCTTGCAAATAAAATGCTGTAGGTGAGTTTGCTGATGGAAAACGCCCGTCACCTCTGTCCCAGATGACTGATCAAGGGACATTCTCTCATTGCAGACTTGATCTCCGTTTTGCGATGAAAACCGGAAGCAAACCTTTATTCTTCAACGAGGGCAACATGTCGCAGATGCCATACTTTAACAGTCTTCGGTCGCAAAGCGCGAAACCAATGCATGATCTGTGCGATCCAGTCGACCACAGATTGAGTAACGTATGGAACGATCTTGAAGAACTAACCCTAGAAATCAACCTTGCTCATCAGACTGGCCGATATCTATCTCCACATGTGTTTCAGGAGATCTTGATTTCGGCGCAGTACAGACTGCAGACTCTCGAATTTGCACCATGCAGCCTTCATGAGGTATTTCGGGTGACCTTGATAGCGTTTTCAGCAACGATGTTCATTTCTTGCCAGGACGCAAGTGCTCACTATGGCTGCATCGCGATGGGTTTACGACAAGCGCTGCTCAAACTGGACACATTGCAGGAGGATGACCGGCAGCTTCGATTATCACTCTGGGTGATTATGATTGCTCGTGTGTCTGTACTGGGCCATTCCAGTGAAACAGTTGGACTCCAGAACCGTCTGTTGAAGGTGATCAAGGCTCTGCGTCTGACAAGTTGGCATGAAACGAGACAGGTTCTGAAAGGATTTCTCTGGGTGAATTTGGCTCATGATCAGAGCGCCAAGAGCTTTGTAGATGGTGCATTGAATTCTGTTGCGAATGCTTGAACAGTCACTTGTCAATATATGATACCCGATATGTGAATATCCTCGTACACTGACCTCGATGAACATCATTCATTAACCAATAGTTTTCTTATCATGAGCACTTGTCCAGGAAACCCTTGGCAAGTGGACTCGGTGAAGCATCTCCGGATTAAGGTCGTACTTACGGAGTACTATCTTTGACTTTCTAGCGGTGGGCAAGAGCGGAATCAGCGGACTACCCCGAAACTTGGAAGTTACCCCGCACGGGGGCCATGTCATCTGTGGAGTTGCAGAAGGAGCAATCCACTACTCCGTAGTTAATGGCGGTATCAATCTACCCACCGAACGCCACCATTTAGGCTGGGGGAGAGTGAGAGTGACGGCCAAGGTTCAATCAACAGGCATTTTGTGTTTCATGGGAAGCTACGCATCTTCAAAATCGTAGTCAATGTTGTGTTATATAAAATGAGAGCTAGAAATACAGCCTCAAGACGGTGTCTGCATTGAATCTATTGAATCAACTGGAGGAGATAACCTGGCATGTACTTGTACTTGCTGAGTTGTCACTGGGTGGAGGCCGGTCGCCCGTCCTCCACAAGCCGAGGAAGGAACCCCCCAAGGTAGCACCCGAAGTCAGGAAAGTGCTATGATTGCCCCGGAAAAAGGGAAACACGGGGCAAGAAGGCACCTGCCTCCAGACACACTGGTGAGGCACACCTCCCACCATTTATTAGCCGAACTCCTACTGGTCGCCCAGTATCCTGCCACAGTCTCTTCTGTTCCTCAAACAAGTTCAAACCAAACTCGTCTGTCTCCCTTACTCTCTAACTGATTCTCTTCTTCACAATCAACCGTCCAAACATCTCCAAATCATCCCTCCAACCGCTCTCACCGTGTAAATTGCTGAGTATTTCCTCACCTACACACCTCCTTCTTACCAACGACACACCTCTCGTTGGCGACATTGTCACACTCTACCGACTCTCGCCGAGGCCCGATAGAGTGAATTCCCTCCCTGCCACACTCTCGAGTACCACTCCCAATTCCCATCAACCCTAACCCCACCACTACCACTACCATGCAAACTCGCACTCTCGTCGGCGCCGGAGCTGGCGCCGGCGTCCTCGGCCTCATCATTATGCAGTTGGGCAATCAGTCGCAAGACCGTCAGTACAAGAAGACATTGCAGTACATGCATGATGGACGCGAAAAGATCTCGGAGAAATTCCAGGACTCAAAGGCCAAAGTTGAAGATCTTGCCAAGTCCAAGAAATAAGTGAATGGCTGTGATAGTCCGAGGACGCGCTCTATAGGAATTGAGGAAGGTTGCAAGGCAGCAATGTGCCTTGCCAGGACCGTGGTCTCAAGACATCAGCCAAACTACTCAGGGGCGGCGGGCAGATCCCCTTCATGGCCAGGTCGGACCGGGAGCAGACAGTTAGATCAACTTCCATCATCAATCATACTGGGCAGATAACAAAAAGTGAAAGACTTGACCAGACTTCGGCCATTGTCATTCCCTCCTTCATTTTTCTACACGTGACATTCCATGGTAGATTATTGTACATTGTTGCCTCACTCCTCATCCTCTGTCTCAGTGTCGGTCTCCGAAGTGTCACTGTCAACGTCTCCTTCTGTGTCGCTGTCACTGTCGTCATCCTCCTGGTCATGACCATCTTGGCCGACTTGAGCGGCCTTCTGATCTGCTTGTTGTTGTGACAGAGTTCGTTTTTTATGTTTCTTCTTTGTTGGCGGAGGTCCTGATAGCCCTCCGGTCTTCATGGCCTGCAACTGGCCTGCCAGGGAGTCTGATGAGCACTTGTTAGTATGGGACCTGGTCGCAATCAAGAACTCGCCCGTCAACATACCTTCATCTGGCTCGCTAATCTCGTCATCGCTTTCCACTTTGGCCGCTTCACTTGCATCCTTGACGTCCAACACCACATTCACCTTCTCATCCAGCCCAATATAACTATCGCAAACAAGGTGCATGACAAAATGGAACGCATGAACTTGGGGTGGTGCCTGGAAAGGAAATTTCAGGGTTAAGACATTGAAAGTGGGAGTACCATCTTTGTTGAAGATTTGGCGGTCAAATGCGGTGAATGTTGTGGGAGGAACAGATATTCTTCCACTGCGACCTTCTGCAAGGAAGACATGCCAACGAGGAGCGTGGTCCGCTGCAAAATAGGGACTATGCGCGAGAGGTGGTTGAACAGAGCCTTCTTTGGCATCATCCTCAACGTACGATCCATCCGGCAACTTGCGACGCTTGTTCTTGGCAGGTCGGCGTCCTTTGAGTGCGTCAATGTCACCTTCGTCCGGGTCAATATCCTCAAGATCCAATGGGTTTACCGCAGGAACATTCGTTGTCCCTGGAGGAATAATGCGAGCCTTGACAACAAGTTGTACAAGGGACGATGGAGTGACCACTCGTTCTCCCACCACTTTGAAAAATGCCTTTTCCACTTTGAGGTATGGGATTTGAGAAGCAACTTGCATTGCTTGGTCGTACTCTTGCTGAGAGAGGTCTGAGAGGAGACTGCGTCGACTTGCAGGAGGAAGGGACATGAGGCTCTGAAGTGAGAGAGGGGATTTGGGATCGGGAGAAATCTTCCTAGCAATTTCGGCGGTGATGTGAGGAAGTTGGAGAACGGGGGGTGCTGACGGAGGAACTGCCTGAATGATATTTTGTGAAGTGCGGTAAGCAGCAAGAAGTGGAGCAACAAGTCCAAAAGGCAGCGTGATAGACGTGAAGGAGTTGTTGAGCGCCAGTGCTGTCGGTGCAATATCGTACTTCTCTCGCTCCAACTCAGGGTCTTCCAAGTTGATGCGCCCGAGGTACGCCCACAGCAAACCCAGAGTTTTCCGACGCAGGGGGTCTTCGATTGCCTTCAATCTTGCCTTGTCTGCAGCAGTCAAAAAGCTACTATTAAGCACTCTGGATTCGACCTTGGCGGAGCCCGCATCAATCCTGTTGCCTTTGAGGGTTTCTTTGAACTCTCCACCCACACTGGTAACTGCGACGACGTCACCATCGGAGAGATTCTCTTTCCACTCACGGAAAATGTTGCCAGCACTGGCATGGAGAACCTTGTCTTTGGTGAGGGCTTGTGTCCCGTACCACCATTTCCCAAGAGTGTAGGGGAGGATGATACCGAGGAGAACGCCATAAAAGGCAACCACGATCCAGCGATTGCCCTCCTCAACCATCCACTTGGGTAAAGCGATTCCAATACTGGTTGACTGCTTCCCGTCGGGGTTGCCGTACTGTAGGTAGTTGTTCCTGATCTCTTCATCTGTGAGCGCCTTGTAGGCCTTTGTCATCTCCACCCATCGATCGTTGATGAATTCCTTGGTGATGTTTTGAGCGGGGTCTGGCCTAGCTTTGTCGGGATGATGGGTTCGAGAGAGTTTCTTGTAGAACTTGTGAATTTGAGTTTCAGACGAACTCTGTTTCGATCAGTATACTGCGGTGTCCCCGAAAGACGGACAAGAACTCACTCTTGAAACACCCAGGACATCATAAGGATCCCATATCTTGGGGACGGTGCGTTGAGTGATAATGATCAGGTAAACCATGTATGCAATGAAAGCATATCCCAAGACCATGGCAATCGTTCGCTTAGTTTTTCGCGTCTTGCGCTTTCTCCTCCTTCTCTGGGCATCAATAATGTCTGCATTTTCTGGTCGAAAGTCTGATTTGATGCGAGCAGCGGTTTGTTCGAGGTCCGTGGAGGGTTTGAGGATGTTGTAGGTTAGGGGTATGGTGACCATAGAGGCCATGGTAAGCATGAAGAAAGGAAAAATCTGAGCACCCTCATCGTAATTGTATTCGGACATCTTGGACGTGGGATAGGGAGAAAGTCGCCGCTGTGAAGCGTTGGACAAAAGATGTGTCCTTGGGTGGGGTGGATTTGTTGCGTAGGACTAAATGAGAGGCATCAACGCGGGACAAAAGTAATGTCGTGGACCAGCGACAAGAGGTAGTGATGCGACCGCGGATGAAGACAAGACTGACAAGATTGGAAGAATGGCAGCAGACAAGAAGGAGACCTGGCTGTGAGAATTAAAAGTTGACTGACGATGAACTGCGGGTGACGGGTGACGGCGTTTGCACAAGGCACAAAAATGTACGGTGAAACATGTGAGGCCAAGCCACCAACTCTGTACACGGTGGCTTCTCCAGATCTCGAGCCAGCGAGGGAGGGGGCCTCGAGCCCGAGGCCCTGCGGTTCAAGGGTCCAAGGCTAAGATGACAACTAACAAGTACTCCGTAGAGGACTTCACTATCTACTACCTAGGTTCTTCCTAAGGACATACCTAGGCAGCCAAGTATTGGTTAAAGCGTTTAGGTTGTTTAAAACTCCACGTATCATAAAAGCATAATCAACCTACTGCACTTCTACTTAGATACCCAGGTACCACTGCATTGTCGGCGAATGTAAAGATGACGTACTGTTGGTATCAGTACTTGAACAGGTGCACACATACATCAAGCAGTTATTACTAAGTAGGTGAGCAGCAATCTTCGCATATGGTCAGATATACCTCCTACTTTGCGTATGGTGACCATGTCAGCACTTTGATGCTCGCGTCTTATAAAAACCCACACGAGGTTGCACCTAGGCACTCCTAGGAACCGAGACCGTAATGATGGATTCAGCTAGTTCAACGAATCCTAAAGGTCTACGAATAGCATATAGATAGACAATTGGGACCCTTCTGATGAAGCACACTTCTGAAGTTCAGGCTCCATCACCTCCACTGAGAACTGACACCCGCTACTTCCTCATCTCCATATCTCTTGAGTTCTTGCCTCTTTCCAGTCCCAGATCCCCTTCCATTCAAGATGCCGGATCAGGCAGTTTATGCGAATGCATACAATCGACCACAACCTCGAGAAGGGCCCAAAGTGCCTTACAACAATGACTCAGGCTCAAACCCTGTGCTTCGCGGCTACTCTTTGGCTGCCGTATCTACAATGTATGGTGTCGGCTAGAAGATTTGTTTCTCTGATTCCAGCGCTGACATGACCAAAGCATTGCTTCCTCCCACTACGTCCAACGCATCTTCTGGACATTAAACAGGTTCGAAAAGCTCAAGGAGTTGCCCTATCTCGAAGATTATGACGCACGCCATGATCCAACTGTTGTCCCTGTATCTACCTCCGCGCCTTCGGTACCAACCTTGCTCGACTTACCTCAGTCGGCCCCTCGCGCTTCTCCTACCGATTACTACACCTCCGCAGACTACCGCGCCCTCTATCAAAGCGGCAAGGTAACCCCAAGCGACGTTGTCGAGAGCCTTCTGCCTCTGATCCAACGGGATGCTCAACCTCCTGGTCAATATTCGGTGGGCTTCATCTCGGTTAGGGCCGATCTCATTCGCGCAGCCGCCAAAGCTTCAACCGAGAGATACCAACAAGGGAAGCCTCTCAGTCCGCTAGACGGTGTTCCAGTGACGATCAAAGACGAGGTTGATTTGGCTGGATACAAAACCACAAAAGGTTCCGTTCTGGACCTCACTGACAAGTCTGGCCGAACCTCATGGTGTGTCGAGAAATGGCAGGAGGCAGGTGCAATTATATTGGGCAAGACCAACATGCATGAGGTCGGTCTGGACACCACAAACAACAATATTACTTACGGAACTCCACTGAACCCTCATAACCCTGGATACTACACCGGTGGTAGCTCTGGCGGGTCCGCCTTTGCCGTGGCTTCAGGTCTTGTCCCCATCGCCTTGGGCGTCGACGGTGGTGGCTCCATTCGACTTCCCTCATCTTTCTGCGGAGTCTTTGGCCTGAAACCGAGCCATGGGAGAGTCTCTTCGAAGGCGGGATATGAAATGACGAATAGCGTTGCCGTGAACGGCCCGATCGCGAATAGTATGGACGACCTGGCTCTCGCATACCGAATCATGGCTCAGCCTGACCCTAGCTCCAGCGGAAGTTCACAATTTCCCAACAGCCTCCTAACGTCAACGGACGTTGCTGGCTCCACCCCTGCAAAGAAGATCCTTGGACTGTATAAAGACTGGATCTCCAGATCAGATGCCGTGGTTTTGACTGCCTTTAACGCTACCGTCGACCATCTCGTCAAAGTCCATGGTTATGAAACCGTTGACATTGAGATTCCATGCATCCCGCAGGGCCAGAAAGCACATGCCATGACTATTCTCTCCGAATCGAGAAGTGTGTTAACCGCTTCTCAGATGAAGAAATTATCCTACCATAACCAGTTATTGCTCAACATCGCCGGCGGACATGCTTCTGCCCAAGACTTTCTTTATGCCCAGAGGCTGAGGCAACTCCTCATGTCTCACCTTGCCTGGCTGTGGACCCAGTATCCCGGGATGCTCATTTTGACTCCGACAATACCCTTTGCTGGGTGGAAGATCGCCAAACCGACAGACATCACGAATGGAATTGGCGTTTCAGATAGTGATATGAGCTTGCGATCCATGGAATATGTATATCTGGCCAACTTTACAGGGAATCCCGCCATCAGTGTTCCTTGTGGCTATAGCGACGAAAACGTTCCTATTGGATTCATGGTATGTACTTCCTCTTAGCCAGGCTGACTTGTTGCTAATGATTGTCTAGGCCATGGGAGACTGGGGTAGCGAGGAACAGTTGCTAGCATTTGGCAAGGAAGCACAATCGAGCTTGGATAATAAAGGAGGGATTCAACGACCCAAAGGCGATAAAGCGTGGTTCGATCTATTGGCTCAACATTCTAGCTAGCCGAGCGTCACTTGCCTCCTTTTCTTCTAGCCTTTTCCTGTCTTATTAGCCGGCAATCCTCACATGGGAGGTCTTTGTGTTTCAATAATGGTCTTCATCATCCTCGTTATCAAGGCCCTCCTCGTCTGCGTCTAACCCATTCCCACGTGGCTCTGCTCCTATATTGTCAGTCTCTTTGACTCTAGCCTCCTGCTTGCGGTACAGGGCAGCCAAAAACTCTGCCGTACTCGCCTCCTCAATCGACTTGTCTTCACGGACTCGGAGGAATCGCGGAAACCGCATGCTCAGTCCCCGTTCCTCACTCACCAGGCCTATGGCCGCCGTATATGTTGGAGACAGTGTAATATCGGCAAATGCCATTTCCCAGACTTCTTGTGGTTCAAACCAGACGTCCGGTTCGTACGCGCTGTACTCGATATAGCTGGGCCTTTTCCCATGAGTGTTCTGCCCACCTTGTTCGTACTTTTCTTTGTTTGCTTGGTAGAACTTGTCGGTGAAGCCTGATATGCATTTGGTGACGACTTCGAGGGACCCGGTGGCAGGATTGCGACACGCCAGCAGGATTGGAGACCACCACTTGGCTTTCCGACCTTGACCGTGCCAGCCCGCCACGGGGATCAGATCGATTGTGTCGGCTGAAGTGGCGTAGTCCTTTTTCACTTTGAGCCATGAGTCGAGTCGTTTGTCGGGTTCATAGGTCGCCAGGAGGGCTTTTCGCCGGGTGCCTTTCTCTTTCTCGGTGTCTTTCTCCTGGGCATTTTTGGACTTTTTGGACTTTTTGGGCGTGGGAAGCTGTTCTGTATGCGGGGGGGATTGCCCAGGTGGTAATAAATCTGGATTCGGTAGATTGTCGAGTACCTTGACCATGATGCCTTCGCATTTGATCTCGGTGGCCGACTTGAAGAATTCGAGAACCGTTTCCGAGTCAGTGGATGTGGCATCAATGCTTTGGACCCACGTGAAATGATGTTCTTTCTCGATAAACATGCTCCTCAGCAATGCCCGCCTTTCGCGAAAAGGTCTGTCAAGCAACTGCTCTCCATTGAGGTACATGAGATCGAATGCAAACAGGCACACTTCCACTTGGATGGATCCAATATCGACGTCTTTCCTTGCACGATTGGTCAAGGTCTGGAATGTCTTCAGTTGCCCAGAGTTGCGATCCACGGCAACCACTTCACCTTCGAGAATGAAGCTCGACACCCCGTCTCCTCGTATCTCGGGCACAAGTGCCACCAGGTCTGGATATTTGTCTGTCATGACTTCGAGATGTCGTGAGAAAATGGACACTTTGCCGTTCTCGTCACAGTGGACTTGCGCCCGTTGGCCGTCATACTTGTACTCGCAACTGAAATCTCGACCTTGGAGTTTTGTGAGCATTTCGCTGAGATCCCTCGTTATGCTCCCAAGCATGGGGCGTAGCGGAATATGCAGCGCCAAGCTACAACGGAGGAGAAGTTCGTCAGAAACGCCCACTTCAAGAAGTCCTGGGACTAGATCATTGTAATTGGGCCGGCGGGCAAAGCATGTCTTGACCGTCTCTTCAGCACTGGACCACACTGCTGCAAGCTCATCCTTCTTGAGTTTTGCGAGACTGGCAAGGTCCTGAAGAGGGAAATCCGCACCTTCTGGGCGAGAAAGCTGAAATGCTCTTGCAAGTGCAATCAACATGGTTGTCTTGACGGCGCCGATGCGTAAATGCTGGACCAAGGTACGAACGATATATCTGCTTTCTTCGGGCCCTCGCGCATCCTGCAGGAGTCGCTCGACAAGTCTCTGCTTCTGCTCAACACTTCCGTGGCCTTTGCTATTGGCAATTTTGACCAGAGTCTGATAGGCACTTTTGATAGAAAGTGGCTTGGGTTTTCTCAGCGTGAAGCTCTGCCTCTTCTTGGCTTCGAAAGCCACATCCCCGGCGTCACCGTGCTTATCGTAAAGCGTTTTGAGGCCAGCACTGTCCAAACCACAAACTTTCTTCAGAGCTTTGGAAATTGCCGAGCCCCCTAAACCAAGCTCAAGCGAGATGTATGGAGGAGAGATTGAATTCGTGGCAAGCCACACAGCGGGAAGTAGGCTGTCAGGATCTGACTCGATAATGACTCGAAGGCAATTCACCAAGGTGTCAACGATTTTGATTCTGCTCTGGGTAGAATTGACGAGGAAAAAGCACCGAGTGAGAAGGGCATAGAGCGCATCGCCTCCTTCCTTGGCCCATTGCCTCTTCAATTCCGGGACATAGGTGGAAGGGTTGAAAACCAAAGGGCTCTGGTCGAAAGGGATTGTAAGCGTCACTGCGTCACCATCTGAAGCAGTGGACTGAAGTCCGAGAATGGCTTTTTCATGCTCGCTGGGCACAGCTTTGGCCTCTGAATCAGACTTAGCGAGTGTATCCGTTAACGACTCTTCGGCGTCTCTCTCATTTCTGTATGCAGAATCACTGCTTGCGCTGGTCTCCCCTACATTGATTCTCTGGCTCTGAGATTCGTCTTCTCTCGCCCATTCTTCCTGCAGCTTCCTGGCGAGTTCTTCATCGGAAAGTGATTGCTCAGATTTCGACTGATCTTGAGCCGATGTGGAAGACGGCGATGCGAGCGATTGCTGGGCTTGTTTGCGAAAGAAGAAGTCGAGGCTACCGTGGGTTGCCGGCGTTGGCTTGGAGTCGTTCTTCTTGCGACGCTTCGACGGGCTTTCCATAGTCGACTAGAAGACAGAATCGCAGTGAAGACATGTTTCACATTTGTTGCAATGCCGTAGGGTCGTTGTCTTCGATGGGTGATCACGGCGGTGGCGTTGCAACAACATCTCACCATTCCACCAGCCTAAATCACAGACAGATTGATGCAGGCTGCGGAAAGGGAATTGACTGACATCATCAGTTGACGCGTTGGTTGAACGTGGAGCGCGTTGCCTGTCAGACGGTCTGACCAATGACTTAAAGCAAGGGCGGATCACTCTGTTCCGCAGCGCAGTGTCATTCATGGCAGGTGCGAACTTTCTGGCAGGAAACTTGTGGGGAAGGTGCGACCAGGACAAGCAAGGAATCAGGAAAGAACAGATCAATCAGTACAGTGAGGGACTGTTCCACCTCTGCTTGTTCTTCAACCGACGCAGAAATCCGTGATCTTCTGTGTGTCATGAAGAACAATGGCAGACTTACACCCATCGAGAGCGGTCGGCATCTCAACCAGAGTCCAAGACTATCTAGATGACAAGATCCAAAATGCAGCCGACTTGGATAATGTCGACGAGCTTTTGGCAAAGGTTCAACAGCAGCAAGAGATACTGAAAAAGCAGGTGAGCTTCCAGCCTTCATTTTGCTGGGATTTAACCTCACAATGGCATAGCTGGAAGAAGCCCGCAATGGACAATCCGAGGTCGAACAAAACATCGCAACCCTAACAACGACGCTGAGGGAACGGGCGCTAGAATTCCAAGCACGACAGAATGATCTGGACCAGCGCCTCAAGGAGCTGACGCAGTCGGATGTCACCACTGAAGCAACGAAGAAGATCGAGTCACGGATGAACAAGTTAGGCAACCTAGAGATTGCCCAGGCGTATCTTGAATTGCTACAAGAGATGGATAGATGCGATACGGAAACCTCCAAGCACTTGACGAAAAAGCCCGACGAATCTATCAAGTCCTATCTACAACTTCATTCTCTATGGACAAGAATGAAAGAAAACCAGCCATCTGCTGAAGGTGCTGCTCCCCAACTGCTTTATATTTTTGAGCAGCAGACCACACGCATCTTCAAATCATTGAAAGATTCCCTTGAAAAGTCACTGCGCAAGACCTTGGATGAGATGAACTGGCCATCGAGAGACATGACAGTCTCCTCGAACGCCCGCGAAAAGTGGGAGAACCAGGTTCAACTCTTGCTTGAAATCCAAGAACCCGACCTCGTGCAATCGGCACCTAACGACACGACATGGAATGCGGGACCGCCACCGGAACCAGTCACTCTGTTCCCGTTGGAAGTCATGATCAATCCACTAGCCGCAAGATTTCGTTACCACTTTTATGGCGATCGTCCTACTAATCGCCTCGATAAACCAGAGTACTTCCTTTCGCATGTGTTGGATTTGATCGAACAGCATAGCAATTTCGTTATCGACATTCTTGGTCCTATCCTTGACCAAAGAGCTCTCAAATCCGAGGCCCTCGAGTCTATCTATAGCGACCCCATCTCCGCCTTCATCACTGGCCTATTACCCATGGTCCGGGCCAAGTCGTTATCGTTCTTACCTCAAGTTGTCTCCGAGCCACAGCTCTTTTCCCACTTCATGCGCGAGATCATGTTGTTCGACTCGAGCATTCGTGACTCCTGGGGCTACATCCCCATACCAAGGATGCTAGGCGACTGGAGAGGGGTTACATGGGACCTTCTATACACACATGGTTACTTTCAGTCATGGCTTACTGTGGAGCGAGATTTTGCCCTGTCACGCTACAACAACATACGTGATGACCGCGAGGGCCGAGAAATCGATTTTGATGCAGAAGCCGGCCAGACAAAGCCCACAAAAACTGCAATCAGAATTGCTGACCTCCTTGAAACCATCACGGATCGCTATCGAGCGTTGAACTCGTTCAGCTACAAGATTCGCTTCTTGATTGACATCCAAATACACATTCTTGAAGAGTATCACAGACACCTTGCGGATATGTTGCAAGCATATGTGGCTACTACGCATACAGCGGGTAGACTGTTACAGGGCCAAACCGAATCAGACGCTTTTGGGCTAAAAGGACTGGAATTGATAACGAAAATCTACGGGAGCGCCGAGTTTCTCCAACGCAAGCTGTCAGATTGGAGCGACGATGTCTTCTTCCTGGAGCTATGGGATGAATTGTCCGTCCGTGCAAAGGGAAGTGAGGGAGGCAATGCTTCGATTGGCAATAACTTGAATGTGGATGACGTTGCCGCAAAGACATCGACTGCAATCAAAAACGACGATGACGGAGAATACGATGGTAGCGGACCATTCGACCAGACAGTTGGCTCTTTTCTTCGCTTGAGGGAGCGTAGCGAGGAGCAGATTCTTAGAGCATTTGAGGTAAATGTTCGTGCCGCCCTGAAACCGTATGTGAGGCACCCTCAATGGTCATCACTGGGTGACTCCAGACTCGAAGGGTCTGTGGCACCTTCATCGGCACTGGATGGGTTGTCTCAATCGATCACCATCCTCCTCGGCTATATTGCACGGGTTTTGGCGCCTGGAGCACTTCGAAGAGTCGTCAAACATATCTATACGACCATTCAGAAAGAGATGTTGGACAACGTTGTCTTGTCTCACACCTTCTCCACTGCAGGCGCCAATCAATTGAGGACCGACATATTAGCGATCAAGGAAGTTGTTGAGAGAACGGCAAAACTACGTGGGATCGGAGATTCGAGCATGAAACGCCTCGACGAAGCAGCAACATTACTCTCTCTCGCGGCTTCAGAGGAGAATTCTGGCGAGGACGAGGATGCGAGTGGAGCGGAGTGGGGATTCGAGGAAAAGGCCGAGCCCTCTGTGAACGGCGAGGAGTCCCCTGGAGGCGCAAGTCACGAGCTAAGCCTTTGGGAAGTGGACAATCGTCTGTTCACAGACAATCCCACCGCACGCAAAGTTCTGGCGGAGCTGGGAATCTATCACCTCGACGTAACAGAAGCACGAAATGTTCTCAGAAGGAGAGTAGAGATCACGGCCAAGTCCGGCCGGGCATAGAAGAAGGCGAATTTTGTAGATCATGTCGGCTGGCAGCTCTGAACCATGAACGATCAGGCGTTTGGTCAGTTGGCTACATTGATCAACATGGACTTGATATGCAAGTACTCCTCGATACCTTGAGTTCCACCTTCTCGACCATAGCCGCTATGCTTGACACCTCCAAAGGGACTTTCGGAGGCGCTCAACATGCCCAGGTTGACGCCCACCATACCCACCTCCAAGCCCTCGGTGACCCTCCAGGCTCGAGCCATACTCTCGGTTATGATGAAACTTCCGAGACCGACGTCACAGTCATTGGCGAGTTCCAGGACTTCGTCCTCAGTCGCAAATTCGTATAAGCCCACAACGGGAGCAAAGGTTTCCTCACGTGTTGTTAGCATCTGCCGGTTCATATTCTTGATCAGAGTTGGCTGAAGGAAGTATCCCTTTAGGTCTGGCACGGAGGAGCCTCCGAGCACGATCTGGCCGCCGTGTTTCTTTGCGTCTGTTGGGTTAGGGGTCAGTACGAGGTCTCAGACGAAGATGATGGATTGGGATGGGGTTGTAGGAGGCCCGAACTTACCATTAATGTGGTTCAAGGCCTTTTCAACAGCTCTGTCGTGTGTCAATGGACCGACATTGACGCCTTCCTCCGTCCCTGGCCCAATTTTGAGTGCTTGGATCTTCTTGCTAAGCTTGTCGGCGAATTCATGGTACACGCCCTTTTGGACAAAGATGCGATTTGCGGTAACGCAAGTCTGACCAGAGTTCCTGAACTTGGCGTTGATGCACGCTTCGACCGCGGTCTCGAGGTTGGCATCGTCGAAGACGATGAACGGAGAGTTTCCTCCAAGCTCCAAGGACAGCTTTTTCAGGGTAGCACTACACTGGCTGGCGAGCAGTTTTCCCACCCTGGTGCTTCCTGTAAAGCTCACCTTGCGCACGAGGTCATTCTTACAAAGAGCCTCGCCGACCTCGGCTACTGTATTGAGGGTCGTGATCACGTTGATAGAGCCTTTAGGGAAGCCGGCCTCGTGTGCGAGTACGGCCTGGGCAAGTGCGCTCAGTGGAGTTTCGCCAGCAGGTTTCCAGACAGTTGTACAGCCAGCTGCCAGGGCGGCACCGACCTTTCGTGTGATCATGGCGATGGGGAAATTCCAGGGTGTGAGACATGCCGCCACACCAATGGGTTGCTTGAAGGTCAGAATACGTTGATTTAGATTGGCGGGCGGGACGACTTGGCCGTGGACTCTTTCCGCTTCGCCAGCAAACCATTCGAGAAAGGATGCAGCATAGATGACTTCGCCCTTTGCTTCGGCAAGGGTCTTGCCATTCTCCAAGGTTAGGATTAGGGCCAAGTCGTCAGCATTTTCTAAGCAGAGATCGCTCCATTTCCGAAGCCATCGAGCTCGCTGGCGTGCGCTGGTCTTCTTGTAAGATTGGAAAGCTCGATGGGCTGCAGTGACGGCCTTGTCCACGTCAACTGCATTCATCTCGGGGATGGTAGCTATTTTATCCAATGTTGCTGGATCGTAGACAGAAAAGGTCGCCCCCGAAGAGGCACCCACCCACTCATCATCGATGAAGCCTTGGGACTGCAGCAAGTCCTTGCGTTGGATGTCCTGGAGTGTTTTGCCCATGTTGGAGATTTTTGATGAAGACTACAAAAACAATAGAGATGATGTGGTCGACGACTTGTATATGAGGATGAGGGGCTTGGGTATCGGAATTGTGACCGACAAGGCGGAATTGTCGATCAAATACTAGTGAGCAACTTCAATAGACCTCGGAGAGATGTGAGCCCAGTGGAACCACCAAGTATCCATGGTTGGTCCCCTCGTCCCTTTCTCTTGGAGATTTGGAGAAGGGCAGACATCGCAAGCACGGCAGGCTACTTACTATATAATATTATCATTACTCACTGGGTGAGGGGAGACGGTTTTGACGATCATGGATGGGGAGATTGAGTGGAGGAACTGGGGATATTTGGATGTCCTGAACAAAAACCCCACGCTGTGCCACTGCATGGCGGGGAGATCGTTTGTGCATATATAACGGTAACAAGGCTGAAGAAGGCGTTGGAGTCGATGACGATGACGATAGTTTGAGTACCTCGAACCATCTCTCGTTAGAGGTTCCAGCCTGAGCAAGTGCTGCTTCAACCTGAGCTCCTCCGGGAGTGCAGGATGCCTCCTCGCCCCTCTGTAGCCACCATCACAACAATACATACAAGGCCGAACGGCCACAACCAGCACACTCGCACTCCGACAGACTATACGCAATCCGTGGGACATCCCCCGCAGCTGCAATCAATGGAACTTGTTCTTGGCCGCATTTTCGTCGTTCTCCAGGTAGACCTCGATCTGGTCTGTCATCTTGTGGTCGATATCCTTGCACCAAAAACATGCCAGAATGCTGATCAGTCCAAACGACAAAGAGGCCAAGGCAGTGGTTCTATTAGACGAGAGTCAGCATTGGTAATGGCAGTGATGGTGCCATGCCAGCAAGCCGCAGTCTTTCAAGGACGGTGCAAAATACTGAGGTCAAAGACGTACCGAAGTGCGACAACATATGACTGCTGAAATGCTCCAAGAGCCGAGATGAGAATTTGGTCTGTAATGCCAGGCACTTGTGACAGAGCAGCCTCACCCAGTGGCAACGCAGCCATCAAGGCCTCGACTGAAGCTGATGGCAGCCCTGCCGCAATCACTGCAGGTGGCACAAGGTTCTTCATACTGCTCGCTTGGACATTGGCAAGGATAGTCGAACAGACGGTAAGGGCGACCACCCCTCCACCATTGCGGGCGACACCTGAAAGCCCTCCTGAAACTCCGAGATCTTCTTGGTCCACCTAGAACACATTAGAGACAGTCATCAGCAGCCGATATTTGAGAAGAGTGAGTTAAGTGTACTTACACCAAGTTGCGTGTAAGCAATGGAGAGAAATTGACCCCAACCCATTGTGATCTGGTTGATGAAGACGAAGGCAATCATCATTGCCTTTCGGTCAGGTCGACCTAGTCCAAGCAGTGCCCCGAACAGCACCGTAATCACAACTGATCCTGTAAGCGTCCATTTCCACCGCCGGAGGCGGCTTCCAAATAGCACAAGCAATATGGCGCCGACCAAGAGGCCAAGATTTGGTGGCAGTGAGAGAACAGATCCAGTAGATATATCTGTGGCGCCGCCCCAGAACACATTGCTGAAAGGGGTCAATTAGTAATGAAGGTCAGAACTGGGCGGCGACATGCAGTCAATATACTTACACCATTGTTGGCCAAATTACATTGATGATATAATAGAACATGGTCTCGGTCTAAATGAACACTACATTAGTAAGATGGCCAAACAGGCGATGAATACCAGCACTCACAAACACCACAAGAAACGGGGCAGTCATATCTCTGCCTTTGCCTTTGGTAAACACATGTCGTGGACACAGTGGATATCGGACGTTGAATCTCTGCTCTGCCTGGTTTTCCCAAAGCCCAAATAGAGCCACGACAACCAGACCAACGGTAAGACAGATCACCACGCGTTTGTCCGAGGAGGGCATCGTGATAGTAAGGAGACAGCCTGTCAGAGTCCTGTCATCAAGTTAGCTATAGCATAACAAACGAGCGCGGACGTGTAAGAGTTCAGCATCACTTACAAGGTACCACCAACAACGAATAACACGATACCGATCCAGTCTAGGTTACGCAGGGCTTCCTTCCAGGGCACTCCTCTGGGGTGCTTGGGAGGATAATATAAGAAAAAGACCCCCGCAAAGCAAAACACCTTGTCTTGTTAGCTAGCACTCGACCCAGAAGACGTAGGCTCGAGGTTACATGTGAAATTGCGGGAGCATAGAAGCACCACCTCCACGCAGACCCACGAAGTGCCGCATAACGGCCTGCAACTGGACCAACCTGTACTTCAATCAATATCGCAGGCCGCTCTTCGCTTGTCAAAACTTCGAATGCTTACCAGGATCGCGACAAAGAGGAAAGCGTCTGTAAGAACGATACCTGCTCAAGTCAACATTTGCCACCCTGTCAATAGATAGTCTCGTACCAATATGGCGCCACTTGTTTGGCATCAATTCTGGCTAGCACTTGTAAGTCATTTGCCCATGTTGTAAATCTTATAGTCAGGCTCCTACCAAGGCAAATGCAGCCAGCTGGCAGTTCCCCGAACCAAATCCCGTGATGGCCATCCCAACGATGACGGTGTTTGCCGTTTTCGCACTTCCCGCGACAATATTCCCAACCTGAATAATGATCAGAGTCAATTCAATGGCATGACCCTGCTGAAGTCAACTTACCAGCGCAAGAATGTTGCCCATGAGTATGAAATTGCGGCGTCCAAATAGATCCGAGTTGGCACCACAGGTCATGAATGCAATACAGACCGCAAGTACGAAGCTCGTCACATACCATGCAGCCGCGGTGGGATCCCCAAGGCTGCTAGCAACTGCGCCTCCCATGGCGGTCACTGTAGGTATTGGCCAGAATGCCGTTCCGAATTGCATTGAGAGGATCTGCAGGTATTCAGGTCAGGTCTATCTTTGTGCATGGTTTCGAGCAGTCAAGATTTCATACTGAAATGACAACCCACGTCTTGCCAGTAACACGGGTTTCTTCTTCTGCCACTGTGGTCGTCGGGACCTCCGGGGATTCGAGATGTTCCCCTAGGGTGGTCGTGGCCCCTGCGTCTTTCAGGTCCATCTCCATGGTCTCGCTGTGTGCCATTGTATCGGTGTCCTCAGAAAAGCTATCCTTTGCCAGAAAGACGAATGGGTGATCAGGACTATTCATACCTCGCAGAGACGACTGAGATGCCCCCTTCGTGGCGCCATACTAAGCATCGCGTCTAGACCACCTCCAAAGGTAGATTTTGAGGAATTGGATAGTGTCCCTGTTCTAGTAGTTCTCGACAAGCCTACCAGTGCAATTGCACTCGTCCATAGGGCTGAAAAGTCGAGCTAATGACCGGATCCGATGGTGCAGCCGTTTCCCCGGCACACGAGTGTCGTGAGCCATGAGATGCTGGGGACCCCGCGTCCGCTTTTCATCTGTGGACAAACTCTGCGGGCACACATGCGGAGAAGTTGAACTTTAGCGCGTGTTGAAAAATTACCTCGACAAACGAAACGATTGCGATGACACCTCTAGGCAGCAAATCGATCCCGGACGGGGCGGTCAAGAGATTGAGAGCCCAAGCGGACTAGATTGCTAGTCTGCCGGATCAGAGCTCGCAGCCGACCGGATCAGATCCTTGAATTGATGCAATGGAGGAACAATTCTACGTCGTTGCATCCAGACTGGTTGCACAGCTGTGATACTCAGCATTTCTCATGAATCCTACAGGAATTGAATGGCAGTTACCACACATGAGAACATGGAATAGTCACAGATGAATGCTGTTAGGGACGAATTCTGAGACTGCTCTCCCTAGTACTTTAAATAAAATGAAACGCGTCAACGTGCCTCACGCTTTTCCACCTCCTATCTGTCCTGGATAAGCTCCTGATCCTCGAGCAAAAAGTCATGGACTACGTCGCAGTCGACGCTCTCGTCGTTGGAGCTGGGTTTGGTGGCATCTATGCAACTTATCGTCTTGCACAGATGGGTCTGAATGTCAAATGCATTGACGCTGCAGATGATGTTGGAGGCACCTGGTTCCGAAACACATATCCAGGCGCGATGAGCGATACTGAGAGCTACTTGTACCGCTATTCATGGGACAAGGAAGACCTGAAGACATATCCATGGTCTTCTCGGTATCTCTACCAGCCTGAGATTCTCGAGTACCTTCGACATGTTGTCCGGAAGCATGATCTACGCAAGTTCATGGAGTTCAACGTTGAGATGACCGCGGCAGAATGGGATGAATCTACTTGTCAATGGACTATCTCAACGTCCAGCGGCCGAAGTGTACATGCAAGGTACCTAGTAAATTGTCTAGGTGTTCTTTCGAAGGCGAACTTTCCCGACATCCCCGGCATTGCAAGTTTTAGGGGCCAGCTGGTTCACACCGCTCAGTGGGACGCTACGATTAAGTTGGAAGGCAAGAGTGTCGGGGTCATTGGGAACGGGTCCACCGGCGTACAAGTGATGACGGCGATAGCACCCATCGTTCAGACACTCAAATCATATCAAAGACATCCGCAATACTCGGTACCAAGCGGCCAGGGTCCCGTTTCCCAAAATGAGCGCGACAACATCAATGAGAATTACGATGAGATTTGGACTAAAGTGAGATCCTCTGCCCTTGGATTCGGCGTGCCTGAAGTCGGCTGCAAGACAATGGAAGCAACTCCAAAACAACGAAAAGATGCCTTTGAAAAGGTTTGGCAGGAGGGCAATGGTTTCAGGTTCATGTTCAGTGCTTTTGGAGACATCGTCTCTGACGAAGCTGCCAATAAGGAGGCGTGTGACTTTATTCGGGCGAAGATCAACCACATTGTGAACGACCCTCGGAAGGCCGCAATCCTCACGCCACACGATCTATATGCTCGCCGACCATTGTGTGACACGGGATACTATCAGATATTTCGACAAGAAAATGTCGACGTCATCGATCTCCAAGCGAATCCTATTGCGGAGATCGTCGATCGGGGAGTGCAGCTCTCTGATGGAACCATCCACGATCTTGACGTCTTAATCTTCGCAACTGGCTTTGATGCTATTGAGGGCAACTATCTGCGCTTGAAAATCACTGGAAGACAAGGTGAAACAATACAGTCGCATTGGAAGGACGGACCAACGGCCTACGGCGGCATCGCCTGCGCAGGGTTTCCCAACATGTTCCTCGTTTCAGGGCCTCAAGCACCCTTCGCCAACTTCCTCCCGGTGATAGAGAGCGAGATCGAGTTCATCATGTCCTGTGTTTCCCACACGGAGGAAACTGTGGCACGGAATGCTGGGAGGGCAAGCATTGAGGTTTCCCGGGCGGCCGAAGCCTCTTGGTCAAGTACATGTGACAAGCTCGTCGACGGCTTACTTTTCAAGCGCACGGCAAGCTGGATTTTCGGTGCCAACATACCGGGGCGAAAGCCTAGCACCACCTTCTATTTTGGCGGTCTGGGGAGTTATCGAAAGTGGGTTGACGAAGTCGTAGCCAAGGGCTTTGTTGACTTCCACATCTCTGGCTGAGTGTTAGGTGGGAATATCAGTGCTTTGGACTCACTAGATAGCAGGCCTGAAGGCCCGAGGCCAAATAGACAAGTCCTTAATTACCATAAATACCACTACTCTCAGCCCCAATCGAAGGTTGCCGAAGCTATGAATGCTTTTCACCAATTAGTAAGTGCTGCTGAATCCGGCCAAGGTTCTCGCCATAGATCATTCATGGAGAGGAAACAGACATTGTCAAAGTGGACGGAATAAACTTTGGACTAAACCCGGATCCGTCGGATCCTTGACTAGTGCGCGAAGCATGGTGGTGGTACCTGGCCGGGGTACTTGTTTCTTCGTGGTTATCCTGGTGGGGAGGTATGGGGTATCTCGCTGGCGACTTTGAGAATTGTTTCTTGCAACTTTGTTTTAGTGAGTTCAACTATGGACACAAACAAGACGAGAACCATAACATGAAGGTATAAAAGCGATCGAAAATCTGCAACATGAATACCAGCCCAGTCTGGTACCAGACAATCGAAGTTCTCAAGCTACCGCAGGTACAGCATATCCAGTCTTCCTTAATTCAACACCTCTAGCATTTGATACTTTTTGTGACATTATGGGCAGAGAAAGCATCGAGTTCAAGAACTCCGACGGGGTTACACTGCGTGGGTGGTTCTACACGCCTGACAATGCAGCCGCCGGAAAGTTACCAACCCTTGTACTCGCCCACGGGTTCACGGCCTTGAAAGAAATGACTTTGGATTTCTACGCCGAGTCATTCACCTCGGCCCTCCCCATCAATTGTCTTGTGTATGACCATCGGGGCTTTGGCGAAAGTGATCACCTTCCCGGCCAACCGAGGGGCGAACTGGTACCGAATCTCCAGATTTCCGACTATTCGGACGCCATCACGTATGCTTCAACCAGACCAGAAGTAGACGCGGATAGAATTGGCATCTGGGGCACTTCTTACAGTGGTGGACATGTTCTCACGGTCGCTGCCATCGATAGGAGAGTCAAGGTCGTCCTGAGCCAAGGGCCCTGCGTCAGTGGGTGGGATAACTTCCATCGCTTGGTCCGCCCAGATCTGGTGCCTAAGCTTGAAGCAGCTTTTGCTGCAGGTATGTGCAGATGCCCTTGTGACTTATCATTTCTGTATCCAGTCTTACACAGTGGTAGATCGAATTGCCAGGCTACAAGGGAAAGAAGCGACGTATGTCCCGATCGTTCATGAAGACTTGTTTGGGGACTGTGCTTTGAATGGTAAAGATGTGTATGACTTTTTCATGGAGTGGGAGAAGAAGACAACATGGAAAAACACCATCACGCTCAGAAGGTAAGATTGCTGCCATTGGCTTACTCTTGCATGTGTACTGACTCTCCTGTTTCAAGCATCGAACTGTTTCGCGCATATGAGCCACAACAGTTGATTGAGAAGATTGCTCCGACACCTCTGCTCATGACGGTGCCGATTCGAGACACTCTCACACCACCCGACCTGTCACTTGCTGCATATGCGAGGGCACGGGAACCAAAAGAATTGCAGCTGCTTCCCGGGGGTCATTTCGATTCCTACGCCGGTGAGACAATGAAGAAGAATGTCGCGACACAAATCGCGTTCTTGAAGAAGTGGCTGGTTGGAGCATAGTTGGTGTTTATTATGCCAATCATTTCACATAAATACTAGAGACAACAACAAGATATCAAAATTGTGTATCTGTGACTATGACTCTCCATAGCAGCATAATTTCCTCTTCTAAACCATGACATGAAAGAATCGCAGCACAACGGGATTCCAAGAATCTCATTTGCCCCTCATTGCTGTTCTCATCGTCGAGATTCCCGGCCAACAGTCTCGTGTCTCATGAAAGATGGCAAGATTTACTTGTTCTGCACTCATGGTTCAAAGGGATCCAAGCATTGCCCAGACTAACATGCCAATCACCTAAAGACAATATCATTAGGGAAGAAGAGGGCGGGGAGGGCGACTATTATCTAACACACCATAATCCTTAGGAAACGTACTTACGTAACTTAGCGCGACTTAACGCGGTACGCCGGGTAATGCTAAAACTTATTTAACGTACTCGTAGTTTATACTAACGGCGCTATAGCTATTAGAATAGTATAAAACTAACTAGGATAAGTGGGAAGATAATAATATTAATATATAAGAAGTTATAGTAGATAAGCTATCTAAAAACCTCGTTAAAATACTGCTTAGGAACCGGCTTACGTAGAGAGTATCTACTCTCTAAAGGCTATATCTCCTTAGATCTACTATTATTAGCCTAGAGTAATAAGAGTAACTCCGCCTCTTACCTCTACTAGATTAATTAGGTATCTCCTACCGCGAGAAAGGTATTATCCTACTCCGTAGAGTTATAGAATTATAGCTATAAAAATAGATAATTATTAACCTTATTTATAGTTAAGATATCCTAGCCGATATAAGTTAGTAGATTAGCCTTATATAAATAGGGTAGACTAGGTATTAGTTCTAGCGCGGGTACCTCCTAAGAATCTATATCTAGCTAAGTCGATATAATAATATTACCTAGGTAATTTAGCCTATTCTTATTATAAATTAGTATCACGGGGTGGCCCGGATAACCCCGCCCGGCCTAACCTAAGCTAAGACTAGCTAGGGTACTACTACTTCTATACGTACCGCCTACGAGGAGATAGGGTTTCCTTTTAGTTAACGGTGTTAGAAGTCTATATATTAGTAGACGGCCAGCTACTATCTCTAAGTATTATACGCCTAGTCCTATCGATCTAACTAGCCCTCTTATAATTCTTCTAATACCGTTCACCGATCCTGACGGACGTATACGCGTAGTACGGGTTACGTATATAATGTTGGGACCCGTACGTACCCGCGCGTAGGCGCGTAGATAACTAACCTTAGAGGATCCGTAGGAAGGACCCTTAGGAACTAGACGAACCCCTAGACCTCTAACCCTAGAGGCCCTTACTCTAGCCGAGGGTACGCCTACCCCTAGCGTAGGATATATAGAGAGATAGTAGATTCCGGAAGAGGGGGGTTATATAACTATTAAATAAATTCTAGAAGACCTAGGCGAGATCTAAAGCCTAGTTAAGAGTAATAGCGCTATACTAGATATAGACGCTAGATATACTTAACTTAAGCGAGAAATTACCTTAAGAAGGAAAGAGCGCGAGATTTTAGCTATAGAAGCTAAAGCCCGGGGTAAAGAGCCGGACGTCTTCGTAGAGATTAAAGGGACTACGCTACTAGTTTATAAGCGCCCTATATTATAATTATAACTAGAGACCCGTCTATCTAAACTTTTAAAGATAAAGTTAGAGGTAACCTATTTAGGGAAGAGCCTAAGAGAACTTTAAAAATATAATATTTAATAGAGAATCTAATTCGCTTACTACTTATACCTTAAGCCTACGGAATGTATAGCGTTAGTAGCTATAGAGCTAGTAGACCTTACGGCGAGTACTTAGGTTAATCTCGTACCTAAACGTAAGGTAAAGATCTAGACGTAGGATAAGTTTATTAATTTCCTATAAAGAATCGTCTAGGATCCCGCGAACCGTACGCTAGAAGTACTTATATAGCTCTACTAGAAAAAATAAGGAGAAAACTAAATAGCTCGCGAGCTCTAGAAAGAGCTTATATAACTAAGAATAGATATCCTAGAGCTAACTATAGAAGAACGGTACGCTTAGGAACTACTTTTAGTATTAAAGCCGGAGCTACGAGTAAAAGTTATAAATTTTATATCCTATATTACTAATAAAGCTAAAGTCCTTAGGGAGGCCTAAAGGCTAGGTAAGTTAAACTTAGGGTCTACGAGATAGGCCTAAACTAAGGGATCCTAGTAGGGGATCTATAAGTAAAAAGCGGCCGCGTCGTAAATAAAGTATATAACTATAATAACTACTTCTTCCTAAAATAGTCGGGTATAAGGTAAGAAGCCTATATAATAAACTAAAGCCGATAAGTACTTTAGCTATTTTTTAAAAGATTACTAGGTAAAGGACTACCCGTAAAGGTTATAGACTAGTCGCGCCGGTATAGCGGCTCCTACGCTAGTAAGTCGTAAGGGAAAGGAGCTAGAGAGAAAAAACTAGAAGCCGGCGCGCTAACCGCTATAAGCGCGCTAGGGATTCCTAAAAGTAGTAGAGGGCGCCGTAACCGGGCCCTAATCGTAGAAATAGAATTTAAGATTATAGGCGTAAAGTATATATTAAAAGTACTAATCGATTCGGGAGCGGAAGCTAATTTTATCTCTTAATTAACCTTAATAAGACTAGGTATCCCTATCTCCTAATCCCTAGTACGAGTATTTATAGTAGACGGTTATCTAGTCTAAATCTATAGTGAATATAAGCTAATAGTATATACTATAGATATAAAAGGAAGGTACTATCTATAGGAGTAGCCCTTCCTAGCGACGACCCTAAAGGGGGTTGACGCGATATTAGGTATTCTATAGCTTAATGAAGTTAATCCGGATATCTATTAGAAATAAAGGGTTTAGGAGTATAGAGGTATACCCGGCGAGCGAGAGATTCGTATAGTATCCCTAGTAATACTACTATAGATATTAAACTACGCCCTAATATTAATAGTTTAACTAGCTAAGGTGGTCGCGGACCCCGAAGGCCTAGTAGACGGAAAGTATACGGAAGGTATACTGTCTAAGGTCCGACTCCTAAAGGAATACCGGGAGTATACCGATATCTTCTTAGAGGAGAAGGCGTAGGAGATGCCTATAAATATAAAAGTAACTTACTTAATCCCGATTATAGAAGGATATAAGGTGCCCTATAGACTAATCTATAAGTTAAGTACTAAAGAGTTGCGAGTCCTACGCGAGTACCTAGACTCCTATCTAGCTAAGGGCTAGATTAGGCCTAGTAAATCTCCCGCGGGGGCGCCTATCCTTTTTATACTAAAGAAGGATAGTAGTTTACGATTATATATTAATTACTATATATTAAATAAGATTACGGTTAAGAATTATTACCCGTTACCCCTAATCGGTAAGACTTTAGATAGACTAGGCGGGGCCTAGGTCTATATAAAGTTAGATCTAAGAGATACCTATTATTAGATTAGGATCGCGGAAGGCGATATCTAGAAGACTACTTTTTATACGCGATATAAGTACTTCGAGTATATAGTAATACTATTTAGGCTTACTAACGCTCCTACTATATTTTAAGTATATATAAATAAGGTATTACGCGGGCTATTAGATAAGATATACGTAGCCTACTTAGACGATATTACTATCTATAGCGGGACGGTTAAGGAGTATACTAGGTATATATAACTAGTACTCGACCGGTTAAGATAGTATAAACTATATATAAAGCTCTCTAAGTATGAGTTTTCTAAGAAGTAAATTAAATTCCTAGGCTATTGTATTAAGACCGATAGGGTCTCGATAGACCCTAGTAAGGTAAAAGCGATCGAAGAATAGAAGACCCCGAAGTCGTTCTACGATATCTAGGTTTTCCTAGGCTTCGCTAACTTTTACCGCGGGTTTATAGAATACTACTCGCGTATAGTAAGCCTAATAAGTAACCTCCTAAAGGGGATAGTTAAGGGTAAGAAAACTAGAGAGTTTACTTAGCCTAACTCCGTATAGTAGGCGTTCCTAGAGCTAAAGGCGTACTTTAAGGAGGGGATCGTTCTTACGTATTTCGATCTATAGCGGAGGTATAGAGTTAAGACGGACGCGTCTAGAAGGGCTCTAGGAGTAGTCTTATCGTAAGTATATAAACTATATAGGGATAGCGGTAGGACGGTATAGAGACCCGTAGCCTTCTACTTAAAGAAGATATAAACTACTAAATATAACTACGGTATCTATAACTAAGAGATACTAGTAATAGTAGAAGCGCTTAAGGAGTAGCGATACTATTTAGAGGCGCCTATAATTAGTACGCTAATCCTTACGGATTATTAGACCTTATAGTTATTTATAACGACTAAGGAACTAAATAGGCGATAAGTACGCTAGTTAGAGGTACTTAGTACTTACGACTTTATAATTAAGTATTATAAAGGGAAGGAGAACCTAGTAGATAGGCTCTCGAGAAGACCTAACTATATAGAAGGTAAGGCTATAGTGGGAAACCTACTAGTAGAGCTACTAAGAGAATATATCCCTATAGTAAGCGAAAGATACCCTAATTAAGTATTAGTAAGCGACTCCTAATTCTATAGGGTACTTACGAGAGGAGGCTTAAGGAAAGCCCGGAATCCTTAAGATAGTAAGTTATATATAATCCCGGCCCTAGGGACGTATACGGATAACGCGTATAAGATATAGGAGACTCGTAGTAGGTCCCTAACGCCTAGTAAAGGTAAGGACCTAGGAGAAGGAGACTAGAACGATAAAGGAGAGTTATTTAGTAGAGAGGTCCTTAATCTAGTAGTAATAGAGCTCCTCTATCTATAATCTAAGGATAGCTAGTATAAAAAGTACTTATAGAGTAAGCTTCTAGTAGGTAGAGTTCCTACCGGAGAAATAAAAGGACGTTAGTATATAGACTATACTAGGCTCGTACGAAGGGCCGGCGCCGTCTATATCCTAAAGTAGTCTAGGATAAGGGCTAAAATCCTAAGGGTTAATTACGACGATCTATAGTAAGGAG